TTCAGCTTGCGTCTTTGCTTGATCTCCACATCCACTTGGTTTCGGGCATGTTTCAGCCTCACATCCAGAGCACTACGCTCAGTTTCTGTTTTCATTAGAAGATCTCTGTATCTGGCCACCTCATGATCCATTTTCTGCCACTTTTTCATGAATTCTTCAAAGTTCTTGGCCAGCTGGATAAACTGGTATTCATTGCCTTCATTCAGAATTTCTAATTGATGCATCAGGTGGTCAGAGAGGTTCCATAAATTCAGTAGTGATGGCTCCATAATTGTGCTAAGAAACTGAGGCTGGTTTTATTCAGGTTGGTAGTCAATGTAATAGTTACATGACCCCGCCATAAGAATTGCACCGGGATTGTGGCGCAGCTGGCTGAATGTCAGCTGCATTAAGATCACTCTGACCAAAAGGTCATGAGTTCGAAGCCAGCCCGGGTTGGAGTGGGTTTCCAACCAATTGTGTGTAGCCTGTTGTCGACCTTTGCAACCCGAACGACAATTGCATCTGTCAAGTAGGAAAATAAGGTACCACCTTAAAGTGTGTGGAGGCTAAATTTACTAATTTATGAGGCCATAAAGAAGACTCCAGCAGAGCATTCCAGCGGGGAAGCATGCGGGGAATGCGGAATGTACTTCGTCAGCGTCGCAGATGGACAATGAAAGCGACAGCTCCCCTGGCAGCCAGAAAAAGTTAAATAGCCTCTGTGTATGTCTGTATATGTTTGTATGTCAAAAATTGGCATTGAATGTTTGCCATATATGTGTACACTGTAATCCGCCCTGAGTCCCCTGCGGGGTGAGAAGGGCGGAATATAAAAGCTGTAAATAAATAAATAAATAATAAGAAGCATTATATATTGTCCCTTTTTTTTCTTTCAGAGAGTAACCTCAAGCAAAGTATTTATTTATTATTTTTAACCATATTTATACCCTGCCCTTCTCAATCCTGAAGGGACTTACACATAGGCAACTATTCAATGCCTTAAATAGCATATAATTAAAATAAACATTTAAATTAAGATTAAAATTAATGCACATTAAAACAGATAAAAGCATTGCAAGTTATTAAAACCACACCATCCACAATAGTAATGTCCAAAAAAGCTGCCTCCCGGCCTCCCTGACCTCAATTTGGGCAAGAAGAAGGGCTCTCTCCCCTCCGCTCTCGCTAACGGCAGCAACGTTTTTCGTGATAAATGCCAGTTTCTCAAATAAATACTTCATTTATTCATGCAATGTTGTCCACCTGAGACATGCTCAGCCCATCTTAACAACTTACTACTGCATTGTTCTGAGAAGGAGGAGCTGTTGTCTCCAACAGAATCACAGACCTCCAATAACAACATGGTGGCCAGTGAGGTAATGTGCAAAGCTGCACATCTATGCCTATGAGCACACTTTGAAGACTTTACCACATAGATATGACAAAGCAGCATAGATAGGGCTGTCATCTTTAGTTCCTATCACATAAAGACATAACAACCTGTTGCTGGTCTGCTACCTCCCCATGACAAACCCAACCCCTGCTATCAAGAGCCTGCCAATAGATGCTGATCACAACTTACCTAGTGTCATAATCCCCAGCTCCTTCTTTGCCAACATGTTGGCACAAAAGTGACATCAAGGAGCTGGATTGTCCTCCTCTATCACGCTTCTCTCACAGGAAAAGAAATATTTGATTAAGTACACCCATCCCCTAAAGCCTCAAAACCATTCATTTTACCCTATCTTAATATAAACCTTGTGAAGTTACCCATATGATTATTAAAACAAAGATCCATCCAAATCTCTGGTGTTTAATGCTGAACTCCTGTAAGTAAGTAAAGTTTATTATAGTCGATGACCAGATCACAACATGGGGACCCAGTCGCTGAACTCCTGAGTTTTAAAATAATCAGACAAATATATGCACTCCAGATCCCTGTCTCCTCACCTTGGGGGAAAAAAACTCCTGTTGTTTCTTAATCTTGTCTTGGCCTCAAACTTAAGATTTTATAGCATATCATTCTCAGTGTTATTTGGTGCAGTGCATCTACTGACATTTTGAGTTGCTAAAAAACCCCTCAGAAGCCTGTCAAGAATGTTTTCCAGCTTTTTGACACATCATTACTAAGGAGGCCACCATCTGAGAAAGAGTAATCAGTCATGTAAGAAACCCAGAGTTGCAGATTGCTCCTTCAGCCAGCCTGAGAATACAAACTGTAAAACAGCTCAGAAGTGCCATCTTGTGGGGTGTTTTTCCCCACATAAAAATAAATAAAAGGTGCTGTATGCTGTATTTCAGAGGAAGGAACTGGCAAAATCACCTGAAGTTATCATAAGTCAACAGATGATATGAAATTACACACACACACACACACATAGAATCATGCTTAATCACCAATGTGGTTTTCTTAGAGAAAGAATACACAAAGCACCCATTTGCTTAAAAATTTTAAAAATTGGAAGCAAATCCAAGAATTGCAATGGTATGATATAGTGTATATAATCATATATAAAATTTTATGTGCTACAAAGGTTTTGAAAATTATGTCAAAAAATGAAAAAACGAAAAAATGATCAAGGGTCTGGAGAACAAGCCCTATGAGGAGTGGCTTAAAGAACTGGGCATGTTTAGCCTGAAGAAGAGAAGGCTGACATGATAGCCATGTATAAATATGTGAGAGGAAGTCATAGGGAGGAGGAAGCAAACTTGATTTTTGCTGCCCTGGAGACTAGGACGTGGAACAATGGCTTCAAACTACAAGAAAGGAAATTCCATCTGAACATTAGGAAGAACTTCCTGACTGTGAGAGCTGTTCAGCAGTGGAACTCTCTGCCCGGGAGTGTGATAGAGGCTCCTTCTTTGGAAGCTTTTAAACAGAGGCTGGATGGCCATCTGTCAGGGGTGCTTTGAATGCAATTTTCCTGCTTCTTGGCAGGGGGTTGGACTGAATGGCCCATGAGGTCTCTTCCAACTCTGTGATTCTATGATTCTATGACTCTATGTAAGAGAAATCAGTATATTAATATCTAGTCCTAAAACCTTCCTTCCAAAATAGACTATTTGAGATCTAGTTTTTATCATTACTTCAGGAAATTGGCTTTTTAGAAAGAAACATGCAAAAAAAATCCCCAGATTTCCCACCCCCCCCTTGGGCTTTTGTGTCTTTATTACACAAAGAAAATACAGTATATGCTCATTAAGATAAAATTCTGAAGCTCAATTTTAAGAGGAAATCCTACATTTAAAAAACTATTAAAAACAACCTGTACAACCCCACAGGCTTTCAAACATAAGATGATATTGGTTTTGTATTTTACAAGAAGCAGCACATACTGGGTATAACAATTGTAGTAATCCTTGATTTACAAACAAGACTAGCTGTATACATTTGAAGGCTCCTTGCTATTGCATTTATAATGAAACACATATCATAGAGTTGGAAGACGCTGCAATGGCCATCTAAGTCAATCTGCTGCCATACAAGCATGCACAACTACAACACTCCTGAAATATGCCCATCGGTCCCCTCTTTAAAGATTTTCAAATACTGGAGTCCACTTTATCCTTTTCCAATAGTTTAATCCAGGGATCCTCAAACTAAGGCTTGAGGGATGGATACGGCTCTCCAAGGTCATTTACCGTGCCCTAGCTCAGGGTCAACCTAAGCCTGAAACAACTTGAAAGCACACAACAACAACAATCCTATATCATCAGCCAAAAGCAGGACCACACTTCCTACTGAAATACTAATAAGTTTATATTTGTTAAAATTGTTCTTCATTTTAATTACTGTATTGTTTTAAAGTGGGGGTTTTTTGCACTACAAATAAGATATGTGCAGTGTGCATTCATTCTTTTTTTTTTTTTTTCAAATTATATTCCGGCCCTCCAACAGTTTGAGGGACTGTGACCTGGCCCTCTGTTTAAAAAGTTTGAAGACCCCTGGTTTAATCTGTGGTCAAACAATTTTTACAGGTTCTTTCTAATGTTTAGGTATGCTAATATTAATGCAGACTGCCTAATATATGTGTATTGTGCTTTGTACTATTGTTCTAATCCCCGTGCTTTATATTTGCTGCCTTGAACATACATAGCCTATCTCTTTAAAAATAAATTAAGTAAAACATGAAATCACAAGCATTTCTTCAAACTTCTTCATTCCAGTTTAGATACGCTTCATATATTAAAATGTGCAGACAGTGTATTTAGATGTCCATTAGATAGTGGACAGCTATAGATACTTAACTTTATATGATCATGTAAATCTGTTGGGTTTCATCCCTGGACTGAACAAATTTTTGTGTCATCAAGTTTCTAGTCCTCAATGAGTAGCTAGACTAGAGACAGGGCTAAGCTGGGGAATTTCTTTTCCCCACATTCCTATGCATGTTTCTCAAAAGGGCTTTTTCTTTTGTCTTCACTGCTACCCACTGTCTCCTCCCCCTTTGATGATGTAGTAACGGAATGTCTGCGAAGGAACTTCCTTTTAAGTTTAAACTGCCTTGGGTAGACCATGCAGTCTCCACCAGGTTAGTTCTGCTTTTCTTTCTCCCTGAGGACATATGTTGCTTCTCTGTAAGCAAAATGTAGCTACAGGGACTTTTTTTTTTAACCTTTTACCTCCTTTAGAAGTTGAAACTTAGTAAGTAAATATTTTTAAACCCAAAGTTCTGACTCTGCAATTCTGAGCCATCCTAAAGAATAGAAGTTTATCCCTTCTTGCCACATGTAAGTTTCTCCTGGTTATGGAGTTTACTCCTGATACTCTGCTACATTTTCATGGAATTGTCGCAACTCAAGGTTATTTTTGAGCCTAACAAACAAAACCCTACCTGATCATACCTTTGATTAATTGCAAACCATTGAACCATTAATAACTATGCTTTGCAAGGAAAGTTATGGACATATTCCAAAACACAACCACAATTTAAAAAACCCCCAGAAAACAGCAATAAAGTTCACAGCAATGGATGGACTGTTTTTGAATGCTACCGTTGAGCTAAAAGGAGACTTACCTTATTTGTTGAAAGGAGGTATATAGGAGTTAATGGAGGAACTTCACTCATTTGACAAGTCAAACCAAGTTGGGTCAGTATATTGGTAAGAACTTCGTATCTTTTAGCATTGCTTAATTTGAGCAAATTGAAGTCATCTTTTGATCTGTTAGACAAATTTTGGATATTAACCTCTAAATGTGCCTGCAAATGTAAAGAAAAAAAGGAATGTTAAAACTGATTCATAGCCTTATTTTAGAAACTGTAATGACTTACCACTAATTTTAAGAAACCCCATTAAATTTAAATTCACATGATCCGAATTTTGAAATTAAGCAATACTATCTTTTATATAAACTGGTAAGATTGTTGTTGAATTGTTATTTCAACAGCTACGGGAATCCAGTAGCACAGGAAGCACAGTCTCTTCTCATAAATGTACAAGAGACAAAGTAGTGAGAGGAATCAGGGACTGCTGATCCACATTTCATCATAGATATTGAAATGTCTTCTATTCACACAAAGAACACTTTGGAGCAAAACCACTTTGGAGTGGGAAGGTAAAGGCACTGCATGCAGTCATGCCAGCCACATGACCTTGAAGGTGTCTATGGACAAATCTGGCTCTTTGGCTTAGAAATGGAGATGAGCACCAACCCCTAGAGTCAGACATGACCGTACTTACTATCAGGGGAAAACCTTTACCTTTACCTATGCACGCAGGTAGCTCTATTTAAAAATCCTTTGGAAAAAACAACAATAGGCAAACTGAATATTTGGACACTATACCTGACAAAGTATGGCTTCTCCTCCATCATTTCCATACAGCAGGTGGATGATCATCATATCTTTATCTGGACTGTCCAAGAAACCTAGTGGCTTCAGAATGTTAAGTTCTTCCATAATTTCTTTCTCAAATATTTTCCCACTAGCTAGCACATTGAGTTTAATTTCACTGTTTTCAGCATTTGAAAACACAAAAGCTTGAACTGTGCCAATTAATTCTGTTTTACTCTTTACACATATGCCACCAAAAGTGAAAGAAGATGAAAGTCCCAAAATTTTCCCACCATTTGACATGAAAGTTAAAAATTGTTTAGATACTGCATCTGGGATAGGCTCTGATGTAGCAATGATTAATAGTAGTGCATTGTGAAGCCAAGGAACACTCAATACATGTTTTTCTAACAACTGGTAGACAGCATACGAGTTAAAATCAATACATTCCAAAATGACTGATTTTATTTCTTCAAATTTCACTTTTTCAGTGTCAGAACCAATATAGACTAAAATATTAGGAGGCTTTCCAGTAAGGTTTATTCTTTTCAGATATTCTGTTGGACAGTCACTATTAACACCTTCCAAGTTGCAACTGTAATCATCAGGAAGTTCTGGAATGTTTTCTGCAGAAGCAAATTTAACAGACTCAATTGTGCTGTTCTCCAGTTCTAAGCACTCGTGGCAGCTAGAAAGATGCAGGTGATGATGTTCACCAGTATCCGCCTCTTTTTCAGATACATGCTCAAGTTTTTCAGGATATTCTGTTCTTTTCTCCTCTTCCTCATCACCAACTGTATGATCAGCAGTTTTTATTTCTGTTTTTTCAGCTGTCTCAGAGGGAGGCTCTTGAGTCCATTTTCCATGCTGCATCTGATTAGCATTTCCTTCTTTTTTGACACTTGATGATTGGTCTAATTCTTCCAGTGTTGACATCTGTAGGTGCACAGCTGACACATTTTAAAGTAAATCATTAGAATATATAAATACAAAAAGAATGCTAAATAATGTTGCAGTAAGGGTTTAAAATGATTATCATAATCCCACAAAATGTGTAGACATAATTGTATTTTACTAACAGCACCTTTACAAAAGTAAGCCTAAATCATCTATATTTAGTGATAGCTGCCTTTACTGCTGAACCCACCATATTTCCAGATTACTATTTGTTAAATGAATTGCATCTTTCTACTATAACATGAGTCTTGTATTTGAATATGTCTTCAATAAAGACACAGTAAGGTTAATTAAGGCACAATTTCAACAACAGAACTGCATCTGGTAGTAGCAGAGCAGAATTTCTGTGTACGAACCCACACGATCTCTTCAATCATCTGGAGAGGCCCTGCTCGCGCTTCCACCTGCATCACAGGTGGTGGCTCCTCGACTCTGGAACTCACTTCCTAAGGACATCAGGCATTCCCCAACTCTGGCAGTCTTTAGGAGGAGCTTGAAAACGTGGTTGTTCCAGTGTGCCTTCCCAGAATAATGAACCCTTAGCACTTTGTCCTCCAAAAGCACTTTATACTGATTTAGGCCTGCTTGTATCTCTCCACTAATGCCCCACTTCCTTATCTTGTCCATGTCCAGCATTATTTTTAAATTTCGATGATATTTGGCCTAGCCACAGATTTTAAAGGTGTGTTGTGCTATTGTTAATGTTTATGCTATCTGTGTATGTGATTTATTTTAATTGCTTGTATTGTTGTTGTTCTTGCTTGTATTGATGTATTGTGGGCTTGGCCTCATGTAAGTTGCACCGAGTCTCTTGGGGAGATGGTAGCGGGGTATAAATAAAGTTTTATTATTATTATTATTTTAAACAGTTCCTATTATCTTATACAGAATGCTAAAGGTAGGCTGGTGAAAAGTAATAGTGTGCCACTGCAAAAATACTTGTTTTGGACTGAGAAGTACAAAGTTTACAACACGATTTATTTGTAAATATACTTACACATAATTTTTTGAGGAACCATTCCGTTATCCATTTGGAGTCTATCTTCCATGAATGCTATTCCAAGACTACTGAAGTTATCTATGCTGGCCTCAGCAAATAATATATAAGGTTCTCCAGTTTTAAAGGCCAAAGGCGAACAGAAGTCTGACCACTTCACAACCTGAGAAGGAAAAAACACACAAGGTCTTTACACGTCACTACACAGAAAAAGCATTACAAAATTCAGTTAAAAGTACTGTGTTGAAATATTTAAATTATGGTTTGTACATAATCAGTCGATAGGTACTGCATGTTCCAGAAGTAGGAATTTAATGCAAGAATTGGAAAAAAACACAAAAAAGAGATTGCATTCATTTTTATTAACAAATATGCATTTAATATTGTAATGTTGGCAGAGCCAAATGAAAACATTAGCAACTACAAGTGCAATAGTAATTTAATATATAATGTATTTAGAAATGTCTTCTATATGCTTCATTGGAATAAGAGAACATAACACTCCCAACCTCTTGAGCAGCTTTCCATGGGATTTAAACAGGTTTTAAACATGGTTTTCAAACTAGTACTAGGGTACAGCGAACATTCGTGACATGTGGAATGAACAAACAAGAAATAGCTATAAACAAAGTTGTGTCCTGCCTAAATACAAAATAAAAGTAATAATAATAATAATAATAATAATAATAATAAATATTTATTTATTTATACCCCGCTACCATCTCCCCAATGGGGACTCAGGGCAGCTAACATGAGGCCAAGCCCAAAAATAATACAACGGGATAAGATACAAAACAACAGAAAATTAAACACAGCAAAATACATAATGTAACAAAATAAAATAGACAATACAGAATGACATAATGAAATCAATCACATAGGGCGGGCCAAATGTGCAAGATAAAATGATAAAAACATTAAAACCCTGGATGAGATAGGAAATAGAAAAAGTGTATTTGCAAAGGAAGAGCCTGAGAAGGAGGAGCAATGGGGTTTGGTCTTCATTAAGGGTAGGGGAAAGTGCTTTCAATTAACTTAGATTTGCATAGGTTACACAGCACTTACGTGTATTTTGTTTATTTAAAAATCCCCAAACAGTTTAGTTTTTCCTTGTAAAAAAGTATTTCAAACCTCAGAAAACTGTCCTTCACTTTTTCAGCCCTTTCCTAGCCGTACAATATGTTGTTTGAATTGGAGGGACGGAATAAAACACAAATATATAAATCTCACTTGCCTAGTTTCCAACACACCTCACACCTCTGAGGATGCCTGCCATAGATACGGGCGAAACATCAGGAGAGAATGTTTCTTGAACATGGTCATACAGCCCAGAAAACTCACAGCAACCCAGTTTAAAATCTGTCTGGCTTTTAGAAGGACAGGTGATTGAGGCTCCATCTGCACTGCCATATAATGCAGTTTCAGAATGAAGATTAACTGCATTGAGTTGGATTATATGGCTATATAGACTCATATATTGTCATATTTCAGTATAATTCAGTTAAATCACATTCTAAAATTGCATCATACGGCAGTGTAGATGTGGTCTGAGAACAGAGAATTGAGAGGAAGAGCTATAGGATGAAGGAACCGAGGGGCTGGAAAGGGGTTTAAAATCTGGTTGGCATTGTTGGAAGGATAGGAGATTCAGGTGCAAAAAGGGAGGGAGGAGATGGTGCTAGTTAATTCACAAATAATCCAGTCCATGGCAGAGAAATGTGCTAACATGGAGGACCAACTATAACAGTATTGCTAGCTTAATATAAATGGGATGTTATACTGCACAGACAGATTCTATCTCATGTAGATACAAACCCACATGCTTGTGTTTATTAATATACGCATCCTCCCATATGTTGAAAGATTATTACTTTGATCATGGATTTGAGTTTAACTTGTTGTTTGAGACTTGTTTGTTGATTTACTTGTTATTTCATCTTCAAATGCTTCTTTCTGTGCTACTCCAGCCCACTTGTAAACCCAATCTTTCAAAAAACAAAATGATTACTACAGCTTTGAATCTGGGAGAGCGTGGATGAGCTCCCTCTGTCAGCTCCAGCTCCCCATGCGGGGACATGAGAGATGCCTCCCACAAGGATGGTAAAACATCAGAACATCTGCACGTCCCCTGGGCAACGCCCTTGCAGATGCTGATCTCTCACACCAGAAGAGACTTGCAGTTTCTCAAGTCGTTCCTGACATGAAAAAAAAACCCTACAAACTATTACTCATACAATGGCTTTTAACAAAACAACATAAAAATACACTCACCTTCTCTGCTGAAGAAGTTATAGACTTTGAATTATCTGCTTGAACAGAAATACTTTCTGTCACAAATGCAATGTGTTCCGCTTCAAATATTTTATCCAAATAACTGAAAGGTGATACAATTAGCAATGTCCATTTGCTTAAATCATCAAGGAACTAGAAGGGGAGAAAATATATTGAAAGTTTAGGAAGTCTTAAGAGAAATTGCACTACAGTTTCTATTACAAGAGCACAGGTAAACCAAATTCGTTTTCAAATTTCAGTAGCCTGATTATGTTTAGGCCATTTATTACGACAAAGTCATCTTTTACAATACCATACATGTTTTTCTACATATGCATGTAGAAAAACAGAATCTATTTTTAATTATTTTCATCAAAACATAGATCATATTGTAGAGAGACAGAAGTCAGAACCATGTCCAGTCCACTCTTTATTTTCCAAATTCACTTGCATTTCAAATGAGTCTATAGGAATGTCAATTTTTGTTTCAACCTCTGGTGAATTTTTATGTACATGCTATTATATTTAAGAGTATGGCAATTTTATTTTGGCACTAGTAGACCAGTCAAAACAGCTTTTACTGTGTTAACATACTTCTCCTTACATCTGACAACTGTCTAAAGATAGTAAAGGTAAGTGTGGCCTAAATCTTCATTATCCTAAGAGTGGCTGAATGAGTTTTGTTCTAAGGCAGTGGTTCTCAAACTGTGGGTCCCCAGATGTTTTGGCCTTCAACTCCCAGAAATCATAACAGCTGATAAACTGGCTGGGATTAGAATCTAAGGCATTTTATAATTTCTTTAACTCATTAATTTCCCCTCACAGCAAAACCATGGTACAGTGTTAATAATAAGAGGAAAACAAAGAATAACAAATTAGACGTGGAAAATGAAAGCAATACACATGAGCAAATAAAGATTATGCATAAGTAAACTTTGACTGAGAATAGAATAGCTTTGCCATTGTGCTATTGCACAATACAATTACATGCCTTCCCCCGCACACACCACAACATAACGCATCCCTCCCTCCACACACACCTCAATCTCCACACAGCTCCCAATGCCACATGAATGCTAAACCAAAGTTCACCATAGACACAGCTCTAGGTTAAAAACTATACTTCAGTCTGTTTGTCCTTGTCTTTGTCACCCTGTACCATCTGCCAGACGGCAGTAATTCAAAAAAGAATATGCCGGGTGAGATGGATCCCCAAGAATGCTCTGAGCTTTCGTAAGGCAGTTCTTCCAGTGAGTTCTTCCAGTGAGGGGAGAGGGCAGCCAATGATTCACTGTGCAGGATTGGTGATTCTTTGGAGTGGCTTCCTATTTGCCACTGTACGGCTACCAAATCATGCACAAATGCAGTAGGTTGGGACTCTCTCTTTAGCACAGCAGTAGAAAGTCACCAGCAGTTTTTCATTCAGTTGGTGGTTCCTTAGGAGTCTCAGGTAGTACAATCTCTGCTGGGCCCTCTTAACTAACGCTGCCATATGAGTGCCCCACGTCAGATCCTCCTTCACAATGACACCAGGAACTTAAAACTGGCCACCTGCTCCACTTGGTCTCAATTTATGACCAAGGGCTGAATTTCTGGTCTGTTCTTCCTATAATCTACTATAAAATCCTTGGTTTTCTTGATGTTAAGAACCAGATTATTGTCCTGCACCACGGGAGCAGCCGATCCAACTCATCCCGATGGGCAGACTCATCCCCTTCAGAGATAAGCCCCACCATGGTTGTGTCATTTGCGAATTTGATAATGATATTGCTATGGTGGAGGGGGTACGATCATATGGGTACAAAGTGAAAAACAGGGGAATCAATACAAAGCCCAGTGTTGAGAGTGAGAGCTGATGACATATAGGAACCTAACTCTCTGGGAACACATATGTAAGAAGTTTAAGATTAAATAAGAGAACACAGAAATAAAGATCTAAAACCTACGAATAGAATAGCAGTTCTAGAAAAATGTGTTGGTTTTGACTAAGGTAGAGAAAGTACATATACAAGGGGGTTAGGAATTCATACGTATCACCCAGAGAATAATGTCAATGTAAGGACAATTAACAACTTTACCAACAGTTTCACTGGGAATCGCCATCTTTAATCATGTATTTCTTCCAATTCTATCATTGTTTTTCTAAAGCAAAACAGGAAACAGGAGTCTGTCTAGATATTGTCGGGACTAGAAGTCCTGCAAAACCTAGCCCGCATAGCTTATGGTGAAAGATCCATTAAACCTATGGTCTAGCAACACTGGAAGGCAAGAAGTCAGTTATCTCAAGGGATGTTGCATGTTTTCTTGCTAACAGAGTTGTGTATTTAGCATCAGTCTTTTGTTGTCCTTTGTTGCAGGTCCCCATATGGCGAAGAAGGGGAAGCCTCTGCCTGCATTGATATATCTAATCTCTAGATCATCTTAACTGACCGTAAAAACAACATCTGAGCCAAAAGGTAGATCTGTGACAAGAACACTGTCATTTTTCTTGCCCTGTGTAATTTTTAATATCTTTGCCTGATAAAAAATTAATAAAATGTCAAAAGCTTGCATTATGTATTTCTTTTCGCATTTTGTTTGGCCAATGAATGTACCACTCTGGATTTTGTAAAATGAGAAGGGACACACTTTCCAATTCAAAATAATTTCTAATTATGAATCAAAATCCTAAATATCATTGTTGTTGGGTGCCTTCAAGTTATTTCTGAATTATGTCAGCTTATCATGGCGTCTGATCTGTTGAGAGGGGGCTTGCCATTGCCGTCCTCTGAGGTTGAGTGTGATTTGCCCAAGGTCGCTCATTAAATTCCCAGTTAAGTGTGGACTCAAATATCCTAGGGCCCTTCCACACAGTCCTATATTCCAGTATATCAAGACAGAAAATCCCATATTATCTAAGTGTGGACTCAGATAACCAGTTCAAACCAGATATTGTGGATTCTCCCTTGATATTCTGGGTTATATGGCTGTGTGGAAGGGCTCTCAGACAACCCAGTTCAAAGCAGACATTGTGGGATTTTTGGTTTGATATTCTGGGTTATATGGCTGTGTGGAAGGGCCTTTAATGTTGAGGCAAAAACATGAGCAAGATGAAGACTGGAATAGAGATAAGGGTAATTTAGTGCTATATTATCTGTTAGGGACAGTGCAATCCCATTCAGTTTGCCACTGATAAATAGCAGCGAACAGCAATAATGTGATGCTTTAGTAACTATATTTGTGCACCACATTCTGTGTAATGAGTTTAATTATACACCTGAAGGATAATTTGAAACTAATTCATAGATCCTCCTGAGTTACAAGTATTCTTATGGTTATTTCCCTTTCCCAATATTCCATGTTTAACAGAAACGTCATAATATATATATTCGTTATGTTCACATTCTGTCTTCCTCCAGTGACAGTGCAACATACATGCTCCCCTTTTCCTAGGTACATCAACACTGTACAATGAATGCAATTTGACTCCACTTTAATCACCATGGCTCAGTGCTATGGAATCATGGGAGCTTTAGTTTTACAAGGTTTTAAGCTCTATCAAGAATGCTGATGCCTCACCAAACTACAAATCCCAGGATTCCATAGCATTGACCATAGCAGTCAAAGTGCTGTTAAGCACATTACTTCTACAGTGTAGATGCATGACATGTTGAAAAATAAGGAGCATCCCAAGATAACCCAAGAAGCTTCATGGATCAGTGCGGACTAGATTTTGCCAGGTCCTACACAAACACTCTAGTACCACTACAGCATACTTCTTCTTTCCTTCCTGCTTGCTACAAAAACTGACAAAACTATGGAAAAACCCCTTAATTGGTCAGTTGTTCAGAATCAAAAATACATAGGGGGAAGAATTTTTGTGATAGGTGCTTATAAATCCCCAACACATATAACTTCAGATAGGCCTGATGGAGCTTTGTCACACAAACCAAATAAACACTTGCAGATTGTGCCCCTTCCCCAGTATTTGCCAATATTTGCAGCATTGTCCGCATCTCTTAACATGTCAAAGGCAAGGATGGGTATCTGAATGGGCATCTTTCATGGGAAATGCAGTTTCTTCAGGAATTATTTGAATATATAGCAGGAGGGGGAAAGTGAGTAAACCCACTCCTCCTTCCTTTATAGAGATGCTGCAGAAAGGACAGTTTACCTGACCAGTTCACTTTCAAAGGTGTTTTGAAATTAGGCTGAGGGTTACATGTTGTAAACTCAATCCAAGGTGTGCTCCAAACTATCAAAAACTGATGTAGACAGTTAGACTATGCTATCCACCTATGTAATTCTGAAACTCCATTGTGTTCATTGCTGATAGAACACAGAAGGAAGAGGCTAAATTATTAGGACAGAAGTTTTGGACAAGATAGAAGTTGTAACCTCATATTATAAAACAGTACAAAAAAGTGTGAAGTTTGTATCTCTGTTCTTCAGCTACAAATAGCTCTATCACTCAACTCATGATTTATGATTCAAGGCCAAACTCAGAAGTTGCTCTGAGAGCTGTGAAAAACTGAAGTCAACATGTTATTGTCAATAGAATGTTGACTTCAGTCAATAATATGTTGACTTTAATGTCTGGAATATTTAGGATGCCTGCCATATTTAGGATTTGCTGCATCTTATATCAGAAGATGGCCTTCCATATCTGCATTCTTTCAGTCATGGATGAGCCATTACTGACTTAGAACACAATCCTGTAAGCCATCATTATTTAGAAAGTAAATCACATTATGTTCAGGAATGCTTCCGCCTTAGTGTGCTTAGAGTTACTGAAAAACATTAAATTAAAATCAAGGGATATATTTCTGTTGGCACAAGATTGTTAGCTAATTCCTTCTTGGAAGGTTCCACATCTCTTGAATATTTATGCACAAAGAAAGCCGTAATAGCCAGAGTGCAAACAGTTCTGTTATATTTGCTGTCCCCCAAAAGGACATTGGATTGGTGCCGGATGAGCTTGGAAGCCAATTAAGACACACACACAGGACTGGAAGATGACAAAAGAAGACTTTATTAACAGAAAGGGGTACTTTGCAAGCATCTGCAAAGTAATCACACCCATCTAGCCATTTACAAGTTTTTTAAAAACTTTCTAACTAACAGAATGCTACTATCTGATGATGCTTTAGCATTCACTAATTGATTACAATATGCTCAACACCCACAAGAGAAGTTAACACAGCACGAAATAGCTTTGCACTAGCTAGTAAAATATTTTGCAGCTAGGCACTACATTGAACTGGCCTTTGCCTAGGATCTACATTTTTCTTAGCACTCTTCAAATTGATACGAAATTTCTGTTGTACAGCATATGTAGACAACTGATAATATAAGGTGCTATTAGCCTACATTACAGAGTTGTTGTCAGAAAGAATGTGATTCATATTAAACACGTTGAACCCTTGCAGACAAATGTAACTAGCTGTTGGGCTTGAAATTTAATTTTAATTAAATTGGGCAATCCTAGGCAAGTCACACTCATAATTCACTTCACAAGAATGCAGTCAGGACTACATCTACACTGTAGAATTATTGTGCTTAATACCTCTTTAACTGCCATGGCTTAATACTGTGAGATATTGGGATTTGTAGTTTAGGGAAGCAGCAACAGTCTTTGGCAAAGAAGGCTAATACTATGTTAATTGCCATGGCTCAATACTATGGGATATTGGGATGTGTAGTTTAGGGAAGGTCCAGGACTCTTTGTTAAAGAAGGCTAACACTACATTAACTGCCATGGTTCAATACTATGGGATACTGGGATGTGTAGTTTAGGGAAGCACCAGACTCTTTGGCAAAGAAGGCTAACACTACATTAACTGCCGTTGCTCAATACTATGGGATATTGGGATGTGTAGTTTAGGGAAGGACCAGCACTCTTTGGCAAAAAGGCTAAAGACCTTGTAAAACTACAACTCCCATAATTCCATAGCATGCAGCCATGGCAGTTAAAATGGCATCAAACTGCATTACTTGTACAATGTAGATTCATCACTTGTAGGAAAACACCTTGTAAAACTCTAGTGAAGTAAATTATGAGTGTATGACTGGTCCAAGATCACTCAGTTTCATTGAAATCCTAATTCCAGTCCAGTTGATATAATTCAGGTTGCATAGTTTAGGCTGTAGAATTCAACACATTTCATACAAACGTTATTACTTCTAACAACAACCATGCAATTTAGGTCAGTATCACTTTACATTACCAAAGGAGGGGGGAAAACGAGATACTTATTTGTGGCTTCCTGACAAACTCTTGCATAAAACAAGATTTCATCCAAGTAACCCTTGTGCAGGCAAACCTTTAACCAATTTGTCATTACAAATATCCTTTATTTGAAATACTTGGGACAAAAACTGTTTGTATTCTATAAAAAATAGATTTTGGAATATTTGTCTACATATTATGAGATATTTTAGAAATCAAACCCAAGTCTAAACACAAAATGGATTTACTTTTCCGCTAAACATTACAGCCTTAAGGTAAACATGTTTTGAAAAAAATGTGAATGCAACAAAGTGTGTGTACATTCTATTACAATGCAAAGCAGTCACTACCTCAGCCACCTATGTGGCTAGGTTTTGAGAATTTTGGATGTGGGATGCTAAAACTGTATCAGAGCCACAATTGAATATTTGCCATGCAACTAGAAAAGGAGAGGTAAGCAATACAAACCCCTACAAGAAACATCTATGTGCAAAGGGAAAAACTCTCCCTCTCTCCTGTGGAGATAAAAAGTGGGGTATAGATAAATATAATCACAAACATCATAATAATAGTCCTACACTCTGTATTTTTGTTGGTATTATTGTTGTTAGATTTATTTATATCCTATTTATCTCTAGAACAGGGACCCAAAGCAGCTCACAGCCTTTAAAATCTGTACAATAAAAAGTACAAAAATAAATATTAAAGTAGAATTAAACTAGGACAGTTATTAAAACAATTCAGTTTTAAAAAATTAAAAATAAATACAACAGATTCTCAGTTAACTGGAACTCAAGCAACCAGAACTCTCAAGCAACCGGCAAAATGAAAAAAAGAGAGTTTATAATAAGCTTTTTGTTTTATACAGTAAGCCTGTGTTACATTACATTTATATTTATTTGTTTTTAGTTACTGAATTTCAACATTAATAAACAGTCAATAGAGGGTATGGTATAGTATGCAGTATAGGATTAGGTAGGCCTGTTTAATAGTACCTCTCAAGCAATCAAAAACTACATTTATATTGCACATACTAATTTCCATGAATGCCAGTTAACTGAAAACTTACTGTATATAAATAAAGCTGTTAAATAGGTTTCCACTTATCTCTCACACACACATACACATACAAACATTAGGGGTGGATCTACATCAGGCATGGGCAAACTTTGGCCTTCCAGAGGCTGTTAGGAATTATAGGAGTTGAAGTCCAAAACACCTGGAGGACCACAGTTTGCCCATGCTTAGTCTGTGCAATGAATGCAGTGACATCACTTTAATTGACATGGTTCCATGTTTTGAAATCATGGGATTTGTAGATTTGTGAAGCAGCACTCTAAGGGCCCTTCAACACAGTCATATAACCCAGAATATCAAGGCGGAAAATCCCACAATATCTGCTTTGAACTGGGATATCTGAGTCCAAACTGCCATATATTCCAGCTCAAAGCAGATAATGTGGGATTTTATTTAACTGTGTGGAAAGGGCCTTAGGCTGGATCAACACTGCCATGTATGTATTATTTATTTACAACATTTATATGCCACCCTTCTCACCTTTTGCTCCAAAATCTTATGAATAAAGGTCTCTAGAATCCATAGATTTGTAGTATATAAAATAACTGCAAGGTGAAGGCACCCTACCACTCCCAAAGTAGCCCAGGCCCATAGACCAGTCTTCCTAAATTGTCATCAAAGATGGTGGGTGTTGATGGGGCTGCAATGGAGGACGGTTCTGAATGCAGCCAGCACCGATGTTACGACCAATGCTAGAATTTATTTATTTATTTAGTACATTTGTACCCCATCCTTCTCACTGCTGGAGGGGCGGTCAGGGCAACTTCACAACAAGCACTCGTTTAAGTGCTAACCACAATAATAAAAAATACATTTATAGCAATTCATTAAAATACATGACATTAGTAAAATATTTGCTTAAAATAATGCCGGTTTGTGGTCCAGTTTTTGATCCTGGATCATACTATGTAACACAATTTGAAAAAAAATTATTCCTGGTTTGAAAGTGTCATTTCCTGTGCAATTGTGCGGTAAGGTAAAGGTTTCCCCTGACATTAAGTCTAGTTGAGTCTGATTCTAGGGGTGGTGCTCATCTCCATTTCTAAGCCAAAGAGCCGGCATTGTCCGCAGACAGCTCCAAGACAATGTGGCCAGCATGACTACATGGAGTGCCGTTACCTTTCCAAAGAAGCAGTACTTATTGACTCACACTTGCATGTTTTCGAACTGTTAGGTTGGCTGAAGCTGGGCCTAACAACGGGAGCTTACCCCACTCCCCGGATTTGAACTGCCGACCTTTAGGTCAGCAAGTTCAGCGGCTCAGTGGTTTAACCCACTGTGCCACCGGGGGGGGGGGGGGGATTGTGCGGTACTTACTTTGAAAATAGTTGTTATACTCCAGAAACTTTGTTTTTGTGGCTGCCACAAACGATGTTGAATTGATTTGAGACTCCATAAGATATTCACTGAAAGACTATAGCAGAATGTGCTGCAGGATATTGTCAAAGGCTTTCATGGCCGGAATCACTGGGTTGTTGTAGGTTTTTTCGGGCTATATGGCCATGTTCTAGAGGCATTCTCTCCTGACGTTTCGCCTGCATCTATGGCAAGGGCTTCCGAAATGCTGGACCACTAACAATCACCATGTCAGACTACACAGAGAAGCCATTGAAATCCACAAACATGTGGACAATTTCAATAGAAAGGAAGAAACCATGAAAATGAACAAAATCTGGCTACCAGTATTTAAAAACTCTAAAATTACAACAGCAAAACAATCTGGGACATCTAATCATCTCTCAACTAAAGATTGCCCCAGGCACTGCCCGGCCATCAAATGCTAATCAAGGTGGTCAGTTGAAACAATCACACCTAGCTCCAGCAGACAAGAATCCTTTGTCCCACCCTGGTCATTCCACAGATATATAAACCCTTTTTCCTAGTTCCAACAGACCTCACTACCTCTGAGGATGCTTGCCATAGATGCAGGCGAAACGTCAGGAGGGAATGCCTCTAGAACATGGCCATATAGCCCAGAAAAAACCTACAGTGTAATTGAACATAGGAATACGGAATAATGGATGATGAGACTGGATTCTGATTGTACTGTTGAGGCGCTAATGATTGTTATATGGATGTTTAATTATTTATGTTACAATTGTTTTTAATTGCCCTATACTTGTCTTGTGATGTTTTGTATTGATGTTGTTCACCGCTTTGAGTTGCCTCAGGGCTGAGAAAAGTGGTATATAAATAAAGTAAATAAATACAACAACAACCCTGTGCTGCACGATGTCCTGTAAGAAAAGTTTAATACACTTTCCCCTTATTTTTATGATAGACCCAATCAGGAAATGACATGTATGAGCCAGGAACAAGAATCGTGTTGCAAGGTGTTATCTGGGATCAGATGCTGGCTTCTATGGCAATGTAGATCCAGTCAGTAAGGGGCCAAAGGCCTCACAGAACCACAACTCTCAGGCTTCCGTAGCCCTGAGCCATGCCAGATCCAGTGCTGTCAAACGGCACCCTGGGAGTTGTAGTCGGGGGAGGCCCCAGCCCTCTTTGGCAAGACAACCCCGACTCCCTGGTTCCTCAGCACGGAGCTGCTCTAGCTCTTTCCTTCCCCACCTTGGTCTCTCCGGCGAAGAACACCTTGTCTCCCGCCCTGAGGCAGGCTCCCTCTTCTGGGGGGCGGGGAGGGCCTGACTTGAGGCGCGGGCGTTGGGGGCGGCGGCGCCGGGCCTGATGCGGCAGGGTTTGGCCGCTGGAAGAAGAGGAGGAGCAGCAGCAGAAGGTGAAGGAGCAGCGGGTGCGGTAGAGCCTCCTCACCGTGCGGCGGACGAGCCCCACCGAGTAGGGCCCCCAGCGCGCCCACAGGTACAGGTAGCAGAGCGTGATGAGCATGGCGCCCCGGGAGGGAGGGGCGGGGCCAGGAGGGGAAGGAGGCAAGCCGCCGGCTCTGTTCCCTGCCCGGCATCCGCAGCGGGCGCGAAGTGAGCCAAGGGAGGGGGCGGGGCCGCCGCTTTCTGATTGGCTGCCCCGCCCCGCCTCGCGCGAAGGCAAGCGGCTTCCTGATTGGCTGCGGTCCCCTCCCCGCCCCAACGGACGTTCTTTGCAAGCGCTCCAAAACCGGAAGCGCCTGGTTTTGTAAACACCTCGTGGGGAGCTGCTTACACTTCTGATTTGATGCCATTTCCTCTCGTGACGTTGTATCTCGGGCAGTGGGTTAAACCCCTGTGCAGATAGGACTGAAGACCAACAGGTCGCAGTGGTTCTCAACCTTCCCCTTAATAAGAGTTCCTCATGTGGTGCTGACCCCCAACCATATCATTTTCATTGGTACTTCATAACTGGAACTTTGCTACTGTTATGAATCGTCATGTAAGATATATTTTCATAGAGTAGGCTACCAGATTGTTATTTTACTTTGGCAGAATCCTAGGGTTAGCAGAGATCCCATGAGCCATCATGTCCAACCCCTGCCATGCAGGAAAAACACAAAGCACCCCCAGCAGATGACCATCCAGTCTGTGCTTAAATAACCAAAGACGCAGCTTCCACCACACTCTAAGGCAGAAAGTTGTGTTATTCTGTTATTGTTGTTATTGTTGTAAACAGACATACCACTTGTCCACATACTTCTTAAACTCTACTGTGTGCATTACCAAGAGATGGTTGCACTGTTCAGTTGCAACTAAAATGAGAGATGAAATTAATTTATTGGGAAAGTAGTGGTCAGCTAGGTTGAAACTCAAACTTCCTGACATTAAAAACAGAATAAAAAACCTTGAAAAGCATATCAGCTATGAAAGAAGTTTAAAGTTTGTCTCAAAGTACTTCAACTAGAGAGCCTTCTTTATGTGCTTATATCAAATGATGGCATTTCATATCTGGATTCTTTCACTCATGGAAGAACCTTCATTGACTTTAGGGCATAATCTCATGAGCCATTATTATTTAGAAAGCAAATCCTATTATATTCACTAATGCTTCCTCCTTAATGTGTTCAGAGTTACAGATATAGCAGAAAAGCATTAAAATAAAATCTAGGGATATATTTCTGTTGGCACAAGATTGTTTGCTAATTCCTTCTTGGAGTATTCCACATATCTTGAATAGATCATATATGCACAAAGGAAGCCACAATGGCCAGAGTACAAATAGTTCTATGGTATTTGTTGTATCCCCAAAGGATGGTGGACTTGTGCCCAGTTCACTTGGAAGCCAATTAGTACACATGCAGGGCTGGAAAAACAGAAAATGAAGCACTGATCAAGACTTTCTGGAAAAGGGTGGTTGGCAAACCTTTGCAAAGCAAGCACACCCACCTATTCATTTACAAGTCTTTTTAAAGTGTACTAGCTAACAGGGTGCTACTATCTTTACCACCTGCCTTGGCATTTATTGATTAACTATAGTAAGCTTATGGCCCACAAAAAAAAGAGCATGTATTAGATTGGGACTTATTACTAATGTGTAGGCACTACATCTGAATAGCCTTGGCTTGGTATCCCTGTCATTCTTAGCAATTTTCAAGTTTGATGTTTATCTTCTGTTACATGTCATATGTAGAAGAGTTCAAGAAAACAATTACGGGAAGCTGCTTTACAGTATGTGAAGTGACTGCACAACTACATGGTATACATTAAGTTCCATGCGGCAAAGTGACAGAGGTGCTACTGATCTATGTTAATAAAAGAATGTCTCTGCCATAGCTGAAAGACCAGGAATCTAGTTTTCTGAAATTTGGCATTCATATTAACAAATAAACATATGGTATTTCAGGGTAATTTGGTATAATTCATTTCTCCTATGACCTGCAATACTATAATCAGCAATTAACAAGTAAGGAAGATGGCTTAGTCCTTTAGTTTCTCTAGAAGGCCTTTACATGTGTCAAAGGTTCTAGTGAAAACAAGAAGTCGGTTGCAATATCTATTTGCAGAATTCTCAGTCTTAAAACAAATTAACAGAGAAAATCTGCTGCTGGTACAGCAAGTATGTGAAAAGGACAATCAAGTGACGGAACAGATCAAAGAATCCTGGGGAAAGGTCCAGTGTGATGAAGTAGTTTGATAGTTACAACAGGACTCCAGAACACAATAATCAAATTATGTTCAGCTGTGGAAACCCGGTGCATAACACTGGGCAAGTCAAACTCTTTCAACCTAGAGGAAGGAAATTACAAACCCCCATGGAACTATTTCTCCCAAGAATATCCCATGACAGTTTCAGCTTGGTTTTGCCATAAGTTGGAAGTGATTTAAAGTCATGCCAAAGGCTGGTAAGAGTATCCTTCTTGGTTATTCTAATATAATCATAACTCATACAGACATTCCATGCGTGCTTATGGAACTTCTCACAGAAATAACTACTGGTTCTTACAGGAAGAAAACTGAGAGCTTAGATCTTCTAAACCAGGAAAGCATGTTTTTATTTAATGTATCAATGTGATTCACCTTCTATTTACAAAAAATGACTATAAAACAAATATTGCAGCCCTGTTCAGGTGGAACAGACACCACATTTGCAGTATTGACATCAACCAAAAAGCACATGGATTTCCAACCCCAATAAATAAATTCCTGATAAGCAAAGAAAATCCCACTTAAGCTAAAATACTGTATAAACAAGAAATAACATAATATATAAATGTATGCCCATATCCACAAATATAAATTTCCCTGTTGGAGTTTGAGCCTGCAAAGAGACCTTGACGTAATTTGGAACTTGCACAGCAAACCTTTTTCCTGCCTTGCTTTCTCAATCTTAATGCACTATGTTATGCATTGCCAAAGGGCTCAAGATCCAACCTGGCTGCCAGTCATAAACCTAAGGAATACATTGCTATGTAAGTGTGAAGAGTGCATCACAGAGAAAAAAGTTTAATCTCATAGCACCAACCCATCTGTATAAAATTCACCTTCAGGAGTACATATTAGCAGTTCAATGAGGTTAATTCCACTCTCAATTTATTATTATTTTCATTTACAGCTCACCTTTCTTCTGTTTAGAACAAAGCAGAATACATAATGGCAACGGGAAGTTTTTAAAAAAGATTTTCTTTCTGTGTATCAAGGCAATAATCATAGCAGCTTAACACGAGAATACTAATACATAGAATGTATGCAAACTGGAAGTCTAATGCAAAGGAACTAATGCCGCATTGCCATTACAGCCCTAAAGAACATGAGTTCCAAGTTTCAAAATTAAATGAATTTCCCTTTTAATGTCATATGCATTTTTTTTGGTTGACGGAATTTAAATTTCACGTGTAAGCTAATTTAATGCATGTTTAGCATGAAGTTTGTAAGAAGTTGATGTAAATTTTGTCTGTAACTATGTGCTGTTTGTCACCATTTTTGCCAGCCTTTGAAGGCCACTGAAACAAGTTCTGAATGAAATGTACAGGAATGTTTTTGGAATAAAGCCCATTTTTGAAATACATAATGAGACTTTGCTTCTTCTACAGTCAGCCCTACTGAATATTTCAAATTCCTTTTACTTTTTTCACTAGGAACTTATATCTGGATCTCTCCAGTTCCAGCATGGGCAAATGATGAGCAGCAATGGTATACGAAGAGAGAGAATGTTCATCCTTTGAAAAAATTCCTGCAAATATTGCACCATTACTCCATAGCTACTTTTACATACTTTCAAGTCAACCATTTTGGCACTACATCAAGTTTGTTTTCAATTACAAAACTGAGACTTCTTTTTCAAATGGATGTGCTTGAACAGACAGCATTTCCTTTCATCAGTTTCTAGGACAATCTCGGTCAGTCAGGAAAAACATTTTATTTACTTCACTGATAGGGATATCTCTTAATGCAGGGATAGCATCTGTCTGTGGTTCCTTATGTTTCTGATTTTTTGCATAGTGGTCTGTAAAATATGCAAGAAAAAAGACATCCTGCTTTTAGTTTCCTTAAAGCAAGACTTTCATGATATCAAGACCTTAATTTGAGATTAAAACATGAACATGCTTTTAAAACTAGTCTCAAAGAGATGTATTATCCCACCTTACCAATACAATAAAGTATGGGTAACATTATCATACCAATCCCAAATAATAAGACTGATTGATAGCTTTAGAATGGACAACTAGATTTATTGTGACTCTCTTTGCTATTTTAAAAGAAAGGCATGAAGAGATCAGGTGCACGGGTGAAACAGGCAATAAGCATCGGACAGATAGAGAAAGGAAAGGGTGCCTAGTTCCTCCCTTCCTTTGCTTAGGTGAAAGAGACACACATTACATGAGTAACAAGAAGAGGAGCCAGGGAATGGACAAGGCAGCTGAGGTGGGGGTGGTGCAAAACCTCCTCCTCCTCCTCCCTGTCGCTGTATGTCATGTGTGCTTATTTCAGTCTGGAAAAGGAAAGGAGGAACTGGGTGTCCTTTCCTTTCTCTACCTGTGTCTTGCTGCCTTCCTCCAACTGAGCACACCATTTCTCTGTTCCTTTCTCTGCCTCCTCCCTCCACCTCTGTTGCTGCCCTATGCAATTTTTCATAGGGATTTACAAGCCTTGTTGTTCATTCGTGTCACCCTCAATCTCATGAAGCTCGCAATACCTATTAAAACACAGAAGCAGCCAGAAATAATACACAAATAATCAATTTTGTGAAAGTGTGACCAGGGCAGAAACATCTGTCTCACAATAAAACATGTACTACCACCAAGTTAAAACAACATTGCAAGTGCACTATTTGCTGATTTTGTGAAGAGCTTTACCTGTAATGGTATGTGTGGAATTCAGTGGGGCTGTACTTATCATATTAATACCAAAGAGAAGTACATAACCGATTCCAGTACTGACTAAAAGATATGCAGGCACAGCCACAGCCCAGTACCTGTAAAACAATGAAACACAGTTTAAGAGTGAGCTGCTCCTAGGGTCCTGTTTAGGGAGAAAAGTGCCATAAAATAAAAGTAAGTGATGTTGGAGAAAAATGTATACCAAGCAAAGCCCCATTCAGAATGAATTATCACAGTACCAAAAGGAAGAAGTACAGAAAATCAACCAAAATGTTGGATTTTGGGGAATTTTTGTTTAAAAAACAAGTAAAAAGGGACAAGGAACACAAAAGAACATACACACATAAGTGAACACACACACACATACACATAAACATCAAAAGAACAAAGCTGGAGAGATGGTGATTTTCTCTGCTTTTTCATGAAAGCAGAACGAACTTACTTCAACTAAACTGATTGGTTCTATATTCGGATTAGGAAAAGAAGAAGAATTGTTTTAGGCATAGATGTGGGTCCTTGGTCTGAGCCACAAGTCTCTTCTTGTGTAAGACTGTTTTAAAATTAGCATGCTAATTCTCTGCATAACTAATTGGCTTTAAACACATAACATATATTCAGCAAAATAATTATTCAAACTTACTTTTGAGGCCAGTAGGTTAATCCTAATGAAAAGAGCCAGGAGTCTGGTACATAGGCCCACACAAGGTAGAGAACTGCATATACAAAACAAGGGGGGAAACATTAAGTACAAGAGTAAACAGGACACCACTTCCTATACTAAAGGCTCCAACTTAGCATTTTTTGCCTGGCTGTCATTGGACGGACGTTTCTTTCTAACTATAACAGTGTTTTTATTTCCAGTCTGGAAAGTTGGTCTTCGCCAAATGCAAGGAACATCCTGAGAAGCCTGGGTGCAGCAATTCTGATCTGAGCAAGCCTGAGCCTAAGCTAAATTTACTTTTAAAAAATCAGTACACAATTGGTAACGACCAATTTAAGGAAATGTTTTTCAGTACTCATGAAAGTGTTAATCAATCATAATGTATTATACTATTACCAAAAATCACAAGGAGAATTAAACTGAACAATTAAGTAATGGAATTTGGAGTAATTAATAATATACTGTCATGTTGTTATTGTGTGCCTTCAGGTAGTTTCTGATTTATGATTATCCTATTATGGGGTTTTTTGGCAATTGTTCAGGGGGGGGGGTTGGTTGCCTTTGCCTGCCTCTGACTCGATGACAGTGCGATTTGGACAAGATCACCCAATAGATTACCATGGCTGAGCAGTGATTTGAAGCCTAGTTGCTGAAATCATAGGCCAACACTCAAACTGCTATGCCTTTATATAAATACTGTATGTTTTGGATAAATTTCATATCTCAAAATTAATGTATCCCAACAGGTGTAGTGATGCAAACTATTCCAATTTCCACATCCAAAGAGGACTATTATCCACCAATTAGACAAAGATAAACAGATTGTAAACAGATGGGTCATTAGATGGTCCATCTGAGATAACCTGGTGTCTAATCCTACTCAGAGTAAATATCAATGGCATCATTAGGATTTATTTCCAATTCCCAATTAAAAGCAATGACCAGGCTTGAGTGGACAGATTAAGAAAATCTGTCAGATATCGCTGTCATTTTTTTCCAACCAACTTCAAGGATTTCTGATTTTTGACAGTACTCTTACCCCTAATCTATTGACTAAGTGGAGGATATCTGTACAATAAAACACCCAAGTTGCATAAATAATTTTGCGAACATCCATCACATCTTAGAAGTAACTAATTAAGAACACATTATTACTTATGATCAATTCCTTTTTTAGCAGCATATCAAAGATATAATAAATTAAAGCACAAGGAATAATTATAGACTTTTTATATCATGTGTCTTTTACTTATATTTGTATCTACAACATTTGTTTTGTAACACCAATCTTTCTGATTTTTTAAAATGAAGTAACTAAGAGGTACTAATTGTAGTGGTTCCTGAACAAAAGCAAAGTTAAATGTAACCCTAGCAAAATGCTTTCTTGAGGTCCTTGGACATATAGATAATACCTTTTTAAAAAGTAGCATTCTGTATGATGAACATGCTCAAGAAGTGAATATACTCACTAAAGACAAACTGCGAGCCTAAGTAAAGAACAAAGCCGTATATAGCTCTTTCAGGCAACGGAGCTGGAGAGTTTTCAACCATGTTGGAATCTTCTGTTTATCTTGGATGAGAACGGGGAGAAAAAAATATAATTAACTTTAGAGTGTTTTAGCTTTCCACAGGTACCAACAAGCTTTGCAAGGCACTGCTTTATATTAAATGCTCCCTAGAAATAATGAAGGGAAGCTAAAGGTTACACAGTAACTCTGTAAGGCAGAATCAAAGTAGACAGTATTAAGAAGTCAATATTTGTTATGGTACTGTTTCAGGTGGTGCAGTGGGTTAAATTGCTGAGCTGAACTTGCTGACCAAAAGGTCAGCAGTTTAAATTCGGGGAGCGGGATGAGCTCCCGCTGTTCAGCCCAGCTTCTGTCAACCTAGAAGTTGGAAAACATGAGAATGTGAGTAGATCAATTGCCATCAGTCTGGCGAGAAGGTAACGGTGCTCAATGCTGGCCACATGACCTTGGAGGCATCTATGGACAATGCCAGCTCTTCGGCTTATAGATGAGCACCACTGCCCAGAATCGGACACAACTAGATCTAATGTCAAGGGTAAACCTTTATCTATTGTTTCAGGTAACAATTTTGTGTTACAGAAAAAAAATTCTTCACACATTCAGGTTCCAACTCAGGCAGCAAAATGTCCTAGGTCCAATTATACACTATTGTGGTTGGTTGTTTCAGATGTAATTATTCCTGATCGGCAGTGGTGAACAGTGTGTGCTTTTGCAACTATATGCAGTCTGCCACAAGGTTCTTTTGCCACCCCAATTCTTCCAGATTCCCTTAATTTCCTGGCAAATAAATAAATAACCCAGGTTGAACTGCTTTTCCTGGAAGCTTCTAAAAGCAGCTATTCACTTTTAAATAGGTTACAGGTCCCTCTGCAATACTTAACTTTTTAAACAAGCAGTTTCTCATAATGAGAACTGAACCTCTACCTCCATCTGTTTTGTTGCTGTTAAGAGCTTTATGGCAGTCTGTGCAGCCCCCAGAGTGTCAGCATAGGATTTTTTCTTATGTTCTTACATTTTTAAATGCAAATCAGCAATCACAATGAAACAAAAAGTTGTCCATAAAGTGATGAACATCCAAAGTTTAAATTATTTGTTAATTATTTAAATGTCTGTCAGTCAATGAGGTTGTAGCTGCGTTTTTCCCTGATCACCTTATTCTTGTCCACAATGCATGAACCCTGGGGCAAGTTCAATATTATTTATTTATTTATTTACCACATTTGTATACCACCTTTCTCAGCCATAGGCGATTCAAGGCGGTTCACAGTCGGCAGCGATTCGATGGTATAACAATTATAAAGATGCAGTTAAAATGATTATAAAAACAATTAAAACATTTAAAATGTGATATAAAAACAATACAGCAGCATTAATTCTAGTGTAGACCCAGCAAGGGCAAACTTCGGCCCTCCAGGTGTTTTGGACTTCAACTCCCACCATTCCTAAACGCTTCAGGCCCTTTCCTTTTTGTAAAAACAAAATCTTCAGTGTCTCCTTACTACAATAATTGTCCATATATTATATTATATATGTTTTTTTTGTCGTGTCAGGAGTGATTGCAAGTTGCTCCTGGTTTGAGAGAATTGGCCGTCTGCAAGGATGTTGCCCAGAGGATGCCTGGATGATTTTGATGTTTTTATCATCCTTGTGGGAGGCTTCTCTCATGTCCCCGCATGAGGAGCTGGAGCTGATAGAGGGAACTCATCCACCTCTCCCCGGATTCGAACCTGTTACCTGTCGGTCTTCAGTCCTGCCGGCACAGGGGTTTAACCCACTGTGCCATATGATTATATATATTTATATTATATCATATATTATATATATTATTTAATATACATTATATTATATTACATTATATATTGCATATAAAATCATTGTCCAATTGCATATATTGCATAAATGTCAATCCATATATTCGTTTTTGTCTAATTATGCTCCAGTAGTAAAAGCTTACTCGAAGAGCCAAGTCTTAACCTTTTGACAGAATGTTAGAAGGGAGGGAGCCAATCTTATATCCCTGGGAAGGGCAATGCATACCCGAGGGGCCACCACTGAGAAGGCCCTGTCTCTTGTCCCTGCCAAATGTATCTGTGAGGAAGGCGGGATCGAGAGCAGGGCTTCCCCGATGATCTTAAGGTCCTAGCTGGTTCATAAGGAGAGATATGTTCGGATAGGTATGAAATGCTGCAATGTCACACTTTGCCCTTATCACCTCCAGCATCCATATGGTCACATTTTGTTCAGGCAAAGGCTGGCTCCTCCAATACCCCCACCAACAGACAGCATTCTTTTTCGACACTGTTTAGTAATAATAATAACAATAATAATCAATGCCGTTCGAGTCTACTTTAACTGCCCTGGCTCAATTCTATGAAATCCTGGGAGCTGTAGTTCGGTGAGTCCCCAGAGAAGGCCAAAGACCTTGCAAAACTACACTATAGCATTGATCCTGTGCAGTTAAAATGGTGTCAAACAGCATTAATTCTATTGTAGATCCGGCAAGGGCAAACTTGGGCCCTCCAGGTGTTTTGGACTCCAACTCCCACCATTCCTAAACGCCCCAGGCCCTTTCCTTTTTCCCCTCAGCCGCTTAAGCGTTTAGGAATGGTGGGAGTTGGAGTCCAAAACACCTGGAGGGCGCAAGTTTGCCCTTGCCTGGTATAGATGCACCCGTGTCCAGTTTGCAGCTCCTTTTCTACGTGGATCCACGTGGGATTTCTGTCTTCAGGCCCAACGTCAACCTCTAACCGGAAGTTTACCTTTCTGGGAGGCTACTTTGAGCCTCTTGCTCTGGAGAACGCGGAAGCTTTACATTTTGATGGACTTCCGCCTTTTCCCCTCTCCCTCTCCTCTCTTTATCTCTCCTTATGTTCCTCAGAACCCGTCTCAGGCTCCCTGAAGATTTGCTCAAAAGCCAGACCTTCCTGGGGATTGGCTTCCGAGCCGCTGGGCGTGAAATGGCGGCCTGAATGGATCCGGGGAGCCATTTTGGGAGGGCGCCTTAAAGCGACACGCGCCCTTTTCTTCCTCAGGGCTACTCTGAACGTTCAAAGGAGTTGGGAAACCACATTTCCCATAGGAAGGGATGCAAATGGGGAAAAACTGGAACTCCCCTGTTCGGGTTCTTCCACACAGCCCTGTAACCCAGAATATCAAGACAGAATAACCCACAATATCTGCTTTGAACTGGAATATCTGAGTCCACACTGCCATATATCCCAGTTCAAGGCAAATAATGTAGGATTTTATTCAAATGTGTGGAAGGGGTCTTACACATGTTGCCTTTAGGTGAATACATTCATCTGTACCCACTATTTGGGTGAATAGTGTTTAGCATATTTAGCCCGAAGAAGAGAAGGCTGAGAGGAGAGATGATAGCCATGTATAAATATGTGAGAGGAAGCCACAGGGAGGAGGGAGCAAGCTTGTTTTCTGCTTCCCTGGAGACTAGGACGCGGAACAATGGCTTCAAACTACAAGAGAGGAGATTCCATCTGAACATGAGGAAGAACTTCCTGATTGTGAGAGCCGTTCAGCAGTGGAACTCTCTGCCCCGGAGTGTGGTGGAGGCTCCTTCTTTGGAAGCTTTTAAACAGAGGCTGGATGGCCATCTGTCAGGGGTGATTTGAATGCAATATTCCTGCTTCTTGGCAGGGGGTTGGACTGGATGGCCCATGAGGTCTCTTCCAACTCTTTGATTCTATGATTCTATGAATCAGGGATTTCTCCGTTGTTTTCTGTCAACAGCCCATTTGGAAAGGAAAAACGCACAAAATAAGAATGAAGAAATTGTGTTTTCTGATGTCTGGATTGCCTATTGTCCCATTTCTGGAGAATTCCTATTGTTCTCGGTGTTGTTGTTCATTCGTTTAGTCGTTTCTGACTCTTTGTGACTTCATGGACCAGCCCACGCTAGAGCTCCCTGTTGGCCGTCGCCACCCCCAGGTCCTTCAAGGATCCCATCCATCTTTTATATTGTTGATTTTGTTATTCTATATTTTGTTATGATGTATTTTGTTACTGTGTGTTTATTATGTTGTATTATTTTGGGCTTAGCCTCATGTTAGCTGCACCAAGTCCCCTTTGCGGAGATGATAGTGGGTTATAAATAAAGTGTATCATCATCATCATCATCATCATCATATTTAATTACTTATTAATCGCCCTCCATCCGAGATGCTCTAGGCGATTTACAAGCTAAATTGTAAAAGATAAAAATACATACATACAAAAATTAATAATTAACATAGATCAAATGCTCTAGTGAAAAGCCAGGTCTTAAGTGCTAGAGTAAAAGGCCCTAAGTCACGCATTGTTATTATCTTGCCCTTGGTCAGCCCCTCTTCCTTTTTCCTTCCATTTCCCCCAGCATCACTGTCTTCTCTAAGCTTTCCTGTCTTCTCATGATATGGCCAAAGTTCTCGGTAGGAACTGTGATATAGGATGCATCTAGATCAGGCACAGGCCAACTTTGGCCTTCCCTCCAGGTGTTTTGGACTTCACCTCTCACAATTCCTAACAGCCAGTATGGGTGTTAATTAATTCTAGTGTAGACCTCACAACCTCTGAGGATGTGGGCAAAAGTGTAATCAAAGGCTATCGTGGCTGGAATCACTGGGTTGCTGTGATTCTGGAACATGGCTGTATGACCATGTTCCAGAAGCATTCTCTCCTGACATTTTGCCCACATCTATGGCAGGCATCCTCAGAGGTTGTGAGGTCTGTTGGAAATTCAGCAAGGGAGATTTATATATCTGTGGAATAATGTCCAAGGTGGGAAAAAGAACTCTTGTCTGCTTGAGGCTGGTGTGAATGTTGCAATTGGCCACCTTGATTATCATGTAATGGCTTGGCAGCTTCAAGGCCTGGCTGCTTCCTGACTGCCTGGGGGGATCCTTTGTTGGGAGGAACATTGAAGAGCCTCCCAGCTACAAATCCTGTGGTCTAATGTCCAGGGTGGGAGAAAGAATTCTTGTCTGCTTTGGGAAGTGTGACTGTTGCAATTGGCCACCTGTATCATGTAATGGCCTTACAGCTTCAAGGCCTGGCTGCTTCCTGACTGCCTGGGGGGATCCTTTGTTGGGAGGAACATTAAAGAGCCTCCCAGCTACAAATCCTGTGGTCTAATGTCTAGGGTGGGAGAAAGAATTCTTGTCTGCTTGACTGTTGCAATTGGCCACCTTGATTATCATGTAATGGCCTTGCAGCTTCAAGGCCTGACTGCTTCCTGACTGCCTGGGGAATCCTTTGTTGGGAGGAACATTGAAGAGCCTCCCAGCTACAAATCCTGTGGTCTAATGTCCAGGGTGGGAGAAAGAAAAGCGTGACTGTTGCAATTGGCCACCTGTATCATGTAATGGCCTTGCAGCTTCAAGGCCTGGCTGCTTCCTGACTGCCTGGGGAGGAGAATGGGAATTTGTTGGGAGAGAATACTTCTGGAACATGGGCATACGGCCCGAAAAACTCACAGCAACCCATAAAGTTTTACTTACTCTAGTCCTATGTGTTTCCATACGTTTCAGCACACACGTCTCCGTTCATGAATGAATCATGTCTCAGGTTAAATAATATAATTATGCCTCGAAGCTTAGGTAAAGAATGCTCAGCTTCCAACGGTCCATCCCTTTCCTATCAGCCTCATCGGGGCAGAAAAGGATTGTGGGAATCGTAGTCCACAGCATCTGCAAAGGGTGCACGTATACTGTAGAATCAATGCACTTTAACAACTCTAGGCACGTTGTAGATATAACCAATGCGGTTTGACGCCACTTCGACCGCCAGGGCTCAATGCGGCGGGATCCTGGAACTGGTAGTTTGACGAGGGCAAGAGCTCCAAACTACAAATCCCAAGGTTCCGTCGGGTCGAGTCTGTCCTGTCGCGGTAGTTTTAGAGTCGAAGGCGTGACGTCACCACGACGACTGGCCAATGAGGAGGCGAGGCGAGTCGGAGGCGGGCTGCACAGTGCTGAGAGGGCCCAGTCGGTGGAGGAGAAGCGAGGCGGCGGAACAATAGGCCTTCGTGGCGGGTGAGTGAGTGGGGGCGATATTGGGACCCCACAGGCCATAACGGTAGTCCTTCCCAACCCGCAGTGCGCGGAGAGGCCTCTGGTTCGTGTTCGTTCTTTCTGTGGCGGTTGTTTATCCTGTGAGGAGAGCAGCTCTGGGCATTTTGGGAGGCAAGTGTGACTGCTGCAATTGGCTACCCTGATTATAATTTAATGGCCTTGCAGCTTCAAGGCCTGGGTGCTTCCTGACTGCCTGAAGGGATCCTTGTTTGGAGGAGAATGGGGGAACCAGGAAACCCACCGAAGGCGCCACAATCTTTCTTAGACCTCATTCTACTTCAAGTATGGGCACCAATCGGCCCTCCAGGTGTTTTGGTCCTCAGTCAGAGGCATTTGACTGTACAGGATTGACATGGGCAAACTTGGGCCCTCCAGATGTTTTGGGCTTCAGCTTCTACCATTCCTAACAGCCTCAGGCCCTTTCCTTTAGGAAAGGGCCGGAGGCTGTTAGGAATGGTAGGAGCTGAAGCCCAAAACATCTGGAGGGCCCAAGTTTGCCCATCCTGTGCCAGAGCATACGCAACGTCAATGGGACTTGCTTCCAATAATAATAAAATAAAATAAACTTTATTTATATACTTCCCTCGGGGACTCAGAGCGGTTTCCACATACGCAAAATAATACAAAAACATACAATATAAAACATAAACAGTTAACATGACATATATATTAAAATCAATTTAAAACCAAGTCCGCTCTCTTCTTCATGCAAGGTAAGCTGCCAGGGGCAAAGATTTCAATAAGGGGCCTGGACTATTTGGAACGGGTTGGGTCAAGGCTAGTGCAAGAAGAAGGGAAAAATGGGGCTGGCTGAATACTACAGTGCAAGGATTACTCCCAGTAATGGTCCTACTAGGGGACTGGGACCACTCAATTCCAGGGCAAATTAAAGGACTATGAAAAAGGTCTAGGCCGGAAGAAAAGGTGCCCTCAGATGACAGGGAACAAGGGAATGGATGGGGCACAAGGCCAAGTCCTAACTGTTGGACCAAGGGCTTGAGACTAGTCATTATCGAAAGCCTGATGAAACCACCCAGTCTTCAAGTTTTTACGGAAAAAGGTGAGGGATGGGGCCAGCCTTATCTCCTTGGGGAGGGCATTCCAGAGGCAGAGACACCACCGAGAAGGCCCTCTCCCTCGTCCCCACCAACCAGGCTTGAGATGGTGTTGAGAGTGAGAGGAGGATCTCCCCAGTGGAACTTGGTATCCACGCCAAGTAGTACGAAGTGTTGCCAGAGGAATATTACTGCCAATAACGACAACTGTTGCAGGAAGGAAGGATTGTATTGCAAATAATGACAGGAGACATACGGTACCACAGAAAACCAAATGCAGTTCCAGACTTCAGGTCGGAAGAGGTGAACTTCGCGGTGACCACATTTTTTTTCTTATCAGTGTCAGAGGCAAATTGAAAATACTGTAAGTCACTTCTAGTGTGAGAGAATTGGCCTTCTGAAAGGATGTTGCGCAGGGGACTCCCGGGCGTGTTACCATCCTGTGGGATGCTTCTGTCATGTCCCTGCTGGGGCTGACAGACAGGAGCTCACCCTGTCTCATGGATTCAAACCGCCAACCTTCACGTTAGCAATTTAGCCTGCACAAGGTTTTTTTTGTGACAGGAGCGACTTGAGAAACTGCAAGATGCTTCTGGTATGAGAAAATTGGTAGTCTGCAAGGACATTGCCCAGGGGATGCCTGGATGTTTTGATGTTTTACTCTCCTTGTGAGAGGCGTCTCTCATGTTCCCACATGGGGAGCTGGAGCTGACAGAGGGAGCTCATCTGCACTCTCCCCATATTCGGACCTCCAACCTGCTGGTCTTCAGTCCTGCTGTCACAAGGGTTTAACCCATTGCGCCAACAGGGGCTCCTGCACAAGGGTTTAACCCAGTGGTTCTCAACCTGTGGGTCCCCAGATGTTTTGGCATTCAACTCCCAGTAATCCCAGTAAAGTGGCTGGGATTTCTAGTGGTTGTAGGCCAAAACACCTGGGGACTCACAGGTTGAGAACCACTGGAATCTATTACACCACCATGGCTCCCTGCGGCCACTGAATTTTCCTTCATTTGCATGGTGATAAATCAACAGTGTGGCTGCAACATCCTCCCTCATTTCTGCTTTAAAATGAGACATCTATTGTGCCTCCACAAATCTGATTCTTGCTCCTGGAAACCTTCTGTAAGAATGAGTCAGCCTTAAACTTGGGCGTGAGCTCCTTTCTCACTTTGCTGTGGCGGCATTGCTTGTTGCTGCTCTATCAGTTTTGCAGTCAGGATTCAAAAGCATGGTGCAAAATGTCGAGGGACTTCTTCAAGTGCTACAAAAACCAGCTTTGAGGGAGGAGGACAAGACATTCAGGCAGCATATTATCCAAGCTTTGGAGTACAGAAATGGATTATAGATTTGAGAATGGTATAATGCCTGCAGTATATATAGGTTGTTTTACATTAAAATTGTGACTTTTTGCATATTAACTAATTAAAATATTACTGAAGGACATGATGTTCATTCCAACAGCTAAAAATATCAAAGACAGGTGTTTCCTGCTCACTCAGATTTCTATTTCTTCCCCATTAGGCCTTTGCCTGCGTTTGGGGAGAAAGAGGGTAAACCTTTTTCTCTCCTGTTTGTTTGGCATTTAATTATGTTGAAAACCACTTTGCGTTTCCCCAGAGGAGAGAAAAGCAGTGTATAAATACAGTAAATAAATAAATAAATAAAACCCTCATAAATGTTACTGTTATTGTTTAGTTTCATTTATTTATTTATTGCATTTCTATACCGCTTTTCTCACCCCTGGAGGGATTCAAAGTGGTGTACAACATAATAAATGGCAAAGATTTAATGCTGGACATACATATAAAAGCAATGCATAACATCTTTAAGTCAATAACATATAGTTATGATTTAAAACCATTAAAATCTGTACAAAAATATCTAACATGGACATAAAATATTTAGATATTTCACAAATCCCATGGTTGTCATTTATCTGCTTCAGTGGTACTATCACTTGCTGAATGCCTGCTCACATAGCAAGGTTTTGGGTTGTTTTCTCAACACCATGAGGGAGGGGGCCAATTTAATCTAGTTAGGGAGGGAGGTCCACAGCTGAGGGGCCACCACCGAGAAAGCCCTGTCTCTCGTGCCCACCAGTTGCACCTTTGAGGAGGGTGGGACGGAGAGCAGGACCTCCCCAGCTGATCTGATCACTCAAACTGTTGTGAAATATATGGCTGAGGTTGTTTTACTAGCTAGCTTGGTCTTCTGGCATTCAGAGCATATAACAATTTATGTAGGCATAGATTTTAATGTGCTGTTACTAAGCATATCACTCTATAGAGCACATTTAAAAAAATACTGCCACAATGAGCATAAACTATGCATTGCAGGTGATGCTATACTGGTACCATTCATTATTCTTTAGGCTATAAACTCATCTTACTGTGTACAAGGTGGCAAAATGAGGTAGTATTTTTCTAAGGAAATATATTTTAACTATTCGCAAGAATATATGAATGTTTCTACGAGATAATAATTTTGAACCAATGGCACAATCGTTTTTCGTTACTTTCATAATGTAAAGAACATTGGAAGAGGGTTTATTCATTGTTACAACATAACTAGAAATAAGTTGGAAAAATATTCTAAGTACCTCTTTATGTAAGTATACATCAGTCAATTATGGTAATTCTTCCACTTTTGCTGGGATTATGGGCACATCTTCCCATTTGGACTGCCTACCTAGCAGTTCAAAAACATGCAAAATGTGAGCAAACCACTCCAGCGGGAAGGTAATGGCCCTCCATGCAGTCATGCCAACCCCGTGACCTTGGAGGAATCTACGGTCAATGCCGGCTCTTCGGCTTAAAAATGGAGATGATCAACACCACCCAGAGTCGGACTCGACTAGACTTAATGTTAAGGGGAAATCTTTAGCTATGAGTGCAAAGTGGAATAAAACTCAAATAACCGGGGGGGGGGGGGCATAATAAGTCACCATTGCTATGGCTCCCAGAGGGAGGAGGAACTTGTGCTTCATGTACCCAGCAGAGTTTGGTTCCTTTTTCACCCCATCTTGCATGACATAACTTTTTGTTTTGTCTGAAAGATACTAAGGGGGCCAGAAACAGGATGGAGAGGATCCACCCTGTGGGTCCAATTCTTCTTCCTGTGCGCTGCCTGTTCTGTTTTCCAGTACTTATCTTGTTTTGCCTGGATGGAACAGTGATTCACAGAACACAGGAGGAGCAGCAGCTCAGCCCCATCTACAGAGTAGGTAAAGTGATGCAGGGCTCCTCTTGCTTGTGTGCTCAGAGTCTCTGTTTTACCTGGGAAAAGAAGAAAAATATACTGGATGGAACAGACTTGGCATGAACACCTCCTGAACTCCCCCCAGCATTGATAGGTGGTGGGATTGCAAGCTCATGACTAATCCAAACAGTGCATGTAAAATCTGCAGAAGTGGGGGGTGGACTGTAGATGTGTTCTGGCACATTACTTGTGGCCACCCAGACGTTGTTCAGCTGCAATTTCCAGCACTTCTTATCAGTGGGTATGCTGACCAGAGCTGATAGGAACTGCTGTCATATCACACACAGAACCAGATTTTTTCCACTTTAGTTTTGTATCCACTAAAATGGTTTTGTTGTCTGAAGAATAATGCATATTAGAGTTGTTTATTTTTTCAACATCTGAAACAAATGATTCAAATCATAATAGGGTAATTTTAATGCTTTCAGTTTTGTTCTTGCAGAAAAATACAGAAAATTTTTCAGCTTCTGTTAAAACATTGAGGGATAGCCATTTCTTTGTGTGTTCCTGTTAATTAATTCCCACATTATTCTATTTCTTTTCTTTTCAGGACCATGCAGTATGGAAAATCCTACATGTGAAGATTTCAGTCCGTTCCCATTTTATAGTACTTACATTAGACCATGTTGTGAATTGGTAAGTGGGTAAATAATTCCTAGGTTTCTTGCTAACCTGCTGTCATTTTGTCATAGACAGAATGACATTAAATCAGTGAAATTTTATCTTGGTCATATGAGATGTGCGCAATGAACTTGTAAGTTATTCTAGATGAATAACTATTTGGCCACATGCAAAAAGGCATCCTGTGAATTTTTGTTATAAATATCTTTTCCAGTTAAACAGCCATTGGGTTCATGTTACTGAAAGGGCTGTCAGTAATTTTTTTTAGCAGCCTCATCTCCAAGGAACAAAGGGAATGTGAATCTCAGTAGATACTAAGAAGCAATTATGCTCTATGCTGATGCTTTTGGGACAAAATGTGTGGAAAACTGAGACTGTTTAAAATAGCATTCTTCATATTGTTTGTTCAACAAAAAAGCGTCAACTGAGACGCTTTTACTACAAAGTGTTACCATAATAGGCTGGTCCTAAACTCTCCTGTTTTATTTTTTTGTCCTTTTTTCATCCCTATTATTTCAAAAGGATATTTTATATTCTTTTCTATTTGGACTGTTCTGTTTTAAACTATTTTTTATCACTCCATAGGTGTTGCCCTTTTATCTTTTTTCTTTAGCAAAAAGCCAAATTCTGTTCATATTGTGAATAGAAGCTCAGCTTGCCTATGTGAGCTATGGCAGGCTATTCAGAGTACGGTGACTCCTATTAGCCTACTTTGGAAAAATAATTGGTGACAGTAGACTATACAGAGACAGACAGGGCACATTCTGATATTTGGTATCTTTAGGTTTTGTTTTGTTGTTGTTGTTTGTCGTGTCAGGAGCAACTTGAGAAACAGCAAGTCGCTTCTGGTGTGAGAGAATTGGCCGTCTGCAAGGATGTTGCCCAGGGGATACCCAGGTGTTTTGATGTCTTATCATCCTTGTGGGAGGCTTCTCTCATGTCCCCGCATGAGGAGCTGGAGCTGATAGAGGGAGCTCATCAGCGCTCTCCCCAGATTTGAACCTGCGACTTGTCGGTCTTCAGTCCCACCGGTACAAGGGTTTAACCCACTGCGCCACAGGGGGCTCCAGTATCTTTAGGTAAACAGGCAGTCCACAAGTTGCAAACATTCAACTTACAAATAACTCAAAGTTAAAAACGGGTGAGACAACAGGAACTGAGAGAAATCTACCCCTAGATAGGGAAACTTACTCCTGAAAGAGTTACCAAGGAGAAAAGCTGTCTTAATTGAAGTTTTATTACCAATTCTTGTTCCCACAACAAGCCAAATTTTTCAAAATCCAATTATCACAGAGAGAGAAAGTGAGGTGAAATCTTCTGAACAGGGATACAGACAGCAAATAAACACCACAGGTGTTAACTCTTCCCTATACTATTCCTACTAAAAAAAAATGTACCTGTACCAACTTACATACAAATTCAACTTAAGAAGAAACCTAAAGCACCTGTCTTGTTCCTAACTTGGGGACTGCCTTTAATAGTTTGTTTTCAAAACCTGCTTTTTGATGAGCTTGTTCACATTTGTTTGAATGGGATCTGCTTTAAATTCTGTATCACCTTTTCCTATTTCAGACAGTAACTGCCAATATTTGTTTTGTAGGCTCGAGCACAATTCGTAAAGTGTTCTTCAAAGAAATATAAAACAGGTACATAAAGTATAATGATATAGTACAATATATAATACTAATATTGTGCTGTGGTAATAATGTAATATGTTGAATTACATATTACTTGTAAGCTGCTCTGAGTACCCTTCGGGGTGAGAAGGGTGGCATATAAATGTTGTAAATAAATAAATAAAATAAAGTGATAATATAAGTTCGTAAGAAACTTGTGATCTAGAGTTTGTTTTTGTAGAAAGAAAAGAACCAATTCTGAATTACGGCTTTTCTTTGTGTTTTTAAGGAGAGGTCGACAGATTCTTTTTGGCCCGGAACACTTAGTGTAATTAGATACCTGTAATATCAGCTAGTCCTTGATTAATTCGTTTTGTTTGCAGTCCTAATTTTGAAGACTTTATGGTTACAACATATGGTCCAGGAGATCTGATAGCAATCTGGCCGTTTTGGTTAGTCCTAATGAACTACTGAATATGAACGATAAGATGAAACCAAAATCCATCTGCCTTTAATAGTTCAGTCCTGTGCTTTGTTCTGCTTTACTGTGGTAGGACAGCATAAGTACTAATTCTGTAGCACTGGTGAATGTCTTCTGAATTGCAGCTTTATTTTTTATCCTTCCTTTCTCTCTCCATCACTTTTTTCTATAGGTGATATCTGTAAAATATGGTGCGGCAAGCCAGTTCATGAACTGCAGAAATACTGTGACGTGATTAAAATATGCACCTTTAGACCACTGCTGTTTGTGCCCCAGTGTGACGACCCTAATAAAAGTCATGATCCCAGGTAAGAGGAATTTCATTTATTAACTTACTTGCTTGGCACTTTTATTTAAAGGCCTAACTATATAACGGCTTTACATGTTTTGTGGTGTAGAAAGAGATGGTAAAAATAGCTAAAACACACTAGAATTTGGGAATATCCCCAGACTAATGCCTCCCCTTAATCTGTAAGTCTGGTGACACCAGTTGTTGGCACCAGATGACCAGCACCTCTTGCAGTCAGGAAATTGTGGAGGACAGTTGTAGGGAAATCAGCAGCATTAATTTAATGGTATATTCCTTAAAAAATTCCCTGCAAGGTAATTTCTAGTAACTCATTTGGACATACCTAAATATGTTCAGTATTTCATTATTGAATGGTTGTAGATGTTAATTCTGTTTAAAATGTTAAGAATGCTTGTGGTTTCCAGCACAAATACACATAACTGATAGAACTGTGCTTTTTTGCTAGAATTTTTCAGGAGTTCATTTCTAGTGTTGGCTTATTTTTGACTCTTTTAAAATTAATATTTTTTTTATTTAAGTGATTGCCAATTTGGTGAATTAAATTTGGAGAGGCTGTATCAAATTGAGACTTTAGAAGATGTTACTGATATAGCCAGAAAGTTTGTGGTGAGTTCTCATTGTGTTTTCTTTTGTATTTTTTTGTAATCTTAAATATTAATGCTAGTATGAATTATATCAGAATGTTAGTAGTATTCATGTTGTTAATGTCTGGGTTTTTTATTTAAAAAATGCTTTGCTGATATTTTTAAGTTTACTTGCTCTTCTTAATGCCTCTAAATAAAATGTCTTACAAGAGCTACAGTACTACTAGCACAGTGGAAGTTCCTCTCTTCTGGAACAAACTCTCAGTGAAGGGTTAAATATTTGCACTATATTTATTTATTTATTATTCGAACTTATATAGAGTAAAATACTTCAGCAGGTGAACTATGGCTTTCATCATTTTCACCATAGTAATTGAGGTAGATGAAAGTGACACTATAACCACTTCTGGAGAGGCTACATGGTCTGCAGCCCTTTTCTATGGCTGTGTGTCTGATATAACTTGATGCTTTTGATTGTATTCAAAGTGTTGTCTAATTTATTGGATTTATTTTGAAGATGGAAAGAGAATAGGAGACCATTGAATGATGATGTTAATGTGTTGCTTGCAATAATGAAACTTCAGTGATGTTTATAGTACTGTATTCAGTGTAATGCATGTTTTTCTTGGTGGTGTCTGTGAAGCACACAAATGGGTAATCTGTGTCTGCATAATTTGGAGCTAAGCATTGTTTCAGTGGTAACCCATCACATTTATATATATAAGCCAGTAATCTTCAGCTATAGAAAAGGTAAAGGTTTCCCTTGACATTAAGTCTAGTCCTATCCAACTCTGGGAGGTGGTGCTTATCTCCATTTCTAAGCCAAACAGCTGTGTTGTCTGTAGACACCAAGGTCATGTGGCTGGCATGCCTAAATGGAGTGCTGTTATTTTCTCACAGAAGCGGTATATACTGATCTACTCACATTTGCATGTTTCTGCACTGTTAGGTTGGCAGGATTTGGGGCTAACAGCTGGAGTTCACCCCTCTCCCTGGATTCGAACTGCCAACCTTTCGGTCAGCAAATTCAGCGGCTCAGTGGTTTAACCCACTGCGCCACTGGGGGCCCCAATCTTCAACTATTTCATATATATATATATATATATTGTTCTATGCTGTACTGTATATATCCAACTTACAGTTTAAAAAGAAATATCTAACCTTTTCTTTAAATTTAATGTAACAGAGAAGTATCTTCATACAAATATTTCTTTTTAATAGATCAAACCTCCCACTTTGAGAAATGAAATAATATCCCTATTATCTCTAGGCCAAATAAATGCAGTCCTTTTATCAGCTATAAAAATTATGTCTGAAATGGGGCTTTCCATGAAATCTTAACCATTGTAAAAGTAAATAAAACTTCATCCAAAGAAATAAACCTGCAATTACATCATCCCAAACTCATAGCCTGATCCATTTTAGATATTTGTTTACTTCCCCGTTGGCTCTCTTCATAAGAGTACTCATAAAGATTCAGGAAAAAGGAACAGATTGCATCTTCATTGTGCATTGGTGACTGGGGCTGGTGTGCTGCACTTTCTCTGTTATGGAACACAGTGCTATGGACAATATGCCTCTTCACAACACGTTTATAAATGGGTTTTCCTTTACTATGATCTTAAATTATCAGCCTTCGAATACTGGTGTCTCCCTGGCAGGAGTATCAGTACCAATAATAGATGGCTACCCACTCTCAACCTCTAACGTTTATCAGACACATTGACTGGTGGTTACTGTGAAGTTTGACGGTGCCTTTTGAGTTTTTTTATCTTTAATTCTGACAGATCCTCCTACTACATGAGTAGCGTGTTAAAACTCCCATATCTATGAGACCATAAAGAGAAAGAACAGGACATGGATGGTGGCTGTGGGTAGATGTGTGATGTGTTTCTGAAAGAATGCTTAGTTTCCAGGGATGGACCACACAATTACATAGTAACTATATGTATAAGTTCACATGGAGTACCATTTTTTCAAGTCCTGCTGTGCAAATTCGTAAGTAAGATCTTAGTAGAATACTTAGTAACTGCTGTTGACATGCCTTTGTTTTTTTTCCTTCTAACCCCCAGAATGATCCATTTTTCATCAATGGTATATTGAAAATTGGAACTGAAATAGACAACGTAAGTGTTTTCAATTGTGCGTTGATACGGTTGAAGATTTCTTTCCTTTTCTATTACCAATACTTAGGATCACCTGTGCAACTGCAGTTTTATTGTTATGTAAAATGTACCATGTACTGGAATCCAGAATAATAGGAATAATAATAGTACTGAATGATAATCTAGCAGCCAAAGCTTTATTTAGTTTTCAAATTGAAATTTGATTGTGATTATATATGCTTTTTTAAAAACCTACAATTTAAAACTTATTTACTCCCCTTTAGTAAATTTAGCAGTTGAGTCATTACCCTATTCATGATTAATGTACTGGTTTGAAAAAACATCTGATAGTTGCTAGTCTGCATGGATGTGATGTTCAATATTAGATATCAAACACAAATCCTATTTCTAATCAAAAGTAACTGAATTTGTGAACTATATGTGTATTAGTTGTGCAGCTGATGCAAGCATTTTAAAAATGGACAAATGAAGTGCCAACACAATTTTTTGCATGTACTCTAAACCTGGATGTGCAAGGAATTATTTCAGTGTAATACTTGACAGAATGTTATCTTGGATAGTAATGCAGATTTTATTTTCTTCATTTTGAACAGAGAATCTTCAGTATAGTGGAAGCTCTTGACTGGGTAAAATATGCAGATGACATTGGTATTTTACAAAAATTAGAAAAGCTTGGTGATTACTGTTGGCCTTTTCTAGAAATTTTCTTTGCTGAATGTAAGTATACAGAGTGGTTGAGTAGTTTTAAGAGGGGTGGGCAGGGATAATGTCTGTTCACATTAAAGAAGTAAAATTCCTAATAATTTTGAAGCCATGGAAGAAAAAACAGTTATAAATAGAAAAAATACAATCTGATCAGCACCTTTTACTTTATTTTAGGAACATAAAATGAACTATGTCTGTCTGGTTTGGCATACAAGTATGTACAGTAGGCCTTCCATAATCACAGATTTTGCACCCATGGATTCTACCATCCACAGTTTGAAAATATTCCATTGTATAGAATGGGACTTGAACATGCATGGAATTTGGTTTTCAGGGAGGGGGTCCTCTAATCAAAACGAGTGGATAATGTGGGCCTACGATAGTTTTATATACAGCCAGTCCCCAAGTTACAAACAAGATAGGGTCTATAGGTTTGTTCTTAAGTTAAATGTGTTTGTAAGTTGGAACAGGTACATTTTTAAGTGTAACGTCAACCAAAAATATATATCTTTTAGCTTTGGAAACCATACAGAAGGGGTAACACCCCTGTGGTTTTTGTTTTGCTGTTTATGCTTCTGTTCAGAAGATTTCACCTCCCTTTCTGTCTGTGTGATTATTGTAATTTGAAAAATGTGGCTTTTAATCAAGGATTGATAATAAAGTGTCAATTGAGATAGCTTTTCCCCACGATAACTCTTGCAGGAGTGAATTTTCATTCCTCAGGATAGACTGCTCTCACTTCCTGTTGTCTCATCCCCGTTCTTAACTATGATTTGTTGTAAGTCGGATATTTGTAACTCTGGCAGTGCCTATATTCAGAATATAAAGTATTCAATAAATAGTTGCATGTTGAATTTTAATTCTTCTTACAAAAGTTATAGCAAGATAGGCTACAATAGCACTACTTGCTCTATTTCAGGAAATGCAATCATTGTCAAAATGTCAGCAGTGAACAACAGATTGACCTCTTTTTGGAAAGACTAAATATAGATGCTAGCATTTTCCCCATGCTGTGATTTAGTGGAAATAATTGTAGCATCTTTAATCCAAAATGCTACATAAATCAGTGGAAGGTCCTTACTCTCATGCATAGAGAGCGACCTGGATGCATGATTTCCTCATACAGTGTTCCATTGCACAGTCCTTCTTTTTCTGAATAGTCTCCTAACCTAGAGCAGTGGTTTTTGCTAGGAGTGGTGACTCTCAAGGGGCAGCAGTGGGAAAGTGCAGAGAACTGGCATTGCATAGAACCTTTCCTTTTCTCTAAAAGTGAAAATTTCACTAGTTTATCAGCCGACCATGAGGTTTGGATTCTGCTCTTACTAGTTGGCTTGCTTCTCTATAAAGCAATGTGCCTTGCTTCTCCTCTCATAAAAGAGACTCAAGGCACATGCAAATTATACAGCTAATAAATCATTAGATTTGTTTCCTCAATTACCCTGTATTTCTCTTTGCAGATAAGCATCATATAAGTAAAGTTGTGTTGGAAGATTACGATTTATTGGAAGCGTACGAATCTCAGTACTGTGAAAACTGTGTAAAGGTAGGAATTTATAAAATGATTTTTAAATCATTTCAGAGACTAGTTAGAATGTAAAAATAATATTTTTCTGTAATTGTTTTTGATTTTTTTTTGTGGCACCTCTATTCAGGGTACACAAAATACGTAAACTTGAACATCATCTTGATTCATATTGACCAATTTCATTATAAATCAAGACATTAAAATATTTACAGCAATTATTGCGAAAAGACTGAATGGGTTTATAGGAAGATGTATTATAAAGTACTAAAGCAGGAAGACAAATGGCAGATTTAATAAGAAGGTTACGAAACATAATTAATTATACAAAAGAAAAAGAGGTAAAAGCTGGAATAATATCACTAGATATTTTTTAAAGCTTTTGACTCAGTCAAATGGTCAATATTAACAAAGTTCATCAAATGGATTTGAAAAAAATCCAGCAAATCATTACAAAACTATATGCAAAGAATAAAGCTTCAGTGTTAGTTAATGATGGAGAAACAAAACCAATTAACCTAAACCGAAGAACTAGACAAGGTTGCCTTTTATCTCCAATTTTATTTATACTAGTGATATAATTATTAGCAAATCCAATAAAGAAAGACAAAGATATAGAAGGAATAGGATAAGAGGAAGAAGTAAAGATTAGTTTATTTGCAGATGACACCTTGTTAACTATAATAGAATAATCAAAAGCTTTAAAAATACTCAGAAACATTTGGAAGATTTCAAAGAAGTAACAGGTTTGAAAGTGATGTGAGTAAATCCAAAAATAGGGAAAATAGAAGAAATTAAAAGGAAATATAAGATTTAAATTACTGAAAGTTTCAAATATTTAGGGATAAATAGAGCTAAAAATATGCAGGATTTTTTTAAAAAAAAAACCCCTCTAAATTTTGATAAGCTGAAAGAAGAAATAAAAGAAAAATAACTCGGATATAAAAAAATTAAATTGTCATGATTTGGGAAAATAGCGCTATATAAAATGAAGATTTTATCTAAAATAAACTTCTTATTCTGGATGTTACCAATAGAATAATCACAGGGAGATCTACAAATAATTTTTGTAGTGGAGATAAGAAACGAAGAATAAATAAAAAGTTGCAGTATATATCCTGGAAAGAAGGAGATAGTGAAAAAACTTGAACATCATAAAAAATAAAGTGTAAATTTTCATGATACACTCAGGAAATTATTGTTATGCACCAGTTCACATGCACCCCCAGAGCTTCCTGCACAGAACCATTCTACCTTTTTTAAAATTTGAATATACTAATCTGTCTAAGATAGCCACATGCACAAAAACAAAGCATTATTTGAATTGTTTGTGCAGTACATTTTGATATGCAAGTTTGACTAAAAATATTTTATTATTAGTGGGCCTGATTGCTGTTTTTAATGTACTAATACCACAAGACAAGAATCATTTTAAAAGTAAAGATTTTATTCTACGTGAATTGAAACTCTGGATGGTCTGTATGCTCTGCAGAAAATTCCATGTAGTTGATGCTAATTTTATTTTGTCATGTTTCGTTACAGAAAAGTGAGATTATGAAAAAGCGGGGAAATGAAGCATTTGCTAAAGAGAAGTTTGATGTTGCTGTTAATGCCTATACGAAAGCTATAGAATTATGGTAAGAGACAACTCACATAGGTGAATAAATGAAAAGAAATTTGCATGCATAAAACACTGGAAATTTTCCTGGTTTAAAACAGTATGGAGAAAACAGTTCTGTTCTGCTGTAGATAATATAGGCTCTGCTAAGAGATTGTATAATTTCCTCGCATATCTGAAATAGTGAAAAGACTTGGCTTTATCTGATGTTGTATTTAGATAGTTTAATTTTATCCCAGACACAGCATTTAGTACAACAGCTTCAATAGGAGCTTTCTGCTTCACAAATAGAATTCACTGTAACTCTTCTTTTTAGGCCTGAAAATCACCTCCTTTATGGCAATCGAGCACTGTGTTTTATTCGAACAGGACAATATATGTAAGTTCATTTTTTCTATTCATATCAAAATATGACTTACCTAAGTCAAAATGCTATGTTCCGTTTTGGAAATTGACTGCATTTTAGAGATTATAAATAGCTGCTGAATTTCTTGGAATGCCCATATGGGAAATAATTTTTTAGAATATTTCAGCAGATCCAGTGTCCACTTGATTTAATCAAAAGAAAAATGGAAGTCTAGATCATAAGAGTGCAAATTGCATCTTTCTCGGTTCACAGGAATGGATATAGAACACAAAGCAAATGCTTTCATTGAAGTGAAATCAAGTTTTACTAAATGGAAAAATAACTAAAAGTTTTTTATGTAATCTCTTAAATTTCAAGAGAGACTGGAAATTTGAATCTTTGGGATGCTGCCCTATTTTGTCTACATTGATTTTATGTTTAGAAAAGTTCATCATTAAAGAGAAAAATACAGAGTGGGCAAGATCCAAAGGTAACTGTCAGTATAAAAAGTATTCAAAAGTCCGTTTTTTGAAGGACAAATTGGCTGATCACATCCCCTTGTACGAACTTGTCCGGGTCTTGAGATCTTCAAGACAGGCCCTTCTCTTGGTCCAACCTCCATCTCATAGAAAATAGAAATAATAATAATTATTTTCCTGCTGCTTTTTCTCTCTAAAAAGAGACTCAAAGCGTCTAACAATTCATTGGTCTGGAAAATTCTTTTATTTAGTCCTTTTCATCTGAAGAGGGTATTTTGTTTTTAGGAGGGCCTTATGTGACGGAAAGAGATCTATCATTCTGAAGCCCAGTTGGCCAAAGGTTAGTTGCTTTTACTTTTGCAGCTTTTTTGTTCCTGTGTATTAAGTATGAAAACTTTGCATTGTGTTTTTTTTTCACAAAGCTATTTAAACAGGAGACTGAAAAACTTAATTTTGGGATGTGTTCTATCTAATTATAAAGCACTGACAATGTAGTCAACCTGGAGTAAATTCCTGTTTGTCACAGTTATGGGTAAGCTGCATTAACCCAACAGAGTTAGGCACGAGGGCACCTCTCTCCATGCAAAGACTGAAATTATTCACAGACCAACCAATTTTGGATATCTAATCACCCTCACAATTCAGAAGAGACAATGCCATCTCATGATGTGTGTGATCCATTGAAAGCAAACTAGGGAAGGAGAAATGGACAGCTATCAACAATGAACTTGTCATTTCCAGAAGCTGACAGAAAACCTTATGAAAGACTTCCAAAATTATTGGACTCTTGAATTCTGAACTCTCGGTCCTCAGCAGACGTATCCATGGCATAGAAGACAGAATTGTCACATGAGGGCAGGATTCAGAAAGTAGGGCATGCAAACAACTACTTTCAACTAGGGGTGGCTTCTCAACATTGGCCTGAGAGGTGTCTTCGAGTTTGCAGAGCGAAGTGACATAGTGCCATTTATACTTATCAGATCAATGAAATCCATCCAAATTTAAACTTCAAAAGCTCAGACGCCAAGCAAGTACATAAAGCCCTTATAATATAATAGGGCAACCTGAAAATGCATGTAATCAAAATATATCAGTTTGCAAAACATCAAGCTAAAATCTCAAAAGATTTGGAAAATATAGTTTTCAATTGAGCTTTCAAAACAGGAAGGGAAGGAGCAGTCCACAAATACTCAGGGGACAGCGAATGAAAAAGGATGAAGCCAAGCCAAGGAAGAGGAAGCTCTTGGTTGGGCGAGAGGCCTAAGATTCCCCAGAATGCAGATATCAAGGAGGTTGATGAAAACAAAATAAGGGTTGAGAGAGATGGGGGTGAGGGGGAGCTTGGTTATGTAGGGCAGTAAACATTAACATAAGACGCTTAAACTGAATCTTCGGAGTGGATAACCAATGGAGAGCTGTCATAATTAGCTAACATCAAAATGATGGGCCAAAAAAAAATCTTGGCAGGAGAATGTTGACTGGAATGGAAACCAGAAGTAAGGTAGTAGAAGACAAGTCAAAAGACAGTTGCAATAGGATGTGGCTTTATTTATATCCTGCCGCCATCTCCCTAAAGGGACTCAGGGTACCTTACAAGGCACTACAAGTGTAGTATATAACATAAACAGTACATGAGTATAAAAACAATATCACATAAAAGCTATAAAAATAACCACTAGATAGAAGTTGGTACTGTCTCATGAAACAATAACCTCTAGATATCAAAACCTTCTTTAAGAAACAATTTTGTTAAAATATTGCCATATGTAACCTGGATAAGGTCACAATTGCCTCTCTTCATGTTAAAGGCTTGCATCTTATTCTCAAACATGCAAGAAGTCCCAAATATTTAAAGCCATTTAAAACCAATATCATATTGTTAAGCAGAGTTCCATGGCCAGTAATATGTTGTGCTTGACCTGTTCTAAATTAAGTTTCAGCTTACTATGGGAAACCTGTGTGTGTGTGTGTTTGGTTCTGATGATTTTGAATAAATGTATTGTTGAAGGCTTTCACGGCTGGAATCACTGGAGTGCTGTGTGGTTTCTCAGCTTTATATATCTGTCTTCTAACATTTTCTCCAGATGTTTTGCCTGTATCTGTGGCTTGCATCTCCAGAGGATCCTCTGAAGATGCCAGCTACAGATGCAGACAAAACATCAGGAGAAAATGCTTCTAGAACATGGCCATACAGCTCGAAAACCACACAGCACTTCATATTGAATAAATTTTACCTAAGCTATTACTATGATGTATCTCCCTGCTAATTTCATTTGGGAGGTTGGGTTAACTAGGTTGGCTGACTAAATAGACAAGCTTTGCAAAAAGTTGAATAGGGGCTTTCATGAATAGAATTTGCAGTCTTAATATCTTGTGGTATAGCTGAAATAATAACATTGAAGCCTACACTTCTATATTTGGAGGGAAAAGCTTTAAATTTTCTTTCATTTTTGTTCATATAATCCATTTGGATCCAATCATTGTATATTTGCAGTTTTTTTTAAAAAAAAATGTGGAAATAAGTGGATTGAAAACTATTATTTTTTATATTTTGAGTCATCAATTGTATAATTATCTTTATGCAAAAATTACCCCAAAGTAGTATTTACATTGTAAATGTCAACTGTTACATAGTTCTATTATCTGAATTCTGTGAGTCTCCCTAGTGCCAGCAAAACTAAAAACTGTGTTGTTACATTCTGTATTGTTTGTATTGCATACTTGAAATGTCCATAATTCATACTTGAGGTACTACGGCACTTAGAATGTTATCCTGTGAATATCTAAAGAGATACAAACTGTATTAAATGCAATTCACGTAAATGTTCATAGGATTGTGTTGTCAGGCACAAGAAAAAAATATACTGTTTGTTGGAATGGGTGAAAACGTATAATTTGACAAATCATGCTGTTTTAGGGGCAGTGTTTTTTGTTGTTTTCGGTAGGGGCACTATCGATTTTGTGATGCTCTGTCTCTCCTGGGAGAAAATGCAAAAGCTCTACAGGCAAATGAGAAAGGCCAGGAATTGTGCAAAGACAGTCCTGAAGGAATTAAAGATCTTACTCAGCAACATGAGAAATTGAAAAAACAAATAGGAGACATTAGAGGTACTATTTCCCCTTTAAATATTTCAGTCATATTTTTACTACCATTTAATCAGTGACTTGACTGTATTTTTAAAATTATTTAGGTATGAAACAAAATAAACACAGAATGAAGAAACTGGGCCTTCATAAAAAGTAAGTTTCATTCTAGCTGACTACATGTTTCAGAATAATTAAAAAATCATGTGCAGTAATGGGTTATTTTTTAAAAAATAACCTGGGAAATTAGGTTTCATTCTGAGACAAGTGTACACAATATTAGCAACATCTTGGTTTTTACCAGAAATTTTTGGCATGCAATGTAAGCTCATTTTTGTAAATCATAGTGTGTATCTGCAAGATTATCCCGCTTTCAAACAAAAATATTAGAAAAAAAGTTCCTTCAAATCTTGTGCTTGGGCATTAGTAACAAACAGTGAAACATTAGTAACAAACAGTGATTCCTTAAATATATTTGCATATCGTGGTTGACAATAATCAACAGTTAATCTAATGGCCCTACTGTAGTTAACCAAAGCATCCAGGCTTGTAACTTGAAGTATAACTTGTAGTTTGGGAAATTTTCACTACTTTATTTCTGTGCAAAAACTTCATGCTATCACTTAAATTATTTCTTAAAGTTTTTCAGAATCTTCGTCAGTTTATACTGAATCAAAGAAATTTGACATTGAAAGGAAAAAGCAACCTGATTTACATAGCCACATCTATCAGCAAAAGCAAACAAAGGTAAGGGTGTTGGTTGTTAAGATGATATTACTGACAAGTTACTTTCTTAGACTTTAGTATAGTTTCCAAAAGTGATTTTTCTTACTACTGTTTTTTGCTATCTCTTGCACTGCTCTTGCCTTAATTTCAACTTTACTGCTTTAGACTATATTTGTATTGTTGGAAATAGCAACCTTCTACAAACCTCCTAGGTAAAGGTTTTTCCCTGACATTAAGTCCAGTCATGTCCAGGAGATGTATTGGATTGTGATCTACGTGCCAGTATTGTGTATTATGTTTTTTATGGTTTTAAATTGTATACTGTGGATTGTATATTTTGTTGTTGTAAACCGCGTTGAGTCGCCAGTTAGGCTGAGAAACTGCGGTATACAAGTATAGTAAATAAATAAATAAATAAATGTCCGACTGGAGGTTGGTGCTCAGCTCCATTTCTAAGCCAAAGAGCCAGCGTTGCCCGTAGGCACTTCCAAGGTCATGTGGCCGGCATGACTGCATGGAGCCTCCTATACTAGTTATTTGTTATGTATATAATTGTGATTGCTTACTATAGTGTATGTATATATTGATATGCATTTTCCTCTTAACTGTGTATTATTTGAGGTTGTGGGAGGGACTGCAGGCCATGTGACCAGATCTGGGACTATTCAGAGTGAAACTCCATTGCACAAGTCAGTTTGCATCAGAAGCAGTACAGTTTAGATAGAAGGAAGTCAGTACAGTTTAGAAGTCAGCCAAGACAGTATACAATAGTTAATGTTAGTATAAAGTCAGTGTCAGAACGCTGCAGTGTATAATCAGTCGAGTCAGTGTTCAGTAATATATTAGACTGAAGAGAGTCTGTATGCAACAGAGAAGAGACTAAAACAGAATGCTTTAGAGAACAGATAGTATAAATTATCAACCAATAAGAAATATACCTGTATGCTGAATACATGAAGTTGGTAAGTAAATTAGCCATGTTACTTTTAACGAAGACTACTTTTTTTGGTCTCTTGAGAGTATGATTTAAAAGCAATATTTTTGTGGGAGAGTAGACATTTTTTGGGCAACTGAAATAACACATCTGAGGTTCTGCTATATATTTTGTGCATTGTTCCTAAGAGTTCAGAGAGATAACCAGGTATATAAATCTAACAACCGAGAAGACCGATTTTCCTTGCATGAATACTAGTGGATATTTTCCACTAAGGAGAAGATTCACTCAAACGAGTATTTAATTATTCTCAGGAATATCATACTTTACAAAAGGTTATGATTTTTTTCAAAAAGTGTGAATGCCAATTAATCTCCAAAAGGGTCACACTTCCAAAAGGCTATGGAGATTCCTGGTTTTCCAAAAGGTTATGTTCTCTAAAAGGTCATGCATTTCCAAAATGTATTCCTTTCTCATACTTAAATTTAAATGTATCTAAACTTTAGAGGACACAGATTACTAGACTGATTGCAAAAAGTGACTTACAAAAAAGGTAATAGATTAAAAAGTGCAATACTACCTTTTCCAACTATGAAGCTTTAATATGCATTAACCTGGAGCCATGCGGATGTCTCCATAGTTAAACTATGCTACCTTAATTCCTAAAAAATAAAGGAATAGTTATTTCAAACAAAGTCAGTGTTTCTTACAAATAAATTAGCATGGGTTTAAATCACAAGTTCCCTGAATTTTTCAGTAATAATGATGGTACTAGGCAAAATTATTTTTCTTCGTAAGATGAGAAATTGATATTCTTGCTGTTTAGTTGGGAGAACAAGAAATAGATATTTGAGAACATGAAATATTTCAGAGCTCAGTAAACTAGAGGGTAACAGTTCAAGCTCTGTTTTATGGATGTAGAAATTATCTGACAAAGGAGAAAGAAATACAGATGAGATTATTTTGCCTGAATTCTAGAACATATACTAACTTGCTGGATCCTTGGTGCAGTACAAAACAAACAATGACTACTGCAATGCAGTGTATGTTCCTGTTGTTTGTACAGCTGTTGTGTTCAAATCAGTTTGCTAGAAAAATCAACCAACAAAATTTGTTCCAGGCCAGTTCCAACTTAAATTTCAGGAAATTCATAAGAACTTTGCCCTAACTTAGCAAAACCAATTTTTGTGTTTGTTTTAATATTTTGTGGTACGATCTCTTCTGTTTTTTGCCAAATTCTCTCTCTCTCTCTCTCTCTCTCTCTCTCTCTATATATATATATATATATATATATAAATACTTCATTATTTATATGTTTCATTATATGCAGATTTTTCAGATTGCCTTCTATAGAATTCTGAGGAAGCTTATTTCTTTAGCTACTGAAATAAAGCTAAAACAGAGCCATGATAGGTAGTCTGGATTAATCACCAGTAAGAAATGCAGTTAAATTAAAATACTTGATTAAAATGATGTTAAGCATATTTGTTATTGTTGTGGTTATGGTTTTTGGTATTATGGTTTGCAAATGCAAAAATGTTGGACAGACTACCTTTGTTCAATGAGAACACAAGGCGGAGAGCAATAGCCCCCAATACTGCTATGGGACGCAAGTAATCTAGAACAGAGGGCAGTGGAAAATTGTGAGTGCCCTTTGTCTTGCATCAAAAATGTGCCCAGTTGTGCTTCCATTGCACAGCAGGGCATTTTGCATAGTGCCCCATTGCACATCATCACAATTCTCTAACATAGTTCTGTACTGTGTAGTTGACATATCTCTATCATCTTAAAGTTATGCCTTGCTGACCATAGTGTGAAAGGGGGAGCGGGAATAGTGCTGTCCAGCCAAAGTGGCATCTTATATGTGTAATCCCTTATTGGATCCATGGAAAGATTTATTGCCTTACTAGAAAATGTAGTATAATTAGGCATTTAAACATTTGTCAAGCATTCGCTTCTCCAATTAGTTACATTTAAAACCAGCATGTGAACCAAACATTTTAAAATTGCAAAATACCACTCAGTAACAATTTGCCTTTCATAGTGAACTGGGGTAAAAATATATATAAAATAATGATAATTTAAATATCTGCAAAAGATCAAGGACACTCATTTTTTAGAAAACCAAACAAGTCACATAATTGGGTGAGTTCACTTCATTTTGACCAGTAATTACATTCAATCTGGGAAGTTAGAAGCCTGTAGTGTGTGCTGTTGAAGACATAATATTATTTAAGGTGCAGAGACAAACCCTGCTGCATGGAGGAGTTTCAGGTATCCTGGAATGGATTTGAGTGCATGACACTGGTTGGTTCAGGGTGATCAGCTGGATCTGTAACAATGAATACGAAAGTAATTTTTAAGGGCAGGGCAGGAAGAAGAAAGAGATGGGGAAACGAAACCAAGAGAAAGATTTAGATTGAAGGTCACCGAAATAAGCAGTACAAAGCGAAACAGTCACTCTGTTTAAATGGGCGGAATGTCCTGCAAAGGCAAGAAGAAACAGGTATTCAGACAATTAGTTGGTCTTTCATTTAGCACTCTTTTTGGATCCTGCTTTGAACTCGAGTAATTGGCCATTTCCAATAGCTTTTTGTTTAGAGAGAATGCAATTGTTCTTAATTGTGTCTCTGCAGCAGCAGAGAAGTTCGGTTGCATAGTTCGATATGCTTATCTCGATGACTTTCAAAACCTAAAACAGATTTTGTAATAGCTATCAAATTGGGTGGCTTTTTGAAAAAGATGAGGTAGATAAAGCTCAGGACTGTTAAGGAGGCTGTTCAGATCCTGAACCGGTTCTTGGCCACTGTGATGGTTTGGATGAGGGCAAACAAATTTAAATTGAATCCAGACAATACACAGGGGTACTCTTGGTCAGTCGGAAGGCCAAACAGGGCATAGGATTACAGCCTGTATTGGACAGGGTCACCCTCCCCCTGAAGAGACAGGTTCACAGCTTGGGGGTAATCCTGGATACATTGCTCAGCCTGGAACCCCAGTTCTCGGCGGTGGCCAGACGAGCTTTTGCACAACTAAAACTTGTGTGCCAGTTGCGCCCGTACCTTGGGAAGTCAGACTTGGCCATGGTGATACATGCTCTTGTTACATCCTGTATAGATTACTGCAACACACTCTATGTGGGGTTGCCTTTGAAGACTGTTCGGAAGCTCCAATTGGTCCAATGGTCAGCAGCCAGGTTTCTAACTGGAGCAGCGTACAGGGAGCATACAACTCCCCTGTTACGTCAGCTCCACTGGCTGCCAGTCAGCTACCAAGCACAATTCAAAGTGCTGGCTTTGACCTATAAAGCCCTAAATGGTTCTGGCCTAGCTTACCTGTGTTGAACATATCTCGCTCTATGATCCACCTTGGAGGTTAAGTTCTTCTCTTGGTCCTGCTTTCTTCGCTGGGACGATTGGCAGGGATGGGAGATAGGGCCTTCTCAGTGGTGGCCTCTCAGCTATGAAACTCCCTCTCAAGCAAAATCAGAGCAACCCTCTCCCTCCTGACCTTTGTGAATATATGGAACTGTGAAATAACTAATGGAATGGCCTTGGATTTGCCACTGGATAACGTGACTTTTCTAATTGTTTTTAATATTGCTTTTTTGTTTTAATGCATATGTTATTTTTATTGTATTTATGTATGTGTACGGCATCAAATTGCTGCCTTTCTTTGAGGCCGCTCTCAGTCCCCCTGTCTGGGGTGAGAAGGGTGGGATATAAATGTAGTAAATAAATAAATAAATAAATAAATAAATAAAGTTATAATCAGTATGGCCATATTTCACCTCTAGTATTAGTTTAGCACTGTTGCTGGTGAATATGAGATTGTAGGCTGCAGTTACAGATAGTAGAAATATGGCAATAATAATGCATTTAGGTGGTGGTCATATCTTTGTTAAATTGAATACCCATATCAACTACAATAGTGTCTTGGGGCACTTTGAAGACTAACAAGTTTTATTTGACACAAGCCTTCATAGACACCATAATTTTCATAGTCACCCAACAGATGTATATTAGTACTCAGTTCATGGGATATTTCATGAGATATTTCAATATTTTGCTTAAATACATTGTCTGCATAAAATAGAATTGACAGAATGGAGGGAAAGTTACTCATTTTTATCATTGTATCACATTTTACCTTTTAATAGGTGCCAACTAATACATTAATTAAAGAAAATCAGGATAGACTTTCAGAATCTGCTTCAGGTAAGTTAATAAAATAGTTGGGCTATATATTGTTATGATGAAGGAATCCTAAATCATTATGGGGAAAGCTTAGACTGTGGATGTAAGGTGGCATAGGTAAAAATATGGGATTGGCCAATCTCAAAGATGATACATAAAGAGTCTTCTGGCACTGTAAAAGATTAATGGGTTTATGTGGCTTGAATTTTCATAGGCTATGGCCTACTTCTTCACTTGCCCATCATTGGGGGGGGGGGGGATGATCGTGTAACTTGAAATATTCTGATAAATTTGATTTTAAGTACCAGTACCAAAAATGATGCGAAATCTTTTGGTTTTGAATCATAATTGTAGAAAGAAAGGGCTGAAGTTTTAAAGGGTGGGTAGAGTTTTTTCCCCTCATGTTCATATTTAGAATCTGTTCTTATTGGGTCCTGTTTTAATCTGATAGTTTAGCTTTAATAGATCTGTATTTTATTTTAATTGGTTCTGTAGATTGCTTTGGGTCATACACAGGGATAAGACAGGATATAAATCACATCGATACATTCGTAATGTATAGATGTTCCGTAATGGGTCATTGTGCACCAGAGGGATGTATTGAACATCAAAGAAGGTGCCTTAGAAGGTTTGAGATTATATTGAGTACAATTGGTAGCCAAGCAGGAAATTCTGTCCCATGATCATTTTAAAAGTTGTTACTGATATTCAGAAGGTCACTTGTAGTTATATTTTGTGCTAACATGAGTATATTTTACAGCTAGAACAGACATGTAAATAAATGAGGATTTTTTAAAATATAGGACTGAATGAAAATCCAAGGAAACCAAAGAGCAAAATGGGTGATTCCGAAAAGGCAAGGTAAACCTCTTTTATTTTTGTTTTTTTAACCTAAAAGTTACACTTCCCATAACTGTATGAAATTTAAAATAGTATTTTGGAGTTTTATTTTGGCCCATTAATGCTTTTGAAAAAGTAGAATGAAGCTTTGGAAGAGCAAATAACTTTCTAGTCATGTGGAGGCTAAAGCAAGTGTGCCAAAAATGCATTTCCAGGCTAATGCTTTTAGCTTGAGTGGAGATAAGACATACTGACTAGTTTTATGAAGCTTATACACCAGGTTGTGTAATTTTCAGATAGAAAGCTCCACAGTCCCTGGCTACCTGATGTAGTTAAGGGAAAAAGTGATATTGCCAGAATCCTGATTTATAACAGGCAAGAGAGGGATAATTTCAGATCTCCTCCATAACTCCAGAGATGTAAAGTAAGGTTAGCTACCTAAGCTAACTCTACACACCATGGCAACATAGCACCTAGGCATATCAGGTTTGGAGCCAGAGAGGGGATGTCAGTTGCTATACCAATGCAAAGACAATTTGAACTTCAGAATTTGGAGACATTCTGGAGTTGTCATGCTGAACATGGGGCAATGGAACGTTTGTCAGGAGGAATAAAATATGTAATTCTAATTTACGTAAAGCTAGAGAAAAACTTGAAAAGTTGATATCTAGAATCAGTTTGGGCACTCACTCACAAGAGACCTAAATATAGGAATACATTTCATGTTGTTGTTTTTTTAAAAATAAATGAGACATACGTGTGCATCCAAATTTTTAATGACAAAAATAACAACTTTTAATTTCAGAGACCAGCTGAATTTGAAAAGTGAACAGAATGCATCTGGTGGCACTGTACAGCAGGTATTAAATATGTAAATTAAGCTTTCATTGTTTGTTTAGAGGCCATCATGGTTGCAATTTTCAAGTACTTCAAAGATTTCTCGGCGTCTTGTACACATTCAAATGCTGAGAAATCTTTGAAATAAATCTGAAAAGCACACAGAGCATTATAACGTAGCACCTTCTGGTGAATTGTTAAGCTGAGGTCATTTGCACAGGGAGTCTTCCCACACATTGCTTTCATGAGTTGATAGTTTCAAAAGTAGCCTGAAAGCTATTTGAGAAGTTAGATAGTTATGAAAATGACAACACAGTATGTTTTGCTAAATTGTGAAAGTCGCCCCCCCCCCTCCTGGGGGTGGGGGAGATAGTTATACATAGAAACAGTCAGGTTAGCCATGCTTCTATTGCCAAAGGAAATGGACTGACAAGGCACTAAGAACAAATATACGGTAATTACAGCACAAAGGTGACTTGTTCTGATTTTTGTTTGTTCTCTATTGTGACTTGCATGTGTTCTCCACCCACACAGAGTCAGAATCCTCCACAGCTTGGCACTTTGGAGGGACCGTCATAGCGGCAGCACACATGATATGAGCTTCCCTATTCTAATATTTAGATTATTGCTTCCTCTTACCAGTCTTTTACTAGTTTTTCCCAACCATTTGTCAAATTTTATTATTATTTTATTTATACAGTGTTCTGTGAGCATCTGTAATGGGTACAGTCTTGGCTGTGAGGTCTATGACTCCTAAGGCCTTCCCACAGTATGAAGATTGAAGGAGGAATTTCCCTCACTAATGGGCACAATAAGATGATATTGGCAATATATGTTGTTTCTGGGAAGGGCATGGAGAAGCAACCGTCTACGATTGGGATCAATGGTTGCAAAGGAAATGAATGTGAGCTCCTACCTTGAGACAAGTAAAAAGAAATGGAAGTAGGAAGAGAGTAAAGTCCAGCAGATGCTGGCTGCTCTTCCTTCCTTCAGAAGCTATGGAAGTGGCATTTGAAACAGAATAGTGGTTCCTCGCCGGCTGCTGGAAACTTCTTACTCTTGGTTCTGCCTTCTTCGCTGGTAAAACATCTGGGAGATGGTAAAACATCTGGGAGTCCCCTGCCCAACGTCCTTGCAGACGGCCAGTTTTCTCACACCAGAAATTTTTCAAGTCACTCCTGACATGAAAAAAAATTAAGCAGTATTTATTTGAATTCTTAGGAACTACTAAGAATCTACTGCTCTCAGTATGCTTACATCTACAAGTCTACAAGGCTCTTAATCAATGCCTGTGGGTGTACTGACTGGTTCTGCTGGGAGTTGTAGGCTAAAACATCACGAGGGAATCATATTGTCATGCTATTTTAAAAGAAGTTTTGATATACCAAAGACAATATTTATTCTTGTTGATTTTTTAGATGAATGCTATAACTTCTCTGGAAAGTTTGAAGACTCATATTATGCAAGGATGTACATCTTTGATGGATCAACGTTTCCACAGTGCTGAAAAATCCTTTGTACTTTTATTGAATAGTATAGATTCATTCCATCTAAAGGTAATGGGAAAAATATCATTATTCCGAGAACAATATCATTTTCCTCATAAAATGAGCTTTTACACTTTTTTTCGAATATGCTTTAAAAACCATAACAGTATCAGGAAGCATGCGAAATGAACAAAAAAATTGATAATGCTAGGAAATATGTTAAGGTATTAGAAATAAAATGTTTTGGACTTGTCTTCTATATGACATTTGGTGCTGATCGTGGGAGAAGATACTCTGATGTCAAAGTACATTACAAAACTAACAATTGTTCCTCTAGGTCAGTGGTTCTCAACCTTTGGGTCCCCAGGTGTTTTGGCCTACAACTCCCAGAAATCCCAGCCTATTTACCAGCTGTTAGGATTTCTGGGAGTTGAAGGCCAAAACATCTGGGGACCCATAGGTTGAGAACCACTGCTCTAGGTTCAACTTGTAAAAGGTTTAAATGTTCTATGAGACATGGGGTGACAAATTAATGAACGAAATTATCTGACTGTTACCAAAGATTAGGTACGGTGAACAGAAGTAAACGGAGCATAAAGTTTGAGAATTCAAATAGCTATTGTTCCTCCGCTGAAGTTAAACTGGAGAATAGAGAAAGGGGAACAGAACTCTGTTAACTTCCCTAGAAACATTGTGACTTTTATTTTTACAAACAGCAGTATCCTTCCCTCTCAACTGGCTAGCATTGGTTTGGGGCAGTGTTGCAGTGGCTCCAGCTTTTTCTGTTGTGAAAGGAGCTCTGGTTTTGCGCCATGTCTTTTGGCCTGCCTTAGGGTTCCATTCTGTTTTCCAGATTTTGTAGGTGCTATATTTTAACTTTGAAGGGAATTGTCAAAGGGAAGTACAAAAGAATTACCAGTATGCAAATGACATGCAATTCTTACGCTTCATTTTCTCTTGCGCTAACAAATTTCTATCAGTCACTTTATGGATTATGTTTAAAATTATGTTTATGACCTATAAAAGCTTGGATCCAACCATATTTTGATGAAGTTTTTTCTCAGTCCTCCACTATCATAGGCAGCAAGGTCCTTTTGACAGCTGCTCCTAGACTGTGAAACTCGCTTTCATTAGGATCCCTTGCTCTTGGCTTTTTTCTCCTTGTGTCCATTGAATATTTTTTACAGGGTTTGGTCATTAATTAGGTGTGCAGAACGGTTCTTACATGAGTACAGTACTCATTTCCCTTTCTTCTCACATCATTAAATGCTTTAAAGCCACTTCTAATTCAGCTTTTAGTTAAGATTGAGCCTGTCTAACAGTTAAGATTGTGTACAGAAGAAGGGCTTCTGTACACAGTTTGAATGACTAGATAGGATCAGTCTTAACTGTACAAGCAGGCTTTTATTTAAAAAAAAACCAAAATAGTGGGCACCACATGATCAAAGCACATAATTAGTGTTATGTGCTTTGTTCATCTGGTGCCCACAAACAGTGAAGTGGCTGCTTTCTGTACAGAGTTGCTTTCTAGTAAAGTCTATACATTAATAAACAGGCAGACAGACAACAACATTTCAATGGTGAATCCAACATTGTGACACACTTTTCTGTTGAACATGTGCTTGACTCCTTTGCCTCCTATTTTAAAACGGACTTTGAAGTTACATCTGCTGTTAACTAATTAGTTGAAGCAGAGTCATTTTAATATGGTGCCGTTATTTTACTTCTTGTTTGTTGTTCTAGTTGTTTTATCTTGCTACCATTAATTAGGATTTTATCTTTTAATTCTACTTTATGATTTACTGATTTGCTTGTTTTTACATTTTTCAAGTTGTTTTCTCCTCAAAAGGGAATGCAGAAGTGTCTGTGTCTGTATGGAAAGAGAGATTTTTTTTTGGGGGGGGGGGAGAATAAAGTTCTTGGAAATATAATGTTCAGGGATAAATAACTGTTTTTAATATTTTGAACTTGTTGCAGAAATTCAATCTTACTGTTGTTGATAATGTTATAATCATTTATGGATATGCCACGTCTCTTATTGGAATAGGACAGCCTGAGGTAAGATTTCAAGCTTTTATGTTTGACAGTTTTCAATTTAGACAGTGAACAACTTTTGATCTAAAATATTATTAGTGTTGGTAGTTCCTTTCTAAACCATATACAGGCAGTCCACAAGTTACAAACAAAAGATAGTTTCTGTAGGTTTGTTCTTAAGTTGAATTTGTATGTAAGTCAGAACACATACATTTTTAAAGTGTAACTCCAGTTATGTATGTATGTGTGTGTATGTATGTATGTATATGTATATCTGTATATATATATATATATATATATATACACGTATATATAAGCTTTGGATAGCATTGGGAAGGGTCAACCTTGTGGAATTTGTTTTCCTGCCTGTGCCCCTGTTCATAAGATTTCATCTCACTATCTATCCTTGTGATAATTGGATTTTGAAAATTTAGCTTGTTATGAAAACAAGGATTGGTGATAAAGCTTCAGTTGAGACACCTTTTCCCCATGACAACTCTTTCAGGAGTTAATTTCTCTTCTGAGGGGTAGGTTTCTCTCACTTCCTTTTCCAATAGGTCATGCCACAATTTGGAGGCAGCTGATAATAAGGTCCTTAGGTTTGCAGTTAGTGATCCTGTAGATAACATGGTCCCAAACTATAAACCTATGCAAACAATCTTTATACATTCATATTTATCTTTTATAGTATGTTTGTTTTTCGTTTTGGTGTGTATTTGTTTAATCAATTTTAAACTGTTTGTGTTTTTAAAAGGAATTAACCAAGGCCAAAGACCAGTTCAATAATATAATTGAGCAGTATCAGAAAGTGAGATTTGATTGCTTAGCACACTATGGAATTGGAAAAGTATATTTAAGACAAAATCGGTGAGTGGTATACTTATGTAAATAACTGTTGATTGCAATTTCACTCACAGTGGCTGTATCTTGTGAAATGCTAAGGTTTGGAGTTTGGTGAGGCACTAGAGATCTCTGGCAAAAAAATCTAAATAGCTCTCCCTAAACTACAAATCCCAGGATTGTATAGGATGGTGTCACGGTTATTACAGTGAAACCATGGTGTTTCTATTGTGTAGTGTAAAAGGGTCCTAGCAGCATATGATATGTAAGTGGCAGGAATAGCAGTTTGGAGGCTCTTCCTAGAAGCAAGGTGAGGAGCCAATATCCTTGTTTACATTGCAGTAACTATTTGCTTTTGAAAAGAAGATAGGAATTTGGAGCCCTTGAATTAACTAACAAATTATTGATTTGACAGTTTGCTGCCTTCAGGTTTACAGTCTGAATAGGACGCAATACACACACAAAAAATAGCAGTGAGTTAGGGGAATAAGTTCTTCAGATGCTGCCAGTTCTTTGTTTTCCTCATTCTAGAAAGACACACTTTCCCATTTTTGTACTGCTTTGTTTGGGCAGTGGTGAGAGAGTGAGAATGATAAGCCCAGCTGCATTGTATTCCAGAATATTAAATTAAGGACTACAAGACTTGAATTTTTCTGCTTACACTAGGTTTTCAGATGCACTGGAGCAGTTTATGAAATCGAAGACCATGGTTAATCATAAAATGGTTCCTGGTGTATTGACGTGGCCTACAACTTCAATAGTTATTGAAGAGACAAGGATAGAGAAATTACAAGTAAGTACAACTGTTATCTTGATATGTGAAAGGTTGGGGGAAAATGAAATGTTGAGAAGATATAAACATTGTGGGTGTGTTTAAGAAAACTGTTCTGTTCTTCTAAAGCTTTGGGAAATATGTGTTTGTGTATTGGGGAGGGCAGCTCTTTCAAAAGGAGTCACATGCTTCTTAGCACAAGGTTTTGCCATCTAAGATACTAGGAACTGCTTAATATGAAGATTTCTATACAAGACAGTGAACAGAATCAGAAAACGGTTGGCATTTTCAAATTCGTTTAATATTCTACATGTCTCTCAATTTTGAGAGCCAAGACAGCTTACAATGTAGAGAGAAACAAAATTTGGCCAACTTGAACTATAGTTAAAAAAAACTTTAAAGAAAAAACAAATAAGCAATTAAATTAAAATTCATTTGAATTAGTTTTAAAAGCATTTGAAACCTAATAGTGAAGATAAAATGGCACATTAAAAGAGCCTTTACAGTATCAGTGAACAGTCTAAGTGTGTCTATATAGTATGCCATTCCCATGCATATTGCAAACACCCACATCACTCAAACCCAAGGGATATTTCTAGATCTAGTGAGGTGCTGCTGTCTTCATAAGAAGAACACAGAGAGGGCCTGAAATATTAGTGAAACTAATGTACTATGGAAGGCATCAGCTTTAGGTGAAACTTTACTTGTATATGTAACAAACTGGCCTACTTTGAAGGCCTGGCTTGTGAAGATTTCTAGACCTAGCAGGAAACAGAAGGGGAGGAGGGAGCACATTCCTTATATGGTAGTGCTATCTGATTGGTGGAGAGAGATTTGCATATCAACAGAAGACAGAGAGATATGGGGAACCAAGTATATCAGTGTAAGAGACCTTTTCTGCTGGGCTGTCAACGTCCCTTTCTGCCAGATTGATCTAGTTTTCTTCTTCTTTCTCTCCATGCCTTGTAGAATTAAAATGCTTAAAACACACACATGCTTTCATCCCTAGAGGAAAATATGGCAGTGGATTTTTTAATGAATTATTCTGGATTATAATTATTTCAAACTGCATTTAAAAAATGACCATATTCATTGTTGCTCTCTGGTTTATAGGTAATATTGCAAGATTGTATTGAAGAATGCAAGTTTCCTCCAAATCCAGATGCCGTTTGTAGCTATCAGCACTGCCGAGCACAAAAAATCAAAATCTATTTTAGTGATCCAGATTTTAAGGTAACTGAAGGGATGAATAGTATCTAATAAACCAGTATTATTATTTACGTTGACCTTTTCACAAAATACTTATGCAGAACTTGTCATGAATATTACTAAGTATAAAATACTGCTTTAGTATTATACGCCTAATGCTCACATCTCTGGCCTGCAATTCTCAGGGTTTTATACGTGTTGCCTGCTGTGAACAATGCATAGTGGAATTTCATGTAAGCTGTTGGAAGAAGCTGAAAGCAACAAGATACAGTGATAAAAATGACAAGGTAACATCAAATTTGTAATGCTTTGCTTCTGTGTGGAATGTGCTGGTTGCATTGATACAATGCTAAGAGTCCGAAAAACATGCCACACTTGATGGCTGGGGCTTGCTGCTTCCTCCCCTGCTGCCCTACACTATTTTTAATAGGGACTTACTTCATAAGCCTCGTAAGTTCACAGTCTTGGTGCAATCTTCACAAAGTTTGAGAGAAATGTGAAGTTCTCATAGGACTTAATGGCTTAAGGTAGCAATGGAAGTAGTAATGAGCCCCACCAGCCTCTGCTTCTGCCTTGCGAAGGAGCCCTGCCACTGTTATGAATAACTTCTCAGTAACTTTAAAAGCATAGATTCTTTTTATTGTAATTTTCCAGTAAGAGAAAGGGTATCAGAACTTTAACACTTTTACACAAAGAATGACACTGGACATATAGATTCTATGTAACTTCACTGAATTCACAAACAACTTACAGTTCTATTGGCTAACAAACCAACAAAAGGGGATTACTTTTTTCTCAGCATCCACACTACATGGAAAAGTTCAATAGTCCTCATTCATATATCACCTTTTCTCCATTCTTCCTCCATGAAGAACATCTCTTAAGCCAGACTGCTTCCTTGCAAATCTGCCAACATGTAGTTTCCAAAACTTCAAAACGGCAACATGCATCCTTTTCCTAAGAACAATGCCAAGGACCAGATCTCTGTTTTCCATACAGCTGAATTTGACTTCCTGTGCAAAATCCAAGACCCCAAAACCCCACTCCTTTCTCTTCCCTTGAGAAAAGGAGGCAAAGTGCAGACTGCATTCCATTGCAGATCTGATACTCAAGGTACACGATCTCTCCCCTTCCCAATTGAGCAGAGCATAGCAAGTGGACCAGACTCCTTTGGTCTGCCACACTTGAGAATTATTAGATTGAGTATTTTATAGGAATATTCTGCTGACGTAGTAAATAATTGTCCTGTTGAAATTATTTTGAGTCTTCACCTCCTGACATAGATGTTTGTCTTCAGGTAACAAACCATTATGTTCTGGGTTTGGCTTGAAAGAGCATTGTCTTTGACTAATGTAAACAGAGATAATTTCCCTTAAGAATTAATCTGGTTTCTGGTCAGCAAATGTTGACAGGTGTAAACATTTCTCTTATCACTGTCACAGTTTTTATCACAGTTAGCAGTTCAGCAACTTTTAATTACAGTCCAACAAGCAGGTAGTAAATAATTTAGAATGGTGTCTTCAGCCAAATAAGGCTTCATTCATTCATTTCTTTCATTCAGTTTATTCATATCCACACATATCAAATCTACCTTTATCAAATCTACACATTATATTTCTTCAGACACATTCTCTATCCAAGATTCAAAGGTATAGTATTGTATACATTTGAATCGTGGATCATGAGGCTGCAGGTTAGAAAGGTCCACTGTATATGCACTATTATATAACTAAGATACAGTTATAACAGACAGGATACTCAGTACTTGGATGCAAAAAAGACTCTGAACATTCACATGTTATGTTTAACCATTTGTACAATACTTCAATTTTTGAAAAAATAAAATGAAAAATTCTGCAGTGTAGTTCTACCTTTAGGCACATTTTCTGTTGACATCCACAGGATATTCTTAAAGAGTTGTGCCTTACTCCAGATTGTGGAGGACTCATTTCTAAAATTGTCATCATCGATGCTTCTGGTTTTGTCAAGTGTGAGGTAAGAATGAATTTTCTGTTATTAGTGTATTTCATCAATTCTAAGATTCACTTTTTTCTTTATATAAACATCTCTAAAATGGGGTGCGTCTTAGAAGTGCAGGTATATCTTTTGTATTTTGTTGTTGTTCCTGAAATAAGGGTGTGTCTTACAATAAAAGGCATTTTTCAATGTAAGAAATATGATAAAGCCTACCTAGTGTTCTGGTGTATATTGACATTTTAAGAGATTATCAGTGCCCATAATTTTGGCATTAGTATTTTTTGTATGAAATTCCAGTATATCAACACCACATCAAGGCCACTGAGAGTGTACAGGTACGTGTTGCAACTTAGCACAAAGTCCTGCTCAGTTCAGTGTGTTGTCTTACGTGAACTTATATAACCTAAATATTTTTTGAAAAAGAAAGGTTTCACTTGTATCCATAAGGCATACCCCATTTACAGATAGTTTCTAGGGGAGTTTAAAACTGCAGTTAATGTGCACATAATGCCAGTTATGAATAGGAATTTACTCTAAAGATAGAAGCAGTTTTGTAGGAGAGAGTAAGTGTGAACCTAGAATCCTTTATCACAAGAGAGCCTTAAACCTTCCTTCCTTCCTGGCTTGTGGCATTACATCATCACTAGAAATTGGCAGCTCTCTAGATAGTGCTGGAGTGGAACTCCCTGCATTCCTCAACATTGGTTTTCCTGGTAAGTGCTTCCAGGAGTTGGAATTTGACAAAGACTGAAGGGCCTCAAAACCCCACCCTGTGTTAAATTTTAGGCCAGACTTTCCTTTCGAGTAGAAGGCGATAAACTAGCCCGCTGTTTTCCTACTCTAATATATCTAGTTCCCATAAATGGTGGAAGTCTCATTAGCAAAAGTGGCATAGTGGAGGGGAAGTTGTAAAAGCGGGTTTGGATGAAGAGGAACTTCTTACAGAGTCTCAGTAAAGATACTGAAACAGTGAAACAGCCCTTTTTGTATTTCGTATTTGGGTCTTATCTCCAAGTACAATTATCTATGTATACGCAAATTGAGGTATTTCAAAATAATATTTTTTAAAAATCTGAAATCCAAAATTCTTCTAGTCCCGAGCATTTTGGTAGAGTTGTGTCTTATTTCTTTTTACAGTTCTCTGAAATTATGTCAAGATATTAACAATGAAGCTGTTTATCTCCCATTTCTTCTTTCTAGTTTGAGCAAAAAATAAAAAAGAAGACTCTACCAAAACCTGTAGTTAAACAAAAATGCTCCAGGTAAGTTTCCTAGTTATATAAGTAATATAGACTAGTACTTTTCAGAGCTGATGAACCACAGTAGGTTCTCCTGAAAAATGTCTTTTTCAAAATAATATACAATAATATAGATGGGTTCCTGAGTGAAATGTATATAACAAAAATACCACTTGTATAACATAAACAATGATATAATTCAACAACAGTATATAAACATGCTGCACTGTTAACCTCACAGCGACAACAAACAGTATGGTGCAAACTTTTAGTACAGTCGTATTTTCTTATAAGTAGCTTGAGTAACAGCCTACCACAATTCAACAACAATATATATACTTGCTGCACTGTTAACCCCACAGCGACAACAAACACTGTGGTGCAAACTTTTAGTATAGTCGTGTCTTCTTATAAGTAGCTTGTGGGACAGCCRACCACGACCGGTGGTTGCTGTTCACAACCCTTGCTCCTATGGCTTTAACTGAGCTTCACCTGAAGTAGTTCTTCCCCTTTAAATGGAGGAATACCAAAGACCTTTCCCATACTCGCAGCCAGAACTAAACTCAAAGCAGAGTATCTCGTGAGTAYCCTCTCTTATGTGTAAATACTGGAATATTTCTACWATATAACCATATAGATMYYAACYYAAWAAGATTTGTATCTCCCGTGGASAACATACTTWCATGTGCMWMATTWYGTWMSTATTTRWATRKAATAYCAAATGTAYTMTTGTTCAAGYSTAKAACTTTTGGAAGTACTMAARTGYAKWGTAWCCTATSATRYYWAMYSAWAMAGATGTTSTATMTGTATGCYMSTGKAGWAMATACKTTSATKTGYAYAMTTWYRGTCCASCAGAGGAAGGCCTGAGGTAGGCCRAAACCGGTCGTGGTCGGCTGTCCCACAAGCTACTTATAAGAAGACACGACTGTACTAAAAGTTTGCRYCACATTGTTTKTTGTCGCTGTGGGGTTAACAGTGCAGCATGTACTTWTAGTACWGTYGTATTKWMTTRTRAGTAGSYTGTKWMACARSCTACYTAYAAKWMAAYACGACWGTACTAWAAGTACATGCTGCACTGTTAACCCCACAGCGACAACAAACAATGTGGTGCAAACTTTTAGTACAGTYGTGTCTTCTTATAAGTAGCTTGTGGGACAGCCGACCACGACCAGTTTCGGCCTACCTCAGGCCTTCCTCTGGTGGACTGTAAGTGTACAAATCAACGTTTTACTACAGTAGCATACATATAGAACATCTGTATCATTAAACATCATAGGTTAAAATACACTTTAGTACATCCAAAAGTTATACACTTGAACAATAATACATTTGATAATACATTTAAATACTTACAAAATTATGCACATGAAAGTATGTTCTCCACGGGAGATACAAATCTTTTTGGGTTGGTATCTATACAAAAGGAACGTAATGTGGCTGTAAGTTTTGTAAATTATTAAGAATGGTTATATTGTAGAATATTCCAGTATTTACACATAAGAGAGGGTATTCACGAGATACTCTGCTTTGAGTTTAGTTCTGGCTGCGAGTATGGGAAAGGTCTTTGGTATTCCTCCATTTAAAGGGGAAGAACTACTTCAGGTGAAGCTCAGTTAAAGCCATAGGAGCAAGGGTTGTGAACAGCAACCACCGGTCGTGGTTGGCTGTCCCACAAGCTACTTATAAGAAGACACGACTATACTAAAAGTTTGCACCACAGTGTTTGTTGTCGCTGTGGGGTTAACAGTGCAGCAAGTATATATATTGTTGTTGAATTGTGGTAGGCTGTTACTCAAGCTACTTATAAGAAAATACGACTGTACTAAAAGTTTGCACCATACTGTTTGTTGTCGCTGTGAGGTTAACAGTGCAGCATGTTTATATACTGTTGTTGAATTATATCATTGTTTATGTTATACAAGTGGTATTTTTGTTATATATATTTTTCAAAAGAATGTAAGGCCTGTGGTTGCTACTCACAGAATTACTACTTTGTCTCCATAGCACTTGTTTGCCAAGCATCATTGACCCATTATGTGTTTCAGTTTTGAGTAGTTCCCAAGAACAGAAACAGCCATAAATACAATTAGCATTCACACAAATTTGTGACTCTTATAAATGATTGTGAAGTTGGGTTGCAAACTAGAGAAAATAAAGCCCAAAACTCTTTCGGTGTTCACGTAGAGCAGTGCTTTGTAGCAATAATGTAAATTATATATGTTTCTTGTAGATTACATACTATAAAGATTTATGCTTACTATTATGGTGCCCCAATATTTATTTTCGTTCGGTTTGATCTGCATCTTACATCTTCTAACCTTTTTCATAATGCAAAATTTTATTATCTGGCCGAGTATCTAAAGGTATAATTTTGCTAGAATTGTGTCACTAGTACAAACCATTTTCCCAGAAAGTGTAAAAGGGAGGAATTGAGTGCAATCTTTGTTTTCACAACCTGAAAGCAGTACCTTTCGTTCTTTTCCTTTCCAACACATAAATGAAAACATGGATGTTAACATGCACGGGACTACTCTTGCAGATAGTGATAGTACCCCTTATGGAGGCAGGTGGTGTAGAACATGTAATCCATAGCGTAATATAGACCTACAATGCATGCATCTATTACCTTTCCTTCACTTGGAAAATCCAAGAGAAATCGACCAATAACTGTTTTTCTCCATACTCTTGACTTAGGTTCTGAATTGCAAAATAGCCACCTAAATTATAACAAACTAAAATGATGTACTTTTTTTTTTGTGTCAGGAGCGACTTGAGAAACTGCATGTCACTTCTGTTGTGAGAGAGAATTGGCCGTCTGCAAGGACGTTGCCCAGGGGACACTCAGATGATTTGATGTTTTTATCATCCTTATGGGAGGCTTCTCTCATGTCCCCGCATGAGGAGCTGGAGCTGATAGAGGGAGCTCATCCACCTCTCCCCGAATTTGAACCTGCAACCTGTCGGTCTTCAGTCCTGCCGGCACAAGGGTTAAACCCACACTTTAATACTTAAAGATCGGTTTGCATGGTCCTTGTGTGAGAACTGGAAATGATCATGGCATTACCATTGATTTTACATGTCCACTTAGAAACTTTGTATGTTTTTCTCAGTTAAAATTGGATGATGAGCTATTATTTGCACTTAGAGCATCAAAAATCCGATGACATTTCTCTGATTTTGATTCAGTTCTAAGAACATAGAAAGAAAGCAGCAGAGAAAATTGAAGAGAAAATTTATGAAAGAAGAGGTCTCTGTCCAATTAAGAGAACTTGCTGAAGCATTTCATAGAGAAGACTGTCCAGCAAGAGATGCTAGCAAAAAAGGTATATGAATGTGAATCCTTGTTTTGGAGATTTTTTTTCCATGTCAGGAGCAACTTGAGAAACTTCAACTCGTTTCTGGTGTGAGAGAATTGGCTGACTGGTAGGATGTTGCCCAGGGGATGCGCAGATGTTTTTGATGTTTTACCATCCTTGTGGGAGGCTTCTCTCATGTCCCCGCATGAGGAGATGGAGCTGAAAGAGGGAGCTCACCTATTGGTCAGCAGTCCTGCTGGCAGAAGGGTTTAACCTATTGCGCCACCGGGGGCTCCTTTGAGATGCTTTTATAGTTATATGTCTGTGAAATCCTGTGTTTGTCTTTATAGCTTACCATTCCTTGTGTTTGTTTTATCTCAGCAAATCTTGAGAATTATTTTCCTGACGACTCGGTTCTGCAGCTTATTTTACGGCATTCTGTGAACATACGAACAGGTGTACGCGATGCCTTCAAGCTTCTTAATGAATTGCTTTCATGGTCGGTACTTAGTGAAGAGAATTGTGCAGAATTTTCTACAAGTTGTGGATCATCAACTGAAGTAATGGACCAGCTCATACACTTTTTAGCTACTAAAAATGAGAGAGTGAAGACAAGAATTTTTGTTCATGTTTTAAGTGAATTTGAAGAAATAGAACCTAAATTACATGACTGGATGAAACACCTTGAAAATAATGGTAAGACTGTGTTCGCTGTGGCTAGACAACAATTTAATTGGAATACCAAAATACTCATTTATAATTCTAGAAATTATAGTAAAAATCAATCTAAAAGAAAGGTCAGCTCAAGAATACCTTGGTCAAGGGCCCTACAAATATTATTGGGATCATAGTTGGGCTGTAGGGAGCTCCTGGTGGCGCAGCAGGTTAAACTGCTGAGCTGCTGAACTTGCTGACCAAAAGGTTGGCAGTTTGAATGCGGGGAGTGGGGTGGGCTCCCACTGTTAGCCCCAGCTTCTGCCAACCTAGCAGTTCGAAGACATGCAAATGTGAGTAGATCAATAGGTACCACGTCTGTGGGAAGGTAATGGTGCTCCATGAGTCACGCTGGCCACGTGACTTCACGGACAACACCGGCTCTTCGGCTTAGAAATGGAGATGAGTACCAACTTACTTTTACTAGTTGGGCTGTACTTTATCCACCCCTACTTAATAAGATAGGAAACCTGCGCCCATAACAGTAATAAGTAATGAGTCCCCTTCGGGGTGAGAAGGGCGGCATATAAATGTCGTAAATAAATAAATAAATAAATAAGTATCTAATTTTGTGTGTGGGAAAGTGATCTGCAGAGGCTTCTACTAATGCCCAAGCATGGAGGTGATTTTCCTGATGACATATCACATTTCCTGGCATTCCAGGGGATCCCTCATCTATCCAGAGTGGATTTTCATGAGGAAGCAGCGGAGAGAGTTAAGGGAAAAGTCCCAACCCCACACCCTTCAGCTAGTAGACGCCTCCCTTCCAAACAGTTAAATACAACTTATTGAAGTCATTTATAGCCTTGGCTGTGTCAACATAAAACATTGACTCCAGACCTTCATCAGTTTTGTATCAGGAACGGTCATTTAAGTGATTTTAAATACCAACTACCTGTACATCACCTGTCTTTTGTTGATCTGAAATGTTTTAGGTGTATAACTTTCCTTAATAACATTATCAAACATTCTCGGGATGGTCAGGAGAAGCAGTCCACTATAATTGGGTTTTACCCGCGCTCTCCAACCAGAATGGCAGGATTCAAGATTCTTTTTCAGTTGAGCGATTAAGATCCTGCCCCCTTTTCCAACAGTTGTTTCAATCCTGCCTTACCAACTGGCCATGTTCTTCTCCACTTTGGAGGTATTGCCTCTTGAGTTCCAGGTTTCAAAATGGCTAACGTCTTCAAAGTGAAAGTTGCAGCTTTTCAGAAGAGATATCATGGCTATTGCAGTGTTCTTCTCCACTCTGAGCTCCAGTTTTCAAAAATTAAGTTACACCTTACCAGGAAACGTATTGTCCTATCGCACCCAAGCTGCTTTTAAGGTCTCTTTGGCATTAATGTGTCTTAACACTCTGTCAGCTTGGGAGATACTGGATTGCCTTCCTTTAGAACAAGGGACTCCACAGAATTAAAGTCCATGCTGTTGCTTTGAGGAAAAGGTAACGATTTATTAACAGATTTTGGGTTTGACTCCACCCAAGCACTAGCTTGATTTCCCCACAACAAAATCCGTATTTAAAACTTGAATGGTAACTTAATGATTCTGACGCTGCGGACATTTCTGAGGAGAATAGATAACAGTTTCCCTTGCTCTCAGTCTTTGGTATAGGGGCCTCTGAGGCACCCAAGGTGTTAAGTAGTTGTTGTTTAACTAATTGATTGGAGTGCTGGTTGTAGTAGGTAACTAGGCTGAAGTAACTGGTTATAAGTAACATAACCAGTTATAAGTACAACTGGTTATATAGTAATTGGTTGAAGGTAGTAGTTGTATAACTGGTTGAAAAAGCAACTGGTTATAAAGTAATGACTTCAAGTGTCTTGTCCAAGCCTGAATCTCTGGGACCAACTGAAGACACATCCTGCCTCAAGGATTCCTTGGTGGTCTAGGATCTAAAATGGCTCCTTTCCCTCAGGCAAAGGGGCGTGGCCGAATAACTGACACAAAATGGCTCCTTTTTTCCTCAGGCAAAAGGGCAAACAAAATGGCTGACACAAGCCAAGAAGGAGTTTCTTAAACTCCACCCTCATAAAAACTAACATAAAAGTAACTGCTCTAAAACTATGGGCGAAAAAGCCAGACAAAGGGATCTGGAACTTGTGCAATTTTGGCACACGTATCATTATCTTTCCTAATTTTCTCCTTGTTTTTTATGTTTACTAACATCCTTGCCTTTTAAGTTTGTCAGAGAAGAGCAAACATGACTGGTTGGTTAGGCAGGATTGAAAAAGCTGTTGGAGAAGGGGGCAGGGTCTTAATGGCTTGGATCCTGCCATTCTGGATGGAGCGCAGGCGGGGGTGAAACCCAATGGTAGTGGATTGCTCCTTCCAGCCCAGAATGAACTTTCACAATAAGTACAATTTCTTATTCAGCCAGAAGGAATTATATGGACAAATGTGCATATTCCTAAATGCTTCATGAAACCCAGTAGATGAAATGCCCATTGTGTGGGTAAAAGAATGCACAATGTTGACTTTGACTGTTCTCTTTTAATCCATCTCTGTTGTTGCTACAACAACAGTAATACAATTATTGCTGTTATTATTTTGCAGGTTTAAAAGCTACAGAGTCCTTTATCCCTCAGTATGGATTCTACATTTTACAGGCTGATTTTAAATTGGTTGCAGTTTTTTGGGATGAGAAATATGGTATTAAACTAGGCAAGAAGTTTGGCTGCACATCAGAAGACATGGGTGAAGAACTAGAATACCTCGCAAGTCTATCAATAATAGAAAATCGTTACTTACTATGGCTATTGGAAGAGAACAGAGAGCATTTTCCATTTTATCATCAGTATTTAGATGACTATTTCGATAACTGGGGTGAGTATAATGACCAAATTACTTTAAAACTGAATAACATACATCTATCTTCTTCACCTGTTAAACCACCTTTCCAATAAATACACGCCCTTCTCAGTGTATGGTGTAAATCTTTGAAGGAGAAAGAGTCGCTTATACTTTCCTTAGTCCTCTTTGTAAATATTGGAATGATCTAATAGAGCTAGAATGTTGGGTATCTCTGTAGAATGATTTTTTTAAATGTATATGTATATAACTGTGAGGTGACTGAGTCTTTATAATAAGATTATGACGATATTGTGAAAAATGCTTCCATTTTGTGTCACTTTCTCATTTTGTCTTACAATATGTAAAATTTGTTTTTAAAATAGATAATCCTTTTACTGTAATGAGGAAGGAGGAAACTGAAACTACTCCAGTAAGTTTTTTCTGTTCTCGATTGAACTGAAAGATGAATAGTAATTAGAGTTTTTTAAAATCACCTCAGGATAAATGATCAATTGTTTGTCTTCCCTGTATATCACAGTTTCAAATATTAGCAGCATATGTCTACAATAAAGTGACTTGTAGAGTAACTATGTGTGCTTAACATTTACTAGTAAATTCCAAAGATAATTGAATAGATTGCATAAAATGTTCTCATTCTCATGATTTGCAGCTAAAGAATGCATAGCATGGCATTCATAAGTGTACAGGTCAAAAAGAATAATTGCTATTCTCATTACACTTAAATTTCTGTTTTTTTTTTCCACATTTTGACATTTACCAAAGTATGTATTAGTATGATGGGAGGGATTTAAATATCATAGTGAGACAAAAATAATAATCCTAGCTTAACATAAAATAGGTTATCACATACTTTTTTATTGTTCCCATTTATTTCCTCCTGTCATTAGTTAATCTTGGAGTTTATACCAGTTCTTTTCAACACAGACTCCAACAAGCAAGAGTCAAGAATGAGCTCTGGTTTATGACTGGTTTGTTAGGAGAGGCATAGTTTGGATGTCACACTAAATCAGTTTTGGTTAGAGAGTGCCTGAACATTTAAACCATTCCCACTTGTTCATAACAAGCCAGAATCATAAACATTTCTGGTTTCCCACTGGACCGGAATGAAAGAAATATATGTCCATGGCTTTTGATTTATATTATTTTTGTAGCTCTTTTTTCACATAACGTTAGCTACTAATTTTACTTCTTGCCCTGGTATATGATACGCGAATTATTCTCCTGTAATTTTGCTTTTCTGTTGTAAACACAAATTTCCCGAGTAACTATTTTGACCTAAAATGTGTATTTGATAAATATTGGTCATTGCGTACTTGTGCGCCAGCTGCGCCCGTACCTTGGGAAGCCTGACTTGGCCACGGTAGTCTATCCTCTGGTTACATCTCGTATAGACTACTGCAACGCTCTCTACGTGGGGTTGCCCTTGAAGACTGTCCGGAAGCTTCAAATGGTACAGGGCTCGGCAGCCAGGTTACTAACAGGAGCGGCACTCAGGGAGCATACAACTCCTCTGTTGCGCCAGATCCACTGGCTGCCAGTTTGCTACTGGACACAATTGCTGGCCTTAGCCTATACAGCCCTAAATGGTTCTGGCCCAACTTACCTGTACAAATGTATCTCCTCCTATGAACCAGCTAGGACGTTAAGATCGTCTGGGGAGGCCCTGCTCTCAGAAATTAGATCAGCCCCCTCCCTGTTCACATTTCGGAGGAAAGTGAAGACCTGGTTGTTTGAGCAGGCATTTGAACAAGCAGTGTAACTAATATAGAAATATGGAACATTTGGATGATGAGACTGGATCTTGATTTTAACTATGAGACGAGATGAGATGTTATGATGTTTATTGATTGTTATAATGTTATTCTTTTAACTTGTTTTTAACTGTTTTTATCATGTTTAAGTATTGTATTTGCTTTGTTAACCACTCTGAGTCACCCTGAGGGCTGAGAAGAGCGGTATACAAATATAGTAAATAAATAAATATATATTATTTGGCGTCACCCCTGCTGCCACCCTGCATAAGGGGCTGGAAGCTTGGTAAGACGTGACTGTGAACACGTGCCAGCATTTGTACATTCCTATTAAAAATATTGGTTCAGTTCCTTTCAACCAGCACTGCTGAATGTCTAAGAAGGAACAAGGGAAGATACTGTTCAGGCCAAGGCCTTGCCCTATGTGGGTGCAGGAGCAAACAGCAGCAAACTCTGGGTTCCTGGAGCTAGCAAGCGTATTACATGTGGCTGGGTGGGCTTAAGATATTTGCATTTTTTCCCATTTTTTTAGAGGTTTTCTGCTCCTCTCACCACAAAAGTGGAGGGCCAACTATGGATTTTGTATCTTTGCTTGTCAAAAGTGATAAATTGTGATAGAAATTAAAAGTATAATTGCGTCTATGTGTTTTCTTCTGGAAACTTGTTATACTAAACATTTTTTCTCCCCACCTAGAATAATGCTATCAAAGTTAAAAACAGAAATAGAAAAAAGGCAAAAGAATCAAAGGTAAATTTCTATTTTCAAAAAATGTAGTAACTGTAAAAAAACCCCAGAAAATGTTTGAAAGTAGTTTGTTGAAATTAACTGTTGCCAAAGTATTTAAAACAGTTATTAATGTAAGGCTGATGTTATTATTTTAGTGCCAATAACCATAATATTTAACTTCTGTGATTTTGAGCATTATGGGTGAATCATTTCTTGCTATTTTGAATCCCTCCACCCCTAACTGCAAACTCACCATTGCCTAGCTGCTGCAAAAAGTTGTTCCTCTTTGCCACCAAGAACTAACCTTATCTCTCTTGGGGCCATAAGCAGCTATGCGTATCTTATCTGGCTCAAAGCCTGACGAGACTTGAAAGTGCAATGGGGCATCTCTTTGAAACGTTTACAGGATTGCAAACAAGCAGAAGCAAATTGCATGAGCAACCCATTGCCTTGTTGATAATTGCACCATGACATCAAAGAGACACCCCAGGTTGGTTTTAGTCCCCTTCAGCTTTTGAGCTGTAGTATATGTCTGGCAGGGCTGCTTAAGGTGAACTAAGAGAAAAATAAGGTTAGATTTCTTCCTTGATAACAGGAGAAAGTTAGGTTTGAAGTGAGTGGGCCGGCTGGGGGTGGTGACAACCGACAGGGAGCTCTGGCGTGGACTGGTCCATGAAGTCACGAAGAGTCGGAAACGACTGAACGAATGAGCAGCAAAATGTGTTATTAACACAGTTGCAATCAGTGAGCAATGAAAATGTCTGACTTGTTGCATGGAAAATTTAAATGAGCAACACAGACTTCTTTTGTCTAATTTGGAAATTATTTACTAGTTTCCATATAGTCACTTCCAAAGCTTGTGCCTTATGTGATAAATGTAATTATTTTGTACAGTATTAAATTTGAGGTACCTGTCATTATACAAGCCATTACATATGTTCTTTGTTCTTGTTAATTTAGGCTTTTCTAGTTGTACCTGGTGGAGTTAGTACAATAGCTCGAGAAGAAGATAATATATTTTCAGAAGAAAATACCCTGTAAGTTCTGTCTTAAAAAGATGTAGTCATGATCTAGCCAACATCTAGTGCCATGCAATATTTTTCTGTGTGGTTGGTGGAGTTTGATACAGGAACTTTTCACTCAACATTTTGTTACTAATTTCCAGTTAGATGCAGGAACTTTTTGTAATGCAAAATAACATATCAAATATAGGACAGGTAAACTTTTCATGAAGGAATTGCAGAAAGAGAGGTATCTTTTGCTGATTCCCTCTTCTTTCTGCATCTCCTCGTTCTCTTATCTCCTTCAGAGAATAGAGAACCCCTTTGGAACAGCATAAGAGTGCGGAAGCAAAAGGAAGAGATTGCTAAAAATGTTTCTGTCTCAATTCTGCTAATTGATTCTGCTGACTCAAAGCAGCTGCCTTCAGGCAGAGAGATACAAATGGATTCATTCCAATCTGTATAAACAAGAAGAAACTTGTAACAAGTGAAACCACAGATTACTTAGTGGATGCAAAAATCATAGATTTAGTTTGGAGGTATTGGGAACACCATAATTGTTCACTCTTACAATTCTGTGTTTTTCTTGTACCTTGAAAAGTAGTGAGTGGAGTGGGGCAGGAAAGAAGAGAGAACAAAAAGAGAGCATGTTTCAAAATGCCAAACCTAACCCAAAAACATACACATAATGTCAAAGTACCTAATATATTTTAGCCCAGTGCCTGGGGTCTTCCTTAGAGGGTACGTGTATAATGAAGTATAAACAAACCCTAGTGGCAAAAACACAAGAGTCCCTGCCTAGTAATCCTTAGGTTATCACTAAGTCTATACAGGTCACATTATTGACTTCAATATTCTTTGCAATTACCAGCCATTCATTATGAATCCTTTAGTGAGCTCAGCCAACCCTTTATTGTGAGTACCCTTACATAGGCCTAAACTAAGGCTATATGAAGGAGCCTCCTCTTCACTTCTTTACTACTTCTTTCTCCACAGAGGTTATATGAATTCACATGAACCGTTCAGAATTCCAGATAGTCTTCATGACCAGGTGGAAATATTTGAATCTTTATATAATAATGGTCCTTCCAGTAGCAGTTATCAGAGAATTTTGGACAATTATCCTGATCCATCACGTGAAAGCTTATATGAGTAAGTTACTATTTCTACTTTATTGCATTATTTCATTAAACAAGAAGTGAAATAAGGAGTTGGGAGGAATAAAAATTCTGCATGCTTTTACCTTTCCGCCTGTTATAAGGAACATCTTTGTGTCCTCTGCCTTTGGGGGAGTTTCCTACTAGCAGAGCATCCAAACTGTATCTTAAACCTCCCCTGAGCTTGGCACATAGCTAGTAGTCATGGGCCTGGTATTTGTGTCACCTGTTTATTTCGTGTTTTCATTTTGTATGGTCTATTTGGATGGCACGGAATGGTACACCCCCTCTGTTATGAAATATCAGTGAAACTAAAGGAAAGTGAGAACGGTAACCGTTTGGTCACCTGATTTTTGTCCCATTGGTGGCAATGGGCAGGCTTCCCACACTCCCCTTTCACTCAGTTTTAGGGCTAGAGGATCTCACCATTTCACTGATCCTCAGGCTCTCTCCAGCATTCATTTGAGTTGTTAGGGTTGGTGGGATAAACCCCTGTCTCTGAATCCTGCTAGGCACAATGCAGTCTGTGGCTCATTGATGCTGTTTTTGCAGCCCTTGGCTCTTCTTCAGGCTCCATTATCTTCTTTAAATAGGTAGCAAGGCCTCCCATTTAACTTGGAAAGAGACTCTCTTTAAGAGTGTGCGGGTGGCCTGCAGGCCTCAAACGCCCATGACTGCCAGGGCCTGCAGCTGAGCACCGAGCGCAGAACAGAGCGCCTCTTACTTAGGCACTGAGCTTCAAGTCCTGGCAGTTATGGGCTTTTGGGCCTGCAGGCCACACACACACTCAAAGCCCAGTAAGCTATAGAATATGCATCTACCATCCATTCCTCATCTTGCATTATCCTTGTGTGAACATAGCACCAAAATCATATGCTAATACTTACTGCACAGCTTCCTGTTGTTTCACAGATATTTTTCTCAAATCTTGGAAGAACATGGTCCTATGGAAATTGATCATCCACTATTAGTAGGAGAATATGAACACTTTCCTGCAGACACTCGCAAGATTGTAGAGGATGCTGGTGGTCTGAAATCTTTTCTTTTGGAATCCTTACATTTTGTTATGATGGGCGATCTTATTGGCTTGATGAAACATGCAGTTATGCTGAAGGAAAATGCAGATGTCACTGGACTTGGTGAAAGAACTAGAAATGAGGAAAATGACTCTGCCTGCTCACAAAGTGCAGAAATTTGTTCCCAACGCAAACTACATTTAAACCCAGCTGCAAAAGAATTCAAGCCTACCTCATATTTTAATGAATGTTCTGTGGTAGTTCCTTCATTTCTAAATGCAGCTCATTTCAACTGCAAGGATTTCAACTGCAAGGATGAAACACAAATTTTGTCAGATATTTTGGTGCAACCTGAATTGGAGTGTGTAGATGATGATGATTACCTTGATTCTGACATAGACACAATATTGGAAAGCAAGTACAGTGTTGGTAATCATGTGACAATTGACGAGGTGCTAACATCCCCAAATCCTCAGTTCACTCCAGTGGAGTCTGACATTCATGTTTCTGAAAATAATCTTTGTCAATCAGAGAATCATAGTAATGAAGCTACAAAAATGGAAAAAGAGAATAAGACAATAACATGGAATAACCCCCGTTCAAGGATGGTTGCTGTCCAGGTGATTATTTATTTATTTATTTATTTCCGTCACTTTTACCCCGCCCTTCTCACCCCCAAGGGGGGACTCAGGGCGGCTTAGAAGAAGAGAAATGTTTGGGTACCTTGTGCTTCTCATGGAGCTGACAATGCTACTGGGTATTTTTTTCACTGCTATGCATTTATGCAGGAATTTTGATTGGCAAGGAGTAGCAGTTTTGTTCAATTGAACATTGTAGTTTTAAAAATCTGGTTTACCATAAAATGGCAAAGTAACGTATTTCATTGCATAATAGTTGCATGTGATACCCCTCTTAAAAAGCAGGGGGGGGGGTTGCAACTATTATACAAAGATTTTTTGCAATTGCGGAGCTTTCCTTAGCCTCCCTCAGCATGCGGAGTTCATACTACAAAATACTTTTTAATTGTAGCACAAAAGTTCAAGTAAGCAAAAAGAAGCTCCTACTTGTTGGTTGTACACATTTTCATCATACTTCATAGAAGCACCCTTGACAATTAAGTACAGCTGTAAGTCTCTTTGTGGTGTCTCTGTGAACTTCGCACATCTGTATCCTGTAATGTTTATATACTCGAGCATAAGCCAAGTTTTTCAGCCCTTTTTTTAGGCTGAAAAAGCCCCCCTTGGCTTATACTCAAGTGAAAGTTATTTATCATTTTACTCTGTTTTTATTATTATTTTATTACATGTATTATTTTATTCTATTATTACTGTTATTACATTTCCATTATTTTACTCTCTTATTATTACATTATTTTACTCTCTTTATTATTTTTGGAAAGATACGTAAGCACATTTACATTGAAGAAGGTTAGAATAATGGTTTAATCAGAGTTGGGCAGTCTTATCTTAAATTTTAGTTTAACCTACTGGTGCCTCAATTAATGTAATTTTATTGATATCTATTTTTACTTTGAAAATTACCAGTAGCTGCTGCATTTCCCATCCTCGGCTTATACTTGCATCAGTATGTCTTTGCAGTTTTTTGTGGAAAAATTAGGTCTAATCTGTTTTCTCCTTTTCTCTCCATTTCACTGTTCATGCAAGCTCAGTAAGAAGGGTTATAGAGGCAGGCATTGTAACTCTACCTGCTGTAGGCCAGCACACATAATCAGAGTAAGAGCATTATAGAAGTAACGCTTTTCCCAACTCAAGTTTTATTGAAGTGTTTACTGCAGACATACTTCTATTTCTTCACTTGTCCTTCACCAACCTCCCAATGCTAATGAAATTTCAAAACTTCTAGTTAGAGGACAAGAAAAAAAAAAAGGAAAGGACTAGATGAGGAGAAAAAGACTGTTAAGAGAAACTACTTTGTTAGAATCTTCGTTAACTTAGGCACACCTCTACTTGATTCAGCAATGCTCCAGCAGGTGTTCATAGTTTGGAATTTTTTGGGGAATCCACACCTGATTGGTATTTCTGCACACTTTATCCCAGCCTTGGCTGGTTTATTCTCCATTGATTTTGATACTTTTTTTGATATGACACATGACTTATCTGGCTTCTGGAAGCAGTTATTTCCATTTGGGTTTTTTTTTTAAACAGATTACAGTGAAGGAATAAGTATTTAGACAACCAGTTGAGTAGCAGCTTGTTTTTGTTTACTTACATTAACTATTGTGCCACAACCAAAAATATTCACATGTTCACAACATTTGGGATCTTGTATAGATCAAGTGGTTACGATTTCAGTTAGTTCAGTATTAGTCCGTGGTTAAAATTCAGATAGGGCAAATACTTTGCAAGTATTTGCCCATCTTAAATGATGTTAAATGATCCAATTCCCTTATCCCTGGTTTTGATATTCACCGGTTCACTTATAGTCCACATAATATGTCCCCCAGAAATGCAGTGAAGTAAATTCACTGCTGCTGTTGCTCTGTGGTATTCTTCTGGTTCAGGTATAGTCAAAACATAGGGTTTGTCACTATCTGATTTCAGGTATCCATGGGGGGGGTGTATCTTGGGATGTCGATAAAGGGGTTATACTGTATATTTTGTATAGATCAGACATGTTGAAGCATACTGGTGTAGAATGATGGGATATATCTAAACTCTGTTGACAGACCATATGAATCTTTGAATTCTAGGTAGATCAAGAACAGACAGACAAGGGAATTAATACTTTACCTCTTTCTCCATATGAGACCCAACAAGTAAGTAAATGAATTGGCTTTCAAAGCTGGGCCAGTAAAGGCAAGGGAGCAATAATAATTTACCTTGGTGTTTGAAGTATTACAGAAATGAAAACAAATGGTTTTGCTGGTAACATCTTTGGTGAAACCCAAATGCATCTTGCCTGCATGCAATATCATATCAATATTGTGAGGGGAGGGGTGGTGTTGCTTGTTTTCCAGTTCGGTAAATACTAACCTGAACTTTGAGATATGTTTCTAAGGTTTCTTGAAGTGCTGAAGTTTTGGTGGATTAATGATTATAACACACCCCTAAGAAAAAGAAATAATCAGATCTGGTGATAACTGAAGAATGAAATAACTTTCTAGACAGCAGAACGCTTAGATGCATATTTTTGCCAGCTGCATTTCTAAACCATTTAGTGCTTCTCATTGTTATTACACAGACTATAACAGAAGGGTTATACGCCTGATTTATATGTTTTTTCAGGGAGATATGTTACGTATGGAAAAAGAACATCATGTACTACAAGAACAACTCAAAGAAGCAAGTGAAAAATATGAACAGCTTAAATGTCGAAGCTCTGAAGAAATCAGTGTTTTAGAAGATGAATTAACCCTTCTAGTGGATGAAAACAAGGTAATACCCTTAAATGAATCTATGAGGGGTAAGTAGCTAGACTTAAACTTGAATGTAATGCAGTGGTGGCCTTCTGTTCATGGAAGTGTGTTTGACATGCGTGGGAACCTATTGCATTTATTGTATCTGTAATTGAAATGTTGTGACTTAAACCTTTTTTTACAATGAAGTGGTTGTGGAAGCAAAAGAAGAAGAATTAAAAAGCCTTGCTAAAGAGTTCCAAGTCTTTGTGCACATTAAAAAGATCTTGGCCATTTCAGGGCAGTGCCATAGTATTTGTGTTTGCCTGGAAAAAATATTTCAATAGCGCAATTCCTCATATTTGTTACAGCTAATTTTAAAATGTTCAGAATGATTCTGAATTATTTTTGTAACTGCTTTGGTTTTCTCTTGTTTGTGAACATATAAACATTTTTGTTTTAAAGCTCACTAAGAGAGAACTGGATTGGATTCACCAAAATGTGGAAGAGGAGATGAAAAAATGGCAACAGGAGAAAAGAGAAAATCAAGAGAAATTAAAAACAGAAAAGAGTAAAGTAAAGAAGCAAACAGAAATCAATGAAACGTAAGTTTATTCTGAAATTGAAAATGTGGTTTATGGACTGTTTGGGAAGGGAAGGTAGTCTGCTTGTTTGTATAGGCTTCATTGCATCCAGAGGTTCACAATTGAAACTTAATTCTGTCATCTTAAAACTTGCAGCCAGCAGTCCTAATAAGAAATATGATTCTGTTCTTCTGAAGCTCTTTTGATATCTTCTACTAAAGCTCAATACTGACAAAGTGATTCAAGCCCATCTGCTATCTGTGTTTACCTTTTGTTTTCACAAGTTGCCTCCATAAGATAGGCAGCCATATATGAGCCAAATAAACTGAATTCCTGCCTAGGTTCTATCCCCCTATTCCCTCAGTCATGTTCCATTGTAAAGGTTAACTTACTTAATGATCCTTTAGCAATAGGGGGAAAAACAAGGCTTTGGGAATAAGACATTTGTTATAGTTTCTGCACTCACTGTATCAAAGTGCCATTGTGGATTTGGTGGTTGGCAGTTTGTGGCCCTTTCAGTGCTATTGGCTGTGTCTCCCTTGGGTCTTCTGAGTTGTTACCCCAGCAATATCTCGAGGGCTTGAAATTGCCCACCCATGGATTAATGGAATACTGTAGATAAAAGTGCTGCTATGCAACTTTTTATGCTGGGGTCTTGTGCTTTCTGCTATTGATCCATGACTATATATGGATGTGATCTTTTTGCTTAAATTTCTTCACATGCCATTTTTGGCAAGTTAAATTAGTTCTTCGTGGTCTCAGTGAATCACACAACTGGGTTATACTATGCCTGCTCAGTACTCTAACGGAATTTCCAGAAGCTTTAGTGGTTTGAATTTTGGCATTAACCCTGTCTCCTCTCTCCCTGGCATAATGGTTCCCACTTGCTGGCAGGCTCCTTAGTTCCTTTTCGTCCACCACTTCTGTTAGTAGTTCTTTGGATCAAATAGCTTTTTGCAGTTTTCCATGATCTTGCTGAACTCTCCCTTCAACATGTCGACCATGAGGTTTAAGTGGTGCACTCAGTGCAATAGTAGGAGCTCACAGAGGTACAATGGGTTAAACCCTTGTGCCAGCAGGACTGAAGACTGACAAGTCAGAGGTTCAGATCCGGGGAGAGCACAGATGAACTCCCTCTGTCAGCTCCAGCTCCCCATGCGGGGACATGAAACCTCCTACAAGGATGGTAAAACATCCGGGCATCCTCTGAGCAGCGTCCTTGCAGACAGTCCATTCTCTCACACCAGAATTGACTTGTAGAATGTCAGGTTGTTCCAGACACGAAAAAAAAAGCGAAATATCAAGATGCTGGATTCAGGTGGACACTCTAAATGTCTGGTCTGCCTAGGAGAAGGCCACGTAGAAGACTCTTGCTTCCATTGCCAGGCTTTCATGTCTTAGGGGGGAAAGAACAAATCAGAACTGGAGCCTTTGGTATAGTACTCAACTTCAAGAGCTCCTACTTCATTGTAGAAGGTGAAGTCAAAAGGCAACTTGTCAAAGTCGAGACTGACCCCATCGATCTGGCTCCCTCAATGCTAACAGCCTCCCCTCCGCCCAAACACCATCTATGTTGGAGGCACTACCATCTTTTTCATTGATTCTCATTGCCTTAAAGTGCTCCCTGGAGGAACTCACTAGAGCCAACTTGGAGAAAAGTACCACGAGGCACTCTCCTTCACTGGTTCCCCCTAACCCGGGAAAGCAATATGAGGCAGAATTAAAGAAGGAGGCGAAAAGGAGGAAGAAGAGGATACCACCTTTATTCTCTGATGACAAATCTTTCATCATCAGTCGCGTCTCGAGTTTCCAGAACCAGTAAATCACCGTTGGTGACACAGCCATCTTCCTTACGATCTCTACACATGGAACTTTTAGAAGGTGAGGTCCTGGATTTTCCTCACCACTCAATAGTCAGTAGTAAGGACCCCATTACCAACACCAGAAGCATCACCACATTGTGCCATCACCAACTATTTTAAACTCAACAAGGGGCCCTTGAGTTCAACAGAGGGCTGTTCCTCAAAAAGGGTGGCAGGCATCCTTACATGCAGCCATCCTTGCCTTTGCAGACGTTCATCAATATCACTGATCAAAGGATCCCCTGTAGCCTCACAACGTTGCACCATGGCAAAATCACCAACAAAACCAGCACCACAGCCACCAAATGCCTCCCCAACATCGCTTCACAGCCACTCCACCCATTCTTACCATGAGTCTGACATGGAATCCATCACATCCTTTCTATCAGTCGAGATCAACGTTTCTTCCTCGCACACCATCAGATACAGATGGCAAAAGACATAGCAGACATGTTGTTGCTGTTAGAAGATATGCTTGGTTCAGAACTGCTGGCCTTTCTATCGAAGCCAGGAAGGTGATAGAAGACCTTCCATTCGATGTGATCAGACTTCTTAATGCAGGAACTGACAAAAAGTTGTAATGAGATCCAGAGTTCTTCATCATGCCAAAGAAATATAGCCTACCTTAACAAAGCCAACACCAGTCCTTTCTGAACTATATTGCCCTTGGCTCAACCTGCCGCCCCAGTGGTGGCACCAATGATCCTCCTCCGGCATCCCAGACTTGGGAAACAGGAGACCGTTGAAACCTCCATGTCAATGCCAGCGTACCAGCAACACCAGTCAGGCTCGACAAAGAGTTTGACGCCATGGAAAATTACTCCAATTTGTATTCAGATACCACTTCTGCCGCCATAAACTCCTATTTTTACTCGATACCATACGAACCCACACTGTTTTTTCAGAGATCATATTGCTCCATTCCATCCCATCTGGACCATCATGACCTCAGATATGTGGAATTCGATTTATTTTTCCCCACTCCCCCGGAGTAATACACCTCCAGAATCACCAGCCCTGCTACAGGAGATCAAGTGTCTCCTGGAGAATCTGGGTGCCATTGAGGTGGCATCAGAGGTGAATATCCATAGGCCTTCTTCTCTTGCTACTTCACCGTACCAAAAAAGGATGGTGGTCTCAGGCCCGTCCATGATCTCCAGGATCTCAATGAGTTCATATGACCCAGAAGGTTTCAAATAGTCACTGCCTTTTCCATATTTCCTCTACTCTCTCAAGGGGACTGGTTTGCCACTATAGATTTAAAGGACACTTATTTCCACATTGCAGTATATCCATCACATTGGTGCTTCCTCTCCTTCGAAGTAGGGGACCAAGTCTTCCCGTTTACGGTCCTACCATTTTGCCTCACAACAGCCCTCAGGGTGTTCACCAAATGCATGGCGACAGTGGCAGCAGAACTTTAGCTTTCTGGTCTCCAGTTGTGTAATTCACAGAGACAATGAAGAAGGAGGACAGGTTGCCTACCTGTAACTGTGTTTCTTCAAGTGATCATCTGTGAATTCACACAATCCCACAGTTCCTCCCCTCTGGACCATGCCACTTTCCTCTAAGGCTGCAGCTGTTGCAATGGAACTGAGGAGCCTGGGGGAGAGAGAGCGGGGTTACCACCAAAACTGAAAATACTAAAGCTTTTGGAAATTCTATTAGAGTACTGTACAGGAGCAGTATAACCATGTGAATTCATGGGTGTCATGGGTGAATTCATGGGTGTCATGGGTGCTTATAGGTAAGCAACCTGTCTTTATCAATATGGCTGAATTTAATGTGATTACATAAAGAGATAGATCCTAATGATCATTCCATAATAGACATCTCCCTAAGCATTTGGGTGCTTTTAACCTGTGTGATTTTAGTCATTTATTTAGCTCGACATTTAACCTTCAAAATAACAGCCCATCTTTACAAATCTCAACTGTGATCCAAATGTATTAATTATGTTCTGTCGACTCAATATGAGTTTGTTAAATGTTTTCTTACGTTATTTAACTTGTCACACCTCTTTATGCAAAGAACTTTATCATCTGGGGGGAAAAAACAGTGGGAGAAAAGAGAAAGCACTGTTGTCCAGACACTAAAGATTGGTATATTATTAATTTTGTTTTGGATATGTGTGTGTTGGTTAGTCTGCTTTCTTAAAACATGTCTATATAACCCAACAGATACCTGAGAAACATTGAAGAAAAGGATAAGCAATACAAACAGTATTTGGATAAGTTCCTTGAGATCAGGTAATTCTTTTAAAATTATTTATATCTTCAATTGGACATTAGAAACTTTTCCACATCGTTTTGAGCAGTGGAGAACTTGATAAATCTTTTCACATCCTCAGAAAAGGTTATGAAAGACACACTTAAAGGGGGGGGGGGGGGGGGGGGGGGGTTGGTGGAGGGAGAACCTGGACCAAAAGATTATCTTGCAGATACTGATACTGCTATATGCTAAACCATATTTGATGTTTAATTCAAATATTAACAGTCTTTGTATTGACTCTACAGTAATACGTTTGAAAGTGAAAAAGTAAAAATGGAAGCGCTTATAAAGAAGAGCCATGATGAATATCAAGAATGTATTAAGCGAGCTGTTGCAGCAGAGGTACACCATGTTATCTTGCACCTTGTATACCTTTCATAAGTTTGTTTCTGGTTACTATTGCAACCTCTCACACTTGCTTAGAAATCTCATACCTTAAATAATGCTGTGATTTTTCTAAGAGGGAGATACAGTGTAAACTATATTAATACTCTGTGATAATAAGATCATTGCATATGGAGAAGATCCACATTTTATATCCCTTGTCTTTAGTTTCTTTCATGTACCTACAGCTGTCTTTTAAAGATTGTGATAATGGAAATTTGGCTTGAAATATTCCTGTACTAATATTATTTATAATATAATGTAGAGCAGCTGTGTTCCTTTTAAGTTTTTAAACATGAATACGTACTGCAGTGTACCTGCACTAGTTCTGCAGAACAGCCACAAGAGATCACTTATTTAAGAGATGCCTAAAATTTGCCCCATACCTTTAGGCAGATGAGGTTTTGGATCTAGACCCACACATTATTATTTAGGCTGTTTCCTTTTAATTATATCCCACCTTGAAATAATTTTTGTTTGGATTCCTCTGTCCTTAGATTCCTCCACCATTAGAATCAATTTTAGATAAAATCACAATACTTTAGATTCATTGTTATTTTTTCTTATTGGTTTACTGTACCAATATGTTCACTGTCTTGGTAAGAAGCAGACATCCATGTGGATGGATTTAACACTTCCTATAATCTAGGAAGGCACAAAAGTCATGAAGGTACCTGTAGTATTGATGACCTTAGGCTACTCCAATTGCTGAGGAACAAATCAATAGCCCAAGGAATTATCCAGGATTGATTGTATTTCATGAAATTAGGAGTATTAATTGCTGTATTTCAACTAAATGGAGTTATTTGTGTTTTCTTTTAGATATCAGTTCTTCAAAATTGGAAAGAGACTGCATTATATAAATTATGCAGAAAAGTAACATATGCAGAAGCCAATCTCAAATATCTAAAGTTTATGACCAGGTAAGGTTTATAATATACTAGCTTAGGTGCCCAGTGATGCCTGGGTTAGGTATTTTGGAATGATAAATGTTAGAAGTAATCATTGTTTGACTTTGGATTTTATGAATAGTGGCATTAGAAATACATATGGCTTTCTGGATGTAAGTATACACATGGGTCTTTAGATCCTTAGTCAGACACCCCCACATGTTCCAGTATTTTCTGTTGGCCATGATGAGTATGTGTGCCAGGTTTGGTCCAGATCCATAATCAGTGATGTTCACAGTGCTCTCTAGGGGGATTGTTAGAAGGATGGATGTGTAGTGAGTGTATGTTTAATTTTCAGGTTATGTCTTGGTAGCAGTTGATCCTGGCATTTGCTTCTTATGCTTCATAAATTTGAATTATTTATATATCCTTATTCATATTGACATTTTTATGTCTGTTTGTAAAATTTCATCTATAGATAATTTAATATTTACTTGAGGATATTTCACACGTTTGATAAATATCTTACTTCCTGTAGATGCCTGTACTATTTATATAGATGTTTACTGCAGTGATGACTACCGGTATCTAGAACTTTTAGTGGAAGTTTAATCTAAATGGGTTTCTTCAGTCAGCAGTCAAATAATAACTTGTTTAAGCACATACTGAATATCCCATATTAATAGAAAACATTTCTTTTGGGTGCTTGTATAGTTTCAGTTCTTTTAAAAAAAGCATTCATTTTATGTAACCTATACTTTTTTAAACTTCAGTGGTTAAGAGAATTGACAATTTCAGTGGCAACCCTATAAGACTCAATCCATTTTGCAAACAAATGTCTGGTTCCAAGCTCATAATTTTTTTTAAAAAAAGAAATGACCTTTTCGAGATCATGATCTTTTGGAAAACCAGGAATCTTCTTAGCCTTTTGGAAGCGTGAACCTTTTGGAGCTTAATTGGCATTCAAACTATTTGGAATAATAATCTTTTGTAAAATATGATCTTCCCGAGAAGAGTTAAATACTTGTTTGAGGGAATCTCCTTAGTGGTAAATATCCACTAATATTCATGCAAGGCAAATTAGGCTTCTCAGTTGTTAGAAATACCTGGTTATTTATCTGAACTGTTAGGAACAAAGATAAGCCAATCTACAAAATATATAGCAGATCTTCAGAAGTGTTATTTCAGTTGCCCAAAAAACATCTACTCTCCCATAAAATATATTGGTTTTTAAATTGTGCTCTTAAGAGACCAAAATAAGTAGTCATTGTTAAAAGTAACATAGTAGATTTAAACAATCTGTTCTCTAAAGCATTCTGTTTTAGTCTCTTCTTTGTTGCATACAGACTAACACTCTCTTCAGTCTTAATACATTACTGAGCATTGACTCATTAAAAACTGACTATACACTACAATATACTGACACTGACTTTACACGAACACTGACAATTGCATACTGTATTGACTACTAAACTGTACTGCTTCTGATGCAGGCAGGGTATATATTGACACTTGGTTACTAATTTTATCGTTTTGAATATTGTAAGATAGACTGGTAAAATTCAAGTATTTTCTTTTGCTAAAATAGATGTCATTCCCAGGTAGGTTTTTATCTTGTAGGTACTCTTAATTTCAATTGTCACCAAGGTATAATTTGTTTGTTTCCAGCCGTTCCACAGTGCCACAATCAAAATTACAAATTGAATCTTGGGAGGCCTATATTTCTAATATTAAGGAAAAAAATAGAAAAGCTGAGGTATGTCTAATATGCAATAATAAGTTTAAAATATTGATTCTTATATTTTAACCTTTTTTGTTGATACTTGGAGGTTGATAAGTGTCCACATTTACATCAGTCAAGATATGATCATGCTTTGTACATCTTCACAGGGATGTTTGTTTCTGTAGATTGCTATATGAAGCTAGTGAAGTCCATATTATGCCTGCACTAATTCCACTGGAGAACCTATCTAAGAGATCAGTTGTCATGCTTTCTAGCTCTTAAGATGGATAATACTTATTGTATCATTTATAGAGCTATCAAACCTCCGTTGCCTTTCATTCCTCTTTCCGCAGAATGAATTTGAAGAAAAAATTTGCATGGTGAAAAGTGGTGCCCTTTTAAATAACATTCCCATGGTGGAAATTGCAGAACTCCAGCCTCCTAGTGGTTTGCCATCAGTAAGTATTTTGTTGCTTTGCATCAGAAGCAAGTATACCATTCTTTATCATTACACTATGTAAGAAAATTTGAAAAAAAAAATCTGTTACTTGTTTGAAAGTGTTATTCCTATATAGTTGTGCGGTACTTACTTTGAAAGTAGCTGTTATACTCCAGAAACTTGGTTTCTGTGGCTGCCACAAACTATGTTAAATTGATTGAGACTCTATGAGATATTCATTGAAAAACTGGTGCTTTTAACTTATGATGATGTTTTAATTAATGGTTAACTGTTTTTATTATTGTCGTTGGCATATAATGGTTGCCAGTTGTAAGCCGCCCTGAGTCGTCGTCATCCCCCCTCCCCCCGGGGGTGTGAAGGATGGGATATAAATGTCTGAAATAAAATTTAAAAAATAGCAAAATGTGCTGCAGGATGTCCCACAAAACAAGGTTTTTGCAGTTTTAATAAACTTTTTTGACGTGTTTATGATAGAACCAATTAAAAGTGACATTTATAACCTAGGAACAAAAGTCGTGTTACATAGAGTTATGTACAGATTTCAGGAATCAACATTTTAGGCACCTTATTTTGTGTAACTCAAGTTTGTGTGCACATCTTCAAGCCACTTGTTGAGTGTGTTCTTGCTTCTGCTTTTGGGCCTCTCAACAGCACTGTGATACCATTAATCATGTAATCTTTATGGAATGCCTGAAAGGATTGGGAATGTGTGTCATTGACTCTGATGGTTCTATCTCTAAGATAGATTACACATAGTGGTGCTTGGAGATAGACAAGGAATACCCAGGGGCACTTTGGCCAGTTCAGGGAGCCTGATGATTTCAGGGAGCCTCTAGTCTACACCTAGTAACTTGTGTATTTAAAAAGACAATGCAGAACATCCACCTTGTTTATATGAACTTGCCATTATTGGGGGAACATACAATGTGGAAGGAGATATAAGAGCGACAATATCGGGTGCATCTACACAACAGAAGTAATGCAGTTTGACACTGCTAACTACCATGGCTCAATGCTGAGAGATACGCAGTTTGATGAGGTACTAGCTGATTGGCAGAGAAGGCTTTGTAAAAACTAGCTTCCACGATTTCATAGTTGAGCCATGACAACCAATCACTGTATAACTGCATTAATTCTGCTGTGTAGCTGCACCAGTTATTTCTACTGTTACAATTGGCTCCCTGTTGTTTGGTTTTCTGTGTTGGAGGGCAAATCCAGGAGCTCGTTTCTGGCACTACTATCCCATTGCTTTCGACAGTTAATCAATGGTAAAAATGTGGCAAATAATAATCTCATCTCCTTAAGCAACATATAAATAATACGAGAGGGAATCTTTGAAATCGTCATATCCTAACATCACATGGTATTGCACATACAGGTGCCTGGAGAAAACCAGTGAAACTGAAATAAAGCCTTTTTGTTGTCAACATCCAGTATTTGTCAGGAAGTTTCCAGTAGAAATATGTGAAATGGCAAAAGCATGTTTGAAATGCTTGAAAATACTCCCTCAGTATACATTTCTCATCTTGCTGACGTATTCTTTTTTTCCCTAGGCAACATGTGAGTGGCCCCCTATTAATGATCCAGCTATTGTAATGTATTCAGCTACAGCTCCATACTTCCCTACTCCATTATCTAATATGAATGATAATAATCCTCTACAACCTGTGGTTACTATACATACTGGAAGTAAACCTTCTGGTAAAGGTTCTAGACCTCTTTTTGCTAAGCAGGACTTTGGAGAGACGCTCTTGGAATCAAAAGGACAGTTGCTTTCTGATCATGTTTGCCTGCCCGAGTCACCAAAGAGCTCTAGAAGGCCAGCCCAGGCTACCCAGCTACAGTACAGTGCACCAGAGGAACCATCTGCAGCAGGAACGTTGGGTCACGTCAAAACTATAAGCAAGCCACTCCTCCCTAAATCATCAACAAATGTCATTGCTCAACTCAGAACTATCTTTCCACACCATACAAGGTATTTTCTTTCCGGGGAACAGCTTTGGAGGCTGGTTGCTCCCAGACCAGTTGTGTGATTCACTTTCTAATTGAGTTTGCCACATTGCCTTTAATTTTAAATGTTATAAAATGTACTCCGGCTTCAAAAGGTTACATTTTGGTGGTATTGTTGCTATTCACTTATACCTTATCTTATAAAATTGGGAGTCGGGGCAGATCATAGTTTAAAGCATAGTATGTCCTCCTTATCCACAAGTTTCATCAATGATTCTCCCACCTTGCAAAAAAAAAAAAAAAAAATCCAAAGAGCAAATCTAGATTTTGCCATTTTATTATAAGGGACACCATTTATGTCACTGTATATAATGGGACTTCAGCCTCCCTGAAATATCCATTATACAATATAACTAAAAACAGACAAGAGTTCAATATTAAAATTGAATTGAACTATATTTAAAGTATTAAATGGTTGAAATATATATCTAAAAAGGGTAAAAAGCAGTTAAAACAGTTCAATAAGAATAACACGTAACCTTCTGAACTTTCAGTTTGAAAATCCTATTGGAATTAAAAAGTGTTTGCCTACTGGTCAAAGTTAAGTTTCACTTCAAGGTTTTCATGTGATGCAATCTTGTTCTTAAGTCTTGAACATCAACAGCGCTTACGTTGAAATCATACATTTTCAGTGTCAGACATTTCCCCAATTTCACATCTTTTAAAGGGCTTAAGGCTGATTGATAGTTCTTATCTGGAATTGGGATGAAAGCTGTGTGGTTCTCTAGATGTTGAACTGCTGCTCCCAGCACTCCCCACAACTGTAGTTTAACAACATCAGGAAGAAAGATAAACTGAATATTGACAGTCTTTAAAATTGGAATTCAAAATCTTGTAGGCTAAACTGCCAAGAAATACACATTTCGTGTATCCCAATATGCCGTTTAACTTCTGGCAAAATATGTTGTTTTTGCAAATAATAGTCACAGAACTCCTCATTATCAGGATCATGAATTGGCGAACATTGACCACAAGATGATTTTATTGCTGCTAGTATACTGTTTGATTGTTTTAATTAGTTATACTGTTTACATTATATGATACATTTGTGTATTGTATTTTGTATTGTATTTTATGAATTGTTAGGCACTGAATTGTGCCTTTTGTAAGCCGCCCTGAGTCCCCCCTAGGGGGTTGAGAAGGGTGGGGTAGAAGCACTCCAAATAAATAAATAAATATAAATAAATTATGCTTCTCCTCTTTTGCAGTTCAGAACTGGAGAATTTCATTGAAGGAGTAAAAATCAAGAATAAGAATAAGCTGAGTGCTGATGAGCTGCTTAGCAGGGTAACAGAATTTATTCTGGATCATCCAAACAAGAAAAAGGTAATTTTCTAGAAATGATAGCTCTTAACAAAAGTACCATGAAACCTTTGACTATTTTGAGATATGGAAGTGTAACAGTAAAACTCATCTATAGTACAGTAACTCATCTATAGTACATTATATGATGTAGCCAAAATGAGTAAACAAGTAACACTTGAGTTTGAAAATCAGGTTGAAAATATTCTAATAATTTCTCTCTGAAACTGTTTTTGGGTTGGTTAGCTACACATATAGCCAGACTTTATAACCCTTCCAGCATAGGTTTGATGTAACCAGTGTTGGAAGTCCTTGCTTAGTGTTTGAAATAGGAGAGAGACTAAGGATTCTGCCTCTCTATTTCAATTATTCTTCTACTGGGGTATATTTTATATCCTAATATGTTTTCTGGCGGAGTTGTTTTATTTGACGTCCATTCACATATTGAGAACTACCAGCTTGACATATATGAATTACAAACTCCTGCTCCCTGGTAACATTCTATATTGTGTTATGGTGAATCTGAATCTGTACAAGAGTAAGCAAAATTCATAATGCAGAAGTTATTACCTCTAGTCAGGGAATTAATTTTTGCCCCATGACTTCACCTGCATCCTTTTGGGAATATTACAAATGCCTTTCCAATATCTCTATTCCCTTTAAGGCTCTTTCTTCATGGAAAATTGAAAAACCACCCTCCAGTGCTTCAGGACAGAACGGAAATCAGACTCAAAAAGTATTGAAGTCATCAGGTCGAAATGTGGCTAACCCAGCAAAGACTAGAGTTACTAATGAAAACACAAAAAAGAAAACTTTGTCTTCTCAGTCAGTTCAGATGCCTTGGAAAACTGTTGGAGGAACATCAAAATCAAAGTGGAAGAAACCAAGTGATACGGTAGGTCTTTTAATAATAATAATAATAATAATAATAATAAATACCCCTTTATTTTCTATGTTACTGTCTTCTTCAAGACTGCAGTACTTTCAAGTGTTTAGTGAAAAAAATCTGAAAGAATAATATTTGGGGTTTTTAGGTGAAACTAGTAGCTTATTTGTTCCTACTCCCAAGTTAAATAGCTCAGCATGCCTGTTTTTAAAATACCAGTATCCTAAATGCCTTGTTGCAATTTTAGCAATGTAAATACATTGCAGGATCAATTACTTTTCCATGGAAATAACCCCTTAGTTTGTAGAAAGGAGATGGATACAATAAAACTGCCATTTCCAACTTTTGGCCTTTTGTAGAGCTTTAAGACTTTAGATGTGCTGATTCCAGCTTTTTGGGTTATATAGTCCAAAAAATTTTATGGACCGGAGATTTAGAACTGCAGTAGCACCTTCAATGAGTGGAAAGTGAAAGAAGGCAATTTTGGCTGATTCTTACTATTTGTTTTTGTTGTGTGCCTTCAGGTTGTTTCCGACTTAGGGCAACCATGTCATGGGGTTTTCTTAGCATGATTTGTTCAGAGGGTTTCCTGTTGAGGGTGTGACCCACCTAAGGTCACGCAGTGGGTTTCCATGGCCAATGAGAATTCAAAGCCTGGACTGCAGGGTAGTTGTCCAGAGTTCAAGACACTTCACACACTTTCTCTATACCCCACTTGATACACCCCCCTCCCCTAGAACAGAATTTAAGCACGGGAAATGAGAAGATACATACAGTTCCAGGAGACACTTTTACCACATGACTGTGAAATTTTCATGGTACTTTGCATCTAAATCTACAGTGTTCACTCTGAAACATGCTGGATTAGTCATTAGTTTAGAACAGTGATTCCTAAATGTTGGCTCTCCAATTGTTTTGGACTTAAGCTCCTGGAAAAACTAGCCAGCTTGATTTGGAATTCTGGGAATTGAGGTCCAAAACACCTGGAAGGCCAAAGTTTGGGAACCACTGTTTTAGAATGATGACTATTTGGATAGTATTGTATAGTAGGGCCCCCTTATCCACATTCCAAAAGATACCTCCCTCACAGAAGTGTTTGTAAGCCTTCCTAGGTCCTCCGGTGGGATTCTATGGTATGCTTCTGGTCCAAATATAATGGGGTATAATATGGGGTTCTGTATTGTTCAGTTTCAGGTATCTCGAGGGGGGGGGGGTCTTGGAACAAGGTATGTAGTTACCTAAAAACAGAAATGATTTGGAGATTAACTTACACTGCGCCAGCAATTGTTCTTTGTACCATAGTCTATCATTCTTTGAGAAACCCTGCCAGCTTAACAGAAATATTGTATGGACCTTATACATGTGCAATTTATGCTTTACTAAAGGTTGTGTAAAATCATCATCAGTGCTGCTTTTTACATCTGTGCAGCAGGAATCAAGACATTTGAAAGTAGCTTTTCAATCACAGTAAATACATTTGTTTCCATAGGATAACGATCCCTGCGTGATCTGTCATGAGGAATTAAGTTCAGAAATGATGCAAATGCTAGACTGCGGTCACAGATTTCATAAATTGGTAAGTAGGACAATTCAACCAAGAACACAACTTGTATCATTTCAGTTCTTGTAAATTTGGAGACTGCCATAACAATATTTATCATCTCCCAATTCTGGCAGGGATGTGTTGTGTGATGTGTAGTTGAACAAAACCCTTCAGTTACCTTATAGAAAACTTGCAATAGAAATTGTATATATGCTGCGAAGTTTCAAAGCCATGCTCACAAGTGGCTTCATGAAAACATTTGAAAACTAATTACCATAATATATCTTTGTGTATGTATATGTTTATGTGTTGACTGTTGGCTTCACACTGGATCTTCATGTGTTTTATACAGTGTATTGGTCCATGGATTAAGGAGCACAGTACCTGCCCAACATGTCGCCATCATGTTCTGTTACCTGAAGAATATCCTGAACTTCCTGGGCGAAAGAGAACCACTTAGACAATGTACTAGAGATAAGCAAGATGTGTATTCACATTAGGTAGAATAATGGTTATGATTTGTGTAGTGTGCTCCTTATATTTATGGAGTAGTATATGTTAAGTACAGTGAGTGAACTTTTAAATATATTACAATTACTGCCATTTTTCCTTACAACTAGTCTAATGACTTCTTCCGAGATTTGAAATTTTTATTCTCTTTGCAGTAATAATTTGATATATATAACCAAAAGATAATTTCATTGTTGCAGAACAAGTGGATAAATGGTCTTCATGATTTGCTCAATGGCTAGTATTTCCTTCAATTAAAACTATATTAATAAAATTTAAGTACATTTCTAAATTATCTGGACACAGTTGTTTTGACTGATTACACATGGGTAGTGCTGTTCAATAAACAGAATCGTCATTATTCTCACATGAATGCTGTAGACCATTTTGAAGACTGCAGGTGTACATTTTTAAGCACTCTGGCATTTTTAATAATCTGATATTCAAAACAAGATTCCTTTCTTTGAGAGTAAATGCTATAAACTGTAAGGCCACACTGAGTTAATATTTGGTTTCAAATACAAGTAACAGCTTTCATAACCAAGCTAATGTTTGTGCATGAATTACTGTCGCTCTCTTTAGAGACTATCATACCACCAGTGAAAATGCACCCTTTTTTCATGCTCTTAGAGCATTAAGAGTCTTCTTTGCAACTGGAAGATTTCTTCTACTTTTGAATCCCAGCCACAGTGCTATAAACAGGACAAGAAAATGCTCATTGTTCCCTCTGAATGCATGCAAATAAATTTAATGCCTTTAATACGTTCCTCATATGAAATAAATAATTAAATTTCCTTTGGGGGATGTGTTAAGGTATATTACCACTCTTAATTTATTCCAGAACCCTGTTTCCTGTGGAAACTGTGTTGTTACATCTATCCAAATTAAATGTATTGCTCTTTAAATTATACATTGGCTTGATCTAGTTCATCCAGGCCGGGCTGGCATGCAGAAGAATCCTTGTTTAGAGGTATGCTGTATCTCCCCTACTCAACTCTCTCTGACCAATATCCAAAGATATTCTCACATGTAGAAAAGCTTCCTGTCATTTATTCTTTGGGATGATGACCCTTAAGAATATGAAAACGATGCTGGATCATGGTAATGGCACCTCTAGTTCAGTATTCTGTACACAGACTGGCAAACATGTTGCCTAAAGCCCTTTCCTTGGCCATACAGAAACTGCAAGAATACATTAATAGTAAATATTTTGAAAAGTTAATTCCAAAAACTCACTTAAACCCCCATTCTGCACTGCTTCACTTGCTGTACCTCAGTGTTCAAAATGACAGATTCAAGAGTAACTTAATGGAGTACTATACATCTTTAGATTACTTTCAGATTACAGATGAGAATACTTTGAGATTACATGGAAAGAGCCTCCTTGAAGGCTGAGTAATACAGTCCAGCATCCCCTGGGCAACATTTGTTGTAAACAGCTGATCTTTCCAACCCAAAAGCATTGCTTTACAATATTTTTATTTATGCAATGTCTTTGACATAAAATTTAAAAAGCATTTTATTACTTTCTGCCTGTACTTAATATCAAAATACTAAATACCCTAAAAAACAAAAGTAAAAATATATCTGAATTAAATAAAAAATCAATGGAATAAAATGTATGGCTGTAATTTTTTAGAAATTTAGTAACATAGCTAGAGGATTAGGGATCATGTGGTTTTTCTGATTTTGCATTGCTGAAAGGTATTCATTTTATTCTTTCCTTTTAAATGAATTGCCAGAAGATGGCAATATTGTGCAAGTCTGCATGCATACAAATCAGAGTAAAGGTTTGTAGATGGCCCTGTGCTACAGATTATACCACTACATAATCTGTGAGAAGTCAAAATATTTTCTTTTCATTAACATGACAGATTACATGAATTACAATAATCAGTGCAATATTGTTACTGAAGCACACTGAACAAACTAAAAGTCCTTTAGCTTTTGCAACTTTTACTATTAGAAATAATACAAATACAGAAATACAAAGATACATCCTGTAGTATATTAATTCCCTAGAAGGAAAGCCACATCTTCTATGAGTAATTAACATGTCCTGGGCCGTGCCAGTAAGGAAAATGTTCATCTAGTTCTTGCTCAATACTAACCTTTTGTGTGGTCACGTTTAAAGGAACAACATAGAATTCTGGCCTGCCACTGGGTTCAGAGTCATCTCCTGGTAAAATTCTGCAGTGCCAGTCCAATGGATTAGTGAATGACAGGAAGCACCTGATACGAACTTAAGTCCTGAAACAATTCTCCTACTTGATCACAACCTGCAGAGTTTCAGTGGAAAGTTCTCCGTGATAAGGTGATCATCATGCAAGAGAACAACAATGTTCACTTCAAATTCTAGAAGGAAAATACACAATTGTGAATAAACACAGATCCAATATCAATTCTCTGGAAGGGGCTGACAAGCTAAGCAAACAGTTTGCATTTTCGGAAAAATCATACGGAAAAAGGCAGTAGTTTGACTTCTCCGTTTTTTCTCTTTTTTGCCTTGAGTCCAACCAATTAATCTAGATTTTATTTCTTAGTCTCAGTATTTCTACTGCTTACACATCACCCCTTTCAGTCTTGGCTGGAATATTTTATTATGTTACAATCAGGTTTCTGGTGAGTTAAAAATTCAGATTTGTAAATACCATATTAAGAGAAAATGGCAGCGGGATACCTTTCTTTAATCATCATCTATCTTTCAATAAGCTTTGGCACACATAGAATACTGATACTAGGGCAGCAGAAGCAATTCATATCCAAACTAAAAAAAAAAAAAAAACCCCAACCAACAATCCAGTAAAATCTTACACTATCCAATTCTGATCAATGGCATCTACTTGCATGCTGTTCTGAAACTGAGAAAATGTCTTTAAGACATTCCATTAGAACATTTTTTCAAGGAAATCCCAGACAGTCAGCCCTGACTGCCCAATCCATCAATTGTTTCAGATTTGTTTGTAGTTGGGGGTTGTCTACTAGCTGAAGAAAGCTTATTAAATATTACTTCCTTTTAAAAAAGTTTTTCCGTAGCTAGTGGTATAATAGCTGTTACTTTCAGGTATTTCTTCATATGTCATTTTAGAAATCCAAAATAAAATTTTCCTTACCGACTTTGAAGTTTGTAGTTTCTAGTGTGGGACAAGTAAATAACCTAGGAAACACCATGTAGATTGGAATGGGAAGATTTCTGCAGACGTCGCCATCAGCAATCTGAATATTCTGAATCTCAGTGGCATCTCTTGCATAACCTTCAGCACAGCCTTTGGAAGCATGGGATAAAGAGATAATAAAAAGCGTTTTTTTTTTCTTACAATGTATTCCAATATGAACTACTTCAAATGTTAGGAAATCCCTATGCAGAAAAAAGCTTCTCAATTGGACTGTGGCCAGGATTGCATGTTGACCTCACAGATTAACATGTGCTTAGCTACATATAAATATATTTCCTACACAAGGGGAGGAAAGGTGGCCTTTGCCAGAAGGGAAGATAAAATTTATACAATAACAACAACAATAACAACAACTTTATTTGTATTCCTATCTCCCCAAGGGGACTCATAAAGCTTTTATAATTTAATAAAAACTATAATTCAAGAATTAAGCTGAAAATATTTCAGATTTCTACACCTTTAAACATATAATTTATATAACATTTGTGTGTAAAGACCTACCACAGGTTTCCACTCGTACCAGCTGGAGTTCAATGCTCTTAACTGCAGCATCCGAGTTTACCACTACTAGCTCCCCTGTCAGAGGTTGGGTTATGATGCAGTTTGTTGAATTGAGGTGGCCTCTGATGAGAAATTTGGGGAGCAAGGCCCTCTAAAGGAGAAGAGGACAAATGATGCAACTTTATGAGGAATTTGTAATTTTGCCAGTCCACCTGTTCCACTTCCACACACACTTGCTTTCTGCAGTGTATGAATGTACAAGACGGGAAGACTTTGCTTTTTGAAATCTACATCCAACTTTCAGAAAGCTAGGCATATTCTATATACAGGCAGTCCCCAAGTGATGGACAAGATAGGTTCTTTAGTTTGTTCTTAAGCTGAATTTGTTTGTAAGTCGGAATGGGTACATTTTTAAGTATAACACCAGCCATGCATACATATATTGTTTAGCTTTGGATAGGAAAGAAAGGCTTAATACCCCTGTGGTATTTGTTTTGCTGTCTGTACCTCTGTTAAGAAGATTTCAGTTCACTTTCTGTCCCTGTGATCACAAGTTTTTGAAAAAAATGGGTTGTTGTGGAGACATGATTGGTGATAAAGCTTCAGAAGTGAATTTGCCTTTCCGAGGGATAGATTTCTCTCACTTCCTGTTGTCTCACTCCTGTTCTTAACTAGGAGTCATTTGTAAATTGGATGTTTGTAACTTAGGGACTGCCTGTAATAACTAATGGCAATATTCTGAAAATACCCTCAGAATCATTTTAAAGTTTTATATAACAGCCCTTGCCCAACCAGATCTGTATCATCCTTTTAATCAGAGCTGTGACTCTGAGCTACTCCTAATATTGGAAAACAAGAATTATAATTGTATATTACTGACTGTATTTTCAATGACCTGAAATCATTGACTGAATGTATGGTTGAGTATAACTTATTTGGAATTCTGACATCCAAATTTTTCCAAAATCCCAAACTGTCTACATGAGATAGTGACAACTTCGTTCTCTGATGGTACAATGTACACACTGTGCCATGCACAAAATTATTAAAAATACTGTATAAGGCAGGGGTCCCCAAACTTTTTAAACAGGGGGCCAGATTACTGTCCCTCAGACCGTTGGAGGGCCGGACTATAGTTTTTTTAAAAAAACAATGACCAAATTCTGGCTTCCCCGGGCTGGCATTCCCACCCAGTAGGCTTCGGAAGGAAGGAAGGAAGGAAGGAAGGAAGGAAGGAAGGAAGGAAGGAAGGAAGGAAGGAAGGAAGGAAGGAAGGAAGAAGGAAAGGAAGTGAGGGAGGGAGGAGGAAGGGGAAGGAAGGAAGGGGAASGAAAGAAAGAAAGAGGGAGAAGCCTGGTCTGGCGCGACCCCGCCTGAAGCCACTCCGGAGGGAGAAACGGCCGAGGGGCTTTGCGCCAGGCCAAGCCAGGCCGCGCGGGCCGAATAAATGCCCTTGGTGGGCCTTATCCGGCCCGCGGGCCTTAGTTTGGGGACCCCTGGTATAAGGCTTCTGGCTTATGTATATTGGGTGTATATGAATTTTGTGTTTAGACTTGGGTCCTATCTCCAAGATATGTCATGTACATGTATACAAATGCAGTTATTCCAAAATCCAACCAAATCCAAAATCCAAAACATTTCTGGTCCCAAGCATTTGGGATAAGAGGCACTCAAGCAAATTCGTATCTTTCTCTTTTTTTCACATGACAAGTTCTGTGAAATTTTTACTGTCTTCTGTCCCATGTTTCTTTATAAATGCACCAAATTTTGGAAAGCTATCCCATACTTCTCCAAATGCCAAGACAAGCCTATTCACATATTTGTGACATGGCATCTAAGGTAACCAGAGTGGCTTCCAGACAAGATCTTCTGGAAGTTCCAAATATCCTGTGCATATTTCAGCTATCTTTCATCCCTTGCTGTCACAAATCTAGCCTGTTGCCCTTTCTGTGGATGCTGTTAATTGTTAGGTATACCAAAAGGTGTGAGAGGAGCATGGAGACTGGCACAAAAGGTCCTGACGCTCAAGCAACACTCAAGGAGTAAAGGAATAACATTTTAACTGAACATGTAAAACACTCCACTTTTTGCTCATACTGTATTTTATGACAATAGCCCCCCTCACATGAAGATGACAGAGGGCAATAGGAGAAGAAATACATCTTGAATTGAGTGTTGTGTATGTCTACATTATGAACAGAAATTCTCTAACTTTGTTAAATCCTTGTCATGTACATTTTCAAATGAATACTTGTAGACATTCTAAATTGGTAATTCCTTGTCTTAAAGGAATTTAATTCTATTCCTTTAGCAAAATAGGCCTTACCTCTTTTACATTCTGTAAAGTTTCAGGAGTTATAGTAAAGTCCACTGGGCTTGGGGTTGGTTTACCTTTCTGAGGCTGCAACAAAACGCAAAGGAGAATCCAAAGTGTTACCTTAACATCCCATTTTTGTAGTCAGAAAAGTTATATAGCTTCATACATACTATACAATACACACCTTCATTTTTTGTATATTTTTAAAACTAAAAAAATATTTTTAGGTAAAGGGATCCTTGGGGAGTTTTGCATAGCCCTCGAGATGTCCTTTCCTTCTTTTGATACAAATCCAGAAGCTGCAAATAATAAAACCCAAAATAGCATACTTACAGGTGAGTGGACAATAAATTCGCAAGTCTTAGTCAAATCTTTAGCCAGAAGAGAACGTCGCATATCGCATCGAAGAGTATACTATAACGAGAAAGAGATATTTCCCCAATATGAAATAAGCAAAATAGTGGGTCCATATGTTGTTGACTGTAGTCTAAAGGAAAACCAAATCTTTATGAAGATTTGGCTAGGTTTATATTAAACTATTAACATGTATTCTAAGTTCATATACATTTTAGTTAACAGTATCAATCTGCTATTGGGGTCCAAATAACATTTTTAAAGTTTTAAGACTATTTCAAAATTAATTCTGCTTTTCCTAAAGATCAGGTTAATGTAAGAGTTTAGCCATTCCACTCAGAGAGGGGGTGATTCATTTTTTGACACAAGTGCATTAACTTTTATTTTTAAAAAGGGAACCATTCCCTCCTCTGAGTAGATGAAGAAAGGGTTTTTTGAACATGTGATGGTGGCAGGTGCCAGGTATGGCTGCCCCCTTGAGACAACACAGGTCTTTTCTCCTCTCTGCTGAATGACCTTTAACTTATTCACTGGTCTTACCAAAATCCAGAATTTGGACCCTCAAACCTACCCTTGATTCATACATAAGACTGACTTATACGCAAGAAAAACTCAGTGAGACATAGTCAACCCTCAAAAACAGGGGGTGAATAACTCCAGCAGAAACAAATGCAGAAAAATAACTATCACTAAAAGTTTCATCCAAGCCTTGAACAAATTTAGTGAATACAAATCCCACATGTACAAGAAAAATGGCTCAAGCATCAGCAGATACCAAATCATATCTATTTGAAGTCAAACTTTTCTAGGAAGTAAACAAATATATGTGCTGGCACTACATTTGCCACATTTTTCACAGCAGATGTTCTATTTGGAAAGGTGTCTTTTTAAAAATATTTTATTATGTTTCTGCTCATTTAACAGTCTTATATATATCATCTTAGGGCCCTCTGGTGGCATAGCGAATTAAACCGCTGAGCTGCTGAACTTGCTGACCAAAAGGTTGGTGGTTCAAACCCGGGGAGCAGGGTGAGCTCCTGCTATCAGGCCCAGCTTCTGTCAACCTAGCAGTTTGAAAACATGCAAATGCATAGATACCGCTATGAAGCGGCATAGCTACTGCTTCTGCAGGAAGAAAATGGCACTCCACGCAGTCATACTGGCAGCCACATGACCTAAGGGACGTTTACGGACAACGCTGACTCTTCGGCTTAGAAATGGAGATGAGCAACACCCCCCAGAGTCAGGCACGGCTAGATTTAATGTCAGGGGAAATTGTTACCTTTTTAATATCATCTTACCTCAAATCATGTTTGCTTTAAAAACTGAGAAATGTGGGGTAAGCTAGCTCCCAAATGAGCTGCAATCTCAGGAACACCACTTGGAAATGTGACACAGTCCCCTTTTTTGCCCACCCATTCTTCTGTGATGGCTTGAGATTTTAGAATGGAGAGGCAGCCTCATAAGAGGTTCTTGCAAAATGGAATGGCTTAGCCTGGCCAACTCAGCCTACCAAAATAGGGTTTCCAGCGCATACTTACATTCCCAGTATGCAGAAAAAGAGAAGGTGAAGCTAAGGATTACACAACACTAGCTCTGCATGGCTTGAGATATTTTTTTGCAAAATTGTAACATTGTGCATTTTAGGTATTTTCAATTGTAAACTAACTTGGTACAAATGTAACTGCAATTACATTTGTGAGAGTAAGAACAATTATTAATTGCTGTTAATTTTAAATAAAAACAACAGTCATAACTTTGGTTTATTGTCTGAAATAGCATAAACTTACAAATGGGAAAGCTTTTCCTACCTGGATGTTGACAAAAACTCCATGGTAGGTTTCATAGAGAATTTTGTTTCCCTTCACTTGCAATGGAAATTCAAAAGGAATTTCTGTTTTACCACTGGGGAGTTTTCCAGGTTTTACCATTTCTACAGTGTTATTAATAAGCTGGATAGGCTGAAAAAGACAGGTATAAAGAATAAGACACAAGAAGAGGTTATGGTGTCCTATTAGCACTATCAAATACAAGCAACATATTTTCTTAATATTTGAGAAACTATTCCTATTGCAGCCTAAAATGGGGAGAAAAGAATCTTAAGATATTTAAAATTAAACTTTTTGGGGTGCCAATGAACTTAGTTGATTAACATTAACTTTGTTGTGTGCATCTTTGAGAATCTCTCTCAAACTCTGAAAAATAAAAAAAGCCAAAAAACAAACTGGAAAAATCTCTTAAACCAAATGGCAATGTAATGATAGATGTTTAATTTTGCCCAAGACCCTATTATCTTTCTTAATTTTAAAGAAAATAACTCCTAACATTTCTACTTAGGCAATAATTAGAATAGAGCACTTCATAATTGCTACTTTTACAGTTATTTTTATACAGTGACACCCTTTCAACTGATAGTACACTACATTTTGCTGCAAAAACTTTCATTTTCAAAAGTTACTTTTAAGTCCTAATATAAGAAAACTGTTTTAGTTTTAAGATCTGATTATTTATCTGCATAGTCTCTACTATCATCAACACTTCCTCATGACACATTCAGTGTTTTTAATTCACTGGGAAACTATTAGAGTTTTAATAATAATTTTAGTTTATTAATTCAAATGTGCATATAAATTTCATCCTCACAAACAGCTTTTTCACATGACAGTCGCCATGATTAGTTTTCTCGCTCATTTAAATCAAGCAAATATAGTTAACATCTTTGGAAAAAGCCAAGATATTCAACCAAATTAGGATTTAATAACCTGTCTTGTTTTCAGCCTAGTAAGCACAAACTAGAAAACTATTATACAATTTGATGTTAGAAGACATGGACTAGTGGAAAGACATTTATGTTTTTTAGCTTTTAAAAGTGAATTACAATCATCTAAATGTACTCATCAAGTAAGGTAAGGGTGTAAAAAATATTTAGCTCATTAAGTAGACAAGAAAATCTTAACAGCCCTAAACAGCCAGCAGAAACCAGCTAAGCTTGTTTTGATACTTCGCATAAATATCAAACTTTTTTTACTATTATATTGTTGCTGCTTTAAAAATTTTTACCTTAACAGAATTGTAGAAGGCTTCAAACATGCCAACACTTTTGGCACTGAGCTGCATGTTTACCGATCCTTCCATTGTTAGTGAGATTCCCTGGTGCTGGACAGAATCTTTACTTGTTATGACTACCACTCCAGTAAGTACTTCCTAAAGGAGTGGGGTGGAGTAAAAAAGAATATGCAATGAATCAGTTTTCCAAATGAGACTGTCACATTTATCCCAAATTATCAACTACCAGGGAGATGGGGAAAGAATAGAACATACAGCATATATGTGTAAGCTTTTCCCTGCTCCAGTTGTTATTCTATTATGCTAAATATTGAACATTCATTGAAAAATGCAGCTCTATTTCATTCATGGCGCTCTTCTGTTTGCCATTGTTGTGATGACATGCTTCAGGATTCTCCAGGATAAAAGATGCTATAAATGAAACATCACGGAATTGGTTTGTGTCACAGTAATCGCACCAAAGAAGAGCAGGCCTATATATTAATGAGATCACTATTCATAATTACAGAGTTGTATTTGTGAATTCCTTCCTTGTACCGACAAACATCCTGTTAAAAAAATTACAATGAATTCCGACAATAGCACTGAGTAAAGCAAGCAGTTCTTTTTAACACTATATTTCCAGATTGTCCCTCTACTAGTAGTAAGCTTAAACAGAACTCCCAAATAACTCCCAAGGAAGTGCCTTGCACACCATTTGAAAATCTGTTGCCTGATGAAGTTTGAGCTTACCCTGCTCTGTATCTTCAACCCTCAAAGGGAAAAAGATGTCTCCTCAGTATTGGACTCCACAGAACAGTAGTATCCAAAACTTTGATTTCCACCTATTACTGGACTACAGCACACCGCTGATACGGCATCTGAAGAATCCAGTTTTGGAAGGCTATACCAGTCACCAGTCTCCTTTAGTTTAGTGGCTTCCACCTGTATCCAACTCTAACTCGTGTTACTTTTCAGCTAGCTTAATATCTGCAGATCACCATTTTCTACACATTTTCTTTTGAATGTATTTTTTTTTCATTGTAACACACACACAATCCATCCTGCCCTGAACATATTGTCTTTGTTTTATTGCAATGATTATGTGCCTAAAAGTGAAGCTTCAATGATAAGCTGTAACAATTTCATGTACTGAACAGATGATAGTTAAAAGTATCTGAAACCCTTTTGCTTCTTTTCAACAACCTCAAATTTCATTGCAGGACTCTAGAAATGCACTCTTCTGATAATTCATGTGGCCTTTCACTTGGCCTGACCAAAGTCATTGTTGCATGTAATTCAGATGTATTCATAGAGAGAGCAGTGAAGATAAGCAGGGCCTTACTGAGTAACTACAACAAATCAGAAAAACTTGTTGACCATAGGCATTAGAATGTAAAATGCTTGGCTCCAATTAAACGTAAAATGAGGTAAGCTAACCTATGACTGGACTACATTGCTACAGACCATCATCTGAGACTCTGAAGCTCCATAACCCCTTCCACCATAAGAAATCTCTTCCTAACATATTCATATTAAAAATTAAGTTTTAGTACCTGCCATAAAAATTTCCTTCTGAAAATATAGGGAACTGTCCCCCTCCCACCTCGGTTAAAGCATTTCAATGCATCCAGGCTTGACCTGCGCTAGCTGGATTGAAAAATCTTTACCACCTCAGCTTCTCCCACATATCATGTATCTCTGAGGTATCCATGCCAATTTCTCAATTTTTTGCCAGACTGAACCCTGGAGAGGGCTCCTGTGATGGTGATGGAAAAAAGTACATTTCAGGATGTCACATAACTAGTGAATAATACCTAAATAATACCTGCTGACACCCCCTCTTCTATTCAATCATTAATTACAAGGAAGCTCTTCAGTTTTCAATCTAAATAATCCTATTCAAGTCATCAGGAGGTCATCAGTATGCTGCAGCTGATATGTATATACCTTCCAGTTGACTGGACCTCATGGCAACCTCTTCAAATACACAGAATTTTCATGGGCTAGGGATATTCAGAGGTGGTTTCACCACTTTCCTCCTTTGATATACAGCCTACAGCACCTGGCAATCACTGACAGTCCAGATGCCTCCCAATACACATTTTGTTGTTGTTTATTTGTTCAATCGCTTCCGACTCTTCGAGATTGGTCATTGTTCTCCTCCCAAGAAGTAGGCGTCTTCTGATTTCCTGGCTGCAGTCTGCATCTGCAGTAATCTTTGCACCCCAACACACATATCCTGGAGCATTCCAGAAGTTGGGTTACACTACCTGTCATCCATCTGTAAGTAGAGGCCACTGCTGTCTTAAATGTGCTGAGCTCTGTAGTCAACCATATGTAGATTATACTAGGTTATTTAAGATCACGGTTTTCTAACATGATCTAAGTTTTTCTAGATGTGCCTCTAACAGCACTTCCAGACAGGCCCAATATCCCAGGATCTGATCTCAGGTTTTCTGGTGTAAACTGGATTATATGAGTCCGCACTGCCAGATAATGTGGGATAAACAGAAAGCTTGGGAACAGATCCTGGGATATAGGGTCTGTCTGGAAGGGCCCTAAGTTGCTGCTGATTTAAATCATTTTAATTATGATTCATGAAAAAAATTCAGGGGGTCCATAGGCTTAAACTGGAAAAAACTGACATATTATCTTTCTTTTTCCTGATCTCTAACTGAAATCTAGCATTTCCTTTACTTAGGAACATGAAGATGTGCCAGGGAGGTCCTGCTCTTGGTCTTGCTGCCTTCGGGGAACAAGGGACAGGGCTTTCTCAGTGGTGGCGCTTGGCTGTGGAACTCCCTCCCCAGGGAGATCAGATCGGCCCCTCCCTCCTAGCTTTTAGGAAACAACTTAAGACCTGGTTATTTAAGAAGGCACTTGGTGAATGACAGAGACATGGAAATATGGATTAGTTAAAGATATCTTTGGGATTGTGCAAAGCCTAAATGTTTTATGTATTGTGTGTGACTGTTGTTTTATAGTTTTATAATTTTAATGGTTTTAATCTACTGTCGTTGTTTTGATATGTGTTGTTTTATACATGTAAGGCATTTAATTCAGCCATTTATTATGTTGGGAACCACTTTGAGTTCCCCTAGGGGCAAGAAAAACGGTATATAAGTAAAATAAATAAATGCAAAAAATTACAGTACTATTCAATGCATATCACACTACAGATATTGCATATATCAAAACATGGTTTACGCTTATCCATACTTTGGAATTATAGCAGCTATTAGACTTGACACTAGATCAGATGTGATCACAGCCCTGCTGTGTACGAACCATTGTGGGACACGCAAAGGTTGGGTAACATGAAACTATCTGCTGCTACAGTCTGAGAAGGAGTCCTGAAAGGCAAAAGGGTCCATGGAACAAAAAAAGTGCAGAACTGCCAATTTCGAGCAACACCATTAATTTGAGAGGGTTTTCTGAGGCATGAGATAAGCAGAGGCGGTATTGCCAGTTCCTTCCTCTGAAGTATAGCCTACAGCTCCTGGTATTCCTTGGTGGTCACCCGTTTAAAAAGTAACTGGGGCTGACCCTGCTCAGCTTCCATGACCAGGCAGAATCTATTGGGAATAATGGATGGATCACGACCTGTTATGATTGCAACCCATCAAGGGGTAGCAGAGTTTGAGAGGAGTATTCCTTGAATTTATTTGATGCTTTAGGCAAGCAAAGATTCAAGCAGACTTCCTTTAGAAGAACAATGTTTGTTTACTTGTAACTTATAAACTTCACAAACTATGCTGCTCCACACAGCTCTCCTCAATAAGAGTTCACTTTAAAAGAAAACACAAGCCTCAACAATTTACTACTGTCTAATATTATTTATTTATTTATTTATGGCATTTATATGCTGCTCTTCTCACCCAGAAGGGGACTCAATGGCTTACAAATTATATATACATACAATATATTATTATCATAGCACAATATTAGTATTATATATTACTATATTGTACTATACCACCACACTGTAATATTATTGGTAATATTACATGTACCATGAAATATAAAAATATTATATTGTATTATTAGTAGTAGTATTATATTGTATTACATTATATTATCAATATTATATACATATGTTATAATATTAGAACAGCACAATCTCAGTGTTTTGTATTACTACATTATATTATACCCTTATAGTGTAATATTATTAATCTTACATGTAATATAAAATATATAATTATTATATTGTATTATTAGCATTATATTGTATTACACTATAATACTATTATCAATATTATATGTGTATACAATATATTATAATGTTAGTACAGCACAATATCAGTATTATATATTACTATATTGTCGCTGGGGGAGGGACTTCTATATTGTTGCTGGGGGAGAGGTTCCTAACCAGGAGACATGGTCGAATTCTGTCTTCCTGGCTCCCCTTCTTCATTCTGGTTCCAGAGCATCAGATGGTGTTGGGGGGATGGGCTCCCAACCAATGACCCAGGAGACATGGTAGAATTCGTCTTCCTGACTCCCTTCCTTCAATCTGGCTCCCAACATTAGCTTCTGCACACTAAAAGACTTCTACGCTCAAACTGACTCAAAGCTCAACAGACATTTTTTAACAGGCTCTAAGCCAGTGGTTCTCAACCTGTGGGTCCCCAGATGTTTTGGCCTTCAGCTTCCAAAAATCCTAACAGCTGGTAAACTGGTTGGGATTTCTAGGAGTTGTAGGCCAAAACCCTTGGGAATCCACAGGCTGAGAACCACTGCACTAAGCTCAACTGATTTCTCTGTCATTCCTTTTAAAACTGAACATTCTAAACCAACATTTCTCATCCTGGGGGTCGGGACCCCTGGGGGGGTCAGGAGGGGATGTCAAAGGGGTCGCCAAAGACCATCAGAAAACAGTGTTCACATCTGGGCATAATGAGTATTCGTACCAAGTTTGATCCAGATCCATCATTGTTAAGTCACAGTGCTTTCTGGACGTAGGTGAATTACAACTCCAAAACTCAAGGCCCACCAAACCCTGCCAGTATTTTTTGTTAGTCATGGGAGTTCTGTCTGCCAAGTATGGTTCAATTTCATCCTTGGCGGAGTTCTTAGATTGCAGGTTAACTATAAATCCCAGCAACTGCAACTTCCAAATGACAAAATAAATCTCCCCCAAACCCACCAGTATTCAAATTTGGGCATATCAGGTATTTGTGCCAAATTTGGTCCAGTGAATGAAAATACATCCTGCATATCAGATATTTACATTACGATTCATAACAGCAACATGAATTAGTGTGAAGTAGCAACAAAAATAATTTTATGGTTGGTGGTCACCACAACACGAGGAACTGCATTAAGGGGTTGTTGCATTAGGAAAGCTGAGAACCACTGCTCTAAGCTCAACTGATTTCTCTGTCATTCTTTTACAAACGGAACATTCTAAACCATCACTTGATCGCAGCCCCTCCTACTGCTTTAGTACAAAGAGGCAAATCAAACACGACATACATTGCAGGTTATAAAACTACACACTAATAAAACATTATTATAAGACAAACAAACATCACATAGAGGAGTCTTGAAAAGGTTGCTTCGTCCAACTGTATCCGGTCCATTTGGGACCGGTCAAACCCCCTTTTTAAGGAGCTCCAATGGCTGCTGTTCATCTTCCGGTCCCAATTCAAGGTGCAGGTCATCACCTATAAAGCTCTGAACGGTTTGGGACCCACCTACCTTTGTGACCGCATCTCCTGCCACAAACCTGAACGATCACTTCTGGAGAGGCCCTCCTTTCGCCTCTTCCTCTATCACAGGCTAGACTTGTGGGAACGAGGGAGAGGGCCTTCTCCGCTGTGGCCCCCCGCCTTTGGGACTTGCTACCTGGGGAGACCAGGCAATCCATCCTATCCCAGCAGCCTTTAAGAAAGATCTAAAAACTTGGCTCTTCCGATGTGCCTTCAGATAGTGACCATTCAACCCATTTGTTTGTTTCCACCTACAGTTGTCCTCTTTCCCCTGTCCTTTCCCCTGTCCTTTCTAACTTTCCCCAGTCCTTTATAAAGGCAAAACCTCACTGCTCCTCTTTTTTGGGCTCCTCTCACAAATACACTTTTTTATTCCTATCTCACCCAGGGTTTTAACTTTTTAACATTTTATCTCATACATTTATCTCAGAGGGGAACAGAAGACATTTCCATCTGGTCTTTAGTGATAATATAATATAGTATATTGTATATACATATAATATTATAATGTAATACAATATAATACTAGTGATAATAATACAATGTTATAATTATATATTTACATTACATGTAATATTACTAATAATATTAAAATATAATGGTATAGTGAAATATAGTAATATATAATGGTATAGTGCAATATAGTACTATATTGTACTATGCTAATAATATATATATATAGTATGAAATATATCCTGTAAGCCACTATGAGCCCCCTTGGGGGGGAGAAGGACAGCATATAAATGCCGTAAATAAATAAAATAATAATAAATTTGGCCCTCCCTCTGTTTGATTTTACTATGCTATTTTACACTGTTTATTTTATCTGTTATTTTATATATTTTGTTATGATGTATTTTGTTACTTTGTATTTAATTATGCTGTATTATTTTTGGGCTTGGCCTCATGTTAGCCGCCCCGAGTCCCCTCTGGGGAGATGGTGGTGGGTTATAAATAAAGTTTATTATTATTTTACTGACACAGAAGCACAGTATGTCACAGCAAACGAGATCTATATGCTTGATTTCGTATCACAAAATCACAAGTCGAACACTTCCCAAGCGTCTAGGACTGCGTGATGTATTTTCGAATGATGCGTGCAGATTCAAGTAAGGTGGCCTTTTGCAGTTTTATTATTATTATTATTATTATTATTATTCGGGCAGGGAGACATCGTCCAGTGTCGTCAGCCAGTCCCATGTGGCGCCCTTTCTCCAGCCTCGCAGGCCCGGGCTGAAAGCAAAACAGAAGGCCGTGCCTGGCACTGAGGCCGAGTGGCCACGTCGGGAGGAAGGAAGTCTTGCCAGTTCAATGGGGTTGGCTCCATGAGGCTGCCGTTGCTCCCTTCCTCTTCTGCCCAGGAAAAGAAAAGGAAGAGCAGGCGACATTGGCCACCATTTATGGCACCCCTGAGGCGTGCTTTAAAGAAGCAACAAACGACAACCGCAACGCGGCTTACCCCGCAATGATACACCTTGTTCGCTCGCTTGATCTTGACATCCACCGCGGTCCCCATGGCGACCACTCCCCGTCTCCTTCCCTCTTCCGCTTGAATCACGTGCTTCCTGCTCTGCGCGAGCAGCTTTCACCACGTGACCCCGCCTACGTTTTTTTTCCTCTCTTTCTCTCAGGGCGGGAAAAAGCGCTGAGGAAGCCGTTCCCAACGTTACTGGGATATTTCCCCCTCCTCTCCCCTCCCCCCTCGTTCCCGCCCATTTCAGACTCCACCCCTTTTCCAAAAGGAGGGAGCGACATTCTTATGGTCACATCCGGGTTAGTAACGTGACCCCTCAAGGCGGCCGTTTATTTATTCATTTTGAAACGGGCGCCGGCTGAGAGGTCACGCCAAGCGGCAGCTCCGCTCCGTCTCGACGCTTAGGCCTTCTCTCCGTTGCCCTGGCAACGGCGCGCGAGGCTCTCTCGCTCGGCCGTTGCTCCTGAACTGAATCCCCGAGCCTGCTTTTCTTTTTGGGCGCGAGGCGGCGAGGCCGTGGAAAACCGTTGGGACGCTGCAGAGCGGAGACCCCGCCCCCATCCTGGATAAGGATGAACCAATCAAAATCCTTCCCAACTTCGTTGCTGTGTGACGTGGGACGCGCCCGCGGACAGAACGGCGCCAGCACGAGTGGCTTAAAGGCCAAGAAAGGGCATTTCGCAAGAGTTTGTTCTCTAGCCTAAAGAGAGGCACTTATAATGTCTGCTTTATGCACACATGCGTATGTATGTGTATACACACACTCGCTTTCAGCCATCAAAGTTGCATAACCTGCTTTGTTGGGAGGGAGCACCTTAAACACATATATGTATACGCGCACACACATGCCTATAAGGTTCTCCCTCCCAAAAACCAGGGTATGCAACATAGATGGCTGAAAGTGAGGAGGAGCTGAGGAGCCTTCTAACCAAGGTGAAAGAAGAAAGTGCAAAAACTAGGTTGAAGTTAAACATAAAAAACACAAGATTATGGAAACTAGACATTGATAGGCAAATAGAGGGAGAAAACATGGAGGCAGTGACAGATTTTGTATTTCTAGGTGCAAAGATTACTGCAGATGCAGACTGTAGCCAGAAAATCAGAAGATGCTTGCTTCTTGGGAGGAGAGCAATGACCAATCTCTATAAAATAGTTAAGAACAGAGATATCACACTGGCAACGAAGATCCAAATAGTTAAAGTAATTGTATTCCCCATAGTAACCTACGGATGCGAGAGCTGGACCATAAAGAAGACTGACCAAAGGAAGATAGATGCTTTTGAACTGTAGTGTTGAAGATAAATTCTGAGAGTGCCTTGGACCACGAGAAGATCCAACCAGCCCATCCTCCAGGAAATAATGCCTGACTGCTCACTGGAGGGAGGGATATGGGTAAAGATGAAGTACTTTGGCTACATAATGAGAAGACAGGAAAGCCTGGAGAAGATTATGATTCGGGGGAAAATTGAAGGAAAAACGAAGAGAGGCCGACCAAGGGCAAGATGTATGAATGGTATTAGTTTATGTAGTTCAAAGGTTCTGGGTGTCAGTGAATAGCAGGATAAAACAGGATATAAAAATACAAAAACGTAACACAGCATCTCTTAATGGCATTTTTACACCAATTCCAAACACACAGCACCGACCAATAATATGCCAACTGTTCCCAACAATAAGGCCTCAAGAATTTTGATTTAAACGAAGATACAACTTCAGAAAGGCAGATTGGACTAAATTCTCAGACATGTTAGATGACATGATCACATCAGTTGCACCAATCCCTGAGGAATACGAGCATTTTATTGAAATAGTGAAAACCTGCTCACGGGCCTCCATACCGAGAGGCTGCAGAACCAACTACCTTCAGGGCATTACTCCTGAAACAGCTGCCTTGCTGGAAAACTATTACAGGCTCCACAACAAAGACCCATTTAGTGAGCAAACCCTTCAGGCAGTGCAGAGCATTGTGTCCTCCATCTCTGAAGCCAAGAAAGAACAGTGGATCAAGGTGATCACAGAGGTCGACATGGGCAGGAGCAGCCAGAAGGCGTGGAGGCTGCTGAGATGGCTGAGCAACAAAAATAATTTTATGGTTGGTGGTCACCACAACACAACAGCATCTCTTAATGGCATTTTTACATTAAAAAAACAGTCAAATGTTTGGAAAAACTAAACAAAATATTTTGTGTTGCGCAGCCATAAAAGCATGCTGTATTTCATCACATAATAGTCACACTTTTTCTTCAAAAAGGGGGTGGGTGCGAGTATTACATAAGGAGAAAAGTGTGACTATTGGAGTTCTTTGGAGAAAGGAGTTATTGGGAAAACCAGGAATCTCCACAGACTTTTGGAAGCACGACCCTTTTGGAGATTAATTGGTATTCACACTATTTGAAATAATCATAACCTTTTGGAAAGGCATGACCTTGTTAGAGATCGTAACCAAAGTATGATCTTCCTGAGAAGAATTAAAATCTTGCTTGAGTCAATCTTCTCAACTGTCAACTGTTAATCATTTTAACTGTGGGATATGTTTTTACTATTTATTGTTTATTTTATTTTTTACCAGCATTGACTTCTTGCCGGAGCTTTAAGTCGCCTTGCGTCCCCTCGGGTGAGAAAGGCAGGGTAAAAATGAAATAAATAAATAAATTCTCCTTAGTGGTCCACAAGTATTCCTGCAAGGCAAATTAGGCTTTTCAGCTGTTAGACTGATATCCCTGGTTATTTCTCTGAACTGTTAGAAACAGAGATATGTCAATGTATAAAATATATAGCAAATCTTCAGAAGTGTTATTTCAGGTGCCCAAAAAAAAATCTCTCCCATAAAATATATTGCTTTTAAATCATCCTCTCAAGAGACCAAACATTGTTTTCGTTAAAAGTTATCATGGTTGATTTACTTACAAATATCATGTACTTAGCATACAGGTACATTGCTTACTGGTTACAGGTTAAACTGTATTAAACTGTATTGTACTATACTTCAACCGACTGTACTATACTGGACTATACATCTGCTGCAGACAGACACATCTATTAACTAAACATCTTACTGCAGCATACTGACTATACTCCTGCTCTAACTGATGTCAGCAGACTCACTGGCTTCTAACTTAAACTGACTGAAGCCTCATCAGACTTCTGACTTAACTGATTCAAACTCACTTCTGATTCAAATGCATTCTAAAATGGAGTCTCACTCTGAACGTGCTAAGATCTGGGTCACATGGTCTGTAGTCCCTCCCACATCCTCTAACAACATAGAGTTAAGGGGAAAAATGCATACCAATATATACATACAATATAGTAAGCAACCTCAATTATATACATAAGAAATAACTAGTATAGGAGACTTGTAGTATTAGGATATGGATTGTGACCTGTTAGGATCATAACCTATTGGGTAGCAGAATTTTGGAAGTATTCCTTTAGTTTATTGCAGGGAATCCTCAAACTTTTTAAATAGAGAGGCTGGTTCATGGTGCCTCAGACTGTAGTGGGGGCGGACTATAGTTTGAAATAAACATGAATAAATTCCTATGCACACTGCACGTATCTTATTTGTAGTGAAATAACAATAATAATACTAATGGAAGAAAAATACAATATGTTAAGTATTTTAATAACCACTGTGAATATGGAAACCTTGCAAAATATAGTAATAGTAAACTCTTCATTTCTAATGCCATTCCGAAATTACTTACTGTTCATTAACGTGAATAAACTGAACCAGTTTGTTTCCTGTAAATTGGTTAACATTGTATTGCCACCGAATTTGTTTACTGGGACATGAGGCCACTGTGAGAATACAACATGGAGAAGCAGAATAGTTTTTCAGTGGCAATAGGGTCAGAGAAGGCTGCATTTTATCATCCTTTCTCTTTAATTTATATACAGAATATGTCATATGGAAGGCCAGATTAGACTCTCTGGCTCAGTCATTAATCAAAATGGAGACTGTAGCCAAGAAATCAAGACCAAGAAGACCAAAACTTGGAAAGGCATTAGTGAAGGAACTTGATAAGTTTTAAGACATACAATTTAATACAAAAGTTAGAATAATCCAGACCATAGTATTTCTAATTTCTGTATATGATTGTGAAAGCTAGACAACAAAGAAAGCAGACAGGAAAACAACTAATTTGAACTGAGGTTCTGGAGAAAAGTTGTACAGACGAATGTTTGCTTCACTAAGAGCAAGGATAACTAAACAGGCTGTAGTAATTTGGTCATATCATGAGACAACATGGCATTGGTAAAGTGGAAAAGTGGATACAAGTGGATTGATTCAATCTAGAAAACCACAGCCCTAAATTTGTAAAATCTGAGCAGAGCAACTGATGACTGGAGACCTTGGAAATCTCTCTCATAGGATCACCATAACTCTTAAGATAACAGTTAAAGACGATGAAACAAAACTAATTTACAGCATGGTTAAGTCTCCAGTCCTTGTTGAAGCCAAGATACGCAGCAAAACAGAAATGTTCTGTCAATTTGTTCTGCAGGAAACAAGTCCACTTAGGTGAGAAAAACAAGAGTAAGAGATGTTAGCGGTGCTGCACAAAAAAAAAAGCAGAGGTCACACCTTTGGACATGAGGCAAGATGAGGGAGTGGAGAGTTAAGAGAGCATGTAGCGGTGCATGAGAAACTAGCAAGAGGCATACCACAAAGGAATATGGCTAAGCAAGTAGAAGTGATGGAAGGGTGAGTGGTTGTAGTGTCACCGTACAAAAAAGGAGGGGTGCGTTAAAATAAAGAGAGGTGGGATTGGAAAGGAAAGTGACAGATGGAGGGAAAGAAGGGTGAGAGGTATAGTAGCAGGATCTGAAGAGTAGAAGAAAGAAATGGTGGTCTATGTACCGGAGAAGGAGAATGTCAAAAGGTCAGTAAAGGGGAGAAGAGAATATTATCAAAAATTCATTCTGGTATACAATATTTTATCTAAAATAGATAAATCAGTCATAATTTGTTCACTTGATTATTCAATAATAATGTTGTCTATACAGCAGGATTTTCAGACATCAACAGTGGAATGTTAGATATAACAGTAAAAAAACAGCTGATAAGGTTTTGTGCAAATAAATCTGGAAAGGTGAGCAAATGAAAAGAAATAACCATTTATTGTGACTGATCATTATATTTACAACTTTAAAATTGTATTAACACTTGTGCCCTTTAGCTATGTTTAAGCGTATATAAATGGCCCTGTAATC